CGCCGTTGCCAGCCAGGGGAAGTGCGCTTTAGTGATGACACTCCGCCGGCGGGGCACAGGATTTGGGGGAAGCCCTCTTGTCCCCGTGATTGGGACGCCAGTCCGATTCCGAACATGGCCTCTTGTCTCTCTCGTACCCCTGAGCTCTGTGGCTGCTCTCGTCCCGCGGGGCAGATCCCCTGATCCTGCTGTGTGGCATAAGTGGTGCAAGTTGGCCAGACTGATTCCACGTCGCTCTGTCTCTGTCGCACTCGAGAAGCGTCCTCTGGGCGTCCCACCCCACAGAGGCGCGAGAGAGACAGGAGCCAGGCAGTCTTGAAACAAGGGCCTAATCACACCCATGACAGTGCCTACCGAAGCATCGTTCGAATACCAACGGCAGCCCCTGTCGTCAGACGTTTGATTCGAGTCAGGCCTGTGCTTTGTCCCATTTCAGAACTGCGCCGGAGTCCGGAGTCGTTGTGCCCTACACTGGCCTCCTGACCCTTGGCGCCCGCCCCTTTTCCGGACGCGTTCGGAGTCGTCAAACAAAGGCTGCCGGGGATTACCGGACCGACCGGACCGGACCGTTCGATCCGACTCACAATCGAGCGGGCCGCGGCGTCGCGATGACCCGCCGGCAGAGACACAGTGGCGGCAGAAAAACATCCACACCGAAACAAACGACAAACCCACCGCGACATGCCAAAATCAATCCGGTTTTTCGAGTAATCGCGTGAGCCAGCTCGTGGGGCTCCCCGTCGTCCCCGTCCCCCTACGGTCGGCAGTGAAAAGCAACCCCCTCCCCTCCTTCCCCTCCCATCCAGCACCCAGTGGAGGGGCTCGTACATCTGTGGGCGTGGCGGTGGTCTATGGCGCTGCAAAAGTATTGCCCTGCCGTCCCCGTCGGCCCGGCGTCCCCCTCGGCCCCTGCGGGCTCGTGCGGGAAAAGTTGCTGGGTTTGGCACTCTTTGACAGCCGGGGCGGCGACGCGGCGACGGCGCCAGACACCCTCGTTCCTTCCGGTTGGAATGACAGCCATTCGTCGCCGTGCCGCGGGGCGCCGTGCCGCGTCGCCGTGACCTTGGCCTCGCCGGAGTAGCGGCGACGTGGCGAGTTTAAATACTGGAACACGGTTCTGGAAGGTCGCCCGCCCAGTGAGTACCCCACTCTGGACGGGCAGACGCGCGGACGCACACACCGCCACCCGCCGGCGCGGCGGTCGGGCCGAGGGCCCTGTCCGTAAAGGGCAATCCTGGCCGAGGAGGGCCGAGGAGGGTTCCTGGCAGCTCTTGCATGATTCCTGAGGCCAGCAGCCCCCGTCGTGTAGTGCCGTGTTGTGCCGTGTAGTGCGGTACCCTGCCGTCGTTCGGCTGAGCCGAGCCGGGTCGATTGAATGTCAACCCGACGAAAGCCACGATCAATGACCACCAGCAGAGCCGCTTAAAGTTCCCGTCAAAAGTTGGCCGATTCTGATGAGCGCTTCGCCGCGCTGCCGCGCTGTCCCTCTCTCGCGCCCCAGCGGGACGTTGTACAGTACCTCTGAGCGAGAGAGCGACGGAGCGTCGAAAGCTCGGTTCGGAATCAGCCTGCTGCCCCGCGACACAGCGACGCCAACGGGGAGGACGACGGGCCCGCGCCGACCGAGCCAATCAAACTGGCGCACTGTTGGCGGCGGTGTGGCGGCGCGGCGGCGCGGCGGGGTGCGGAACACGGGACGTGCCTAGGCGTGGCGTGGCGTGGCGTGGCGTGCGGGCTCGCCGCGTCAATAGCTCCAACCTAATCCCAACCTGTCGGGGCTGACCTGTGCCGCATAATTGTTTTCCGTTGTCCCCTTGCTTTTCGATGGGAGAGGGGCGGTTTTGTAACGCGCGTTGCGTCAACGTGTGGAGCGGAGATTCCAGAGTCCAGGCTGAGTTCCATGAAAAGAGCGCCTTGTTTGTGCTCATGACCTTGGGTTGAATTAGGATCTCGTCCCCACGACTCGCCCATAAAAGAGGATTTTCGCCACCTTTGTGCCATTTTCATTCATTCGACGCGACGTCCCTGTTTGCTTCGCCCCCAGACTACCTGCTGGGATCGTTTGTGACTTTTTGTCGCCGTCAAAGGGGTTCAGAGAAACGCGGCTAGGTGGCTGCGGGGCCGCGCACACCACTCTGTGCCAGCCTGCCTGACGGCTGCCTGACCCCCTGCGTGATTCCAGGCTTCCAGGCTTCCAGGCCAGCGGGCCGCGCCACAGACGCGGCTACGCGGCTGGCAAGGCAAAGGCCTCGGGGAAGGCCTCCACGGAGGGGGCGTGCTCGACGTGTTGCGCGCTGCAGCAGTGCCAGAGCACGGCCATCCCGGCCACAACAAGCATACCCTGTTTCCTTTGAGGGGACCTCGTTATCGATGGCTGCCCCCGGAGGGACAGGGCCGGGCAGGGCCGGGCAGGTCTGCCGCCTGCTTTGTCCGCCGCTTGCCGCCCCCGTCCAGTGGCCCCTCTGGCCCCTCCGCCACCCCCACCCCCGGCCCCACGAAGGGAAATGAACACTGTTCGTGGGGTGGGACGCGCTGTCCGTCCTAATAAATCTAATATGCGATGCGGAGAGCAGCCAGCGTGGCCCGGACCACCAGTCCCAGACGGAATGTTCACCGTGCTGTCCGTTCGCGTTGCCTGTTTTTCCGGCGAGGCTGGCCGCTCCCGTCCTGGAAAACCCGACCGTGGTGGTCGGTCCCTGAGGGCCCAGATGGTGTCTGAGCTGGGGTGGCGGTGGGGGTGGGGTGTCCGGAGAGGGACCGGGGAAGGGGGTGGCCGCGGTGGGCGGGAGAAAAAGTGGGCGTAGACGCCACGCCGGCTGCCTCGGCCTTCCTTGGCCTGCCTCGGCCTGCCATCTGCCCGTAGCGGCGAACTTTCAATCAGCCCCGACACTGCCACGCGCTCCTCGCTCCGAGCCCCGCGGGCCGCGAGGCTGCGAGGCGCTTGGAAATTCGCCGGGAATATTTGTGTAGAGCAGCGAGCTGCGCTGTCCGGGCGGGGGCGGGGCGGGGGCGGGGCGGGGGCGGGGCGGGGGCGAGGCGGGGGCGAGGCCATGGAATCGCCGCATCGCCGCGCGGAGAGGGTGAAAGTGGAACGAGTCGATGTCATAAAGTTAAGCCGCTGGAGCCTTGCTCGGCAGTGCGCGGCACCCGATGAGAATATCGGCAAATGGCGTCGGGCAGCGCGAAGTGACGAGGCGACCCGTACATACGTGAAGTTTAGTGAGTGTGTTTCTGTACCCCAGTGTGTTTCTGGGAAACAGGCGGACACACACGTTGCTTATTTGCAGCCGTGTCGTTGCATTATTCGCAGCTACTTGGAACAAGGGGCCTCTCATATCGACCCGTGTCGCGGGTAAGACCGTGTGACACGCACCGCGCGCACGCCAAGGTCGGCCACGCAAATCACAACAAAGTGTAATGCCCTGCACCGCCGGGGCCCGGCCGCCTGGCCGCCTGGCCGGCTGGCAGGCTGGCGTGGCTCGGGCACATCGCCAAGAGGGGGGTGCAAGATGGCGGAAAGTAACTTGGGGTGTTCCTTACTACTGTGGAGTTGAGGTGGCATAAATGTGGCTTTTAAGGGAACCTCTGATAGATAGGCAACACTCACACGGACTCCAGGTAGGCCAAAGGCACCACGCCGGACTCCGTAAAACAAATTACGACGGCGCGGGAAGGGCGCTGTAAACCTAGAGGCGCCTCCGGGCACCGCGAGCGTGGAACGTCTGCGAACGGTGGCGAGGACGACGGCGAGGGCGCTACAGGTCCACACAGTAGAGCCACCGCTTAGTCTAATCCCGTTTTCCGGCTGACACCCTCCATTCCTGTGGAGCCTGTGGGGACGCGGGCGAGGCAGGCAGAGGCAGGCAGAGGCAGGCGCGCCGTTTGCTGCGCGGTTCCTCGCCGCGGTCTCAGCAAGCGCTCGGCAGCGCGCCCTGCCGCCCTCACCCCGGCGCCCCGGGAACGCAATAGAATTAGTGGAGCTGTCCGCAGTGGGTGTGTGCGCGCGAGAGAATGCGTAAGACAGTACGACAGAGGGTGTGTGTGTCGCTGTGACAGTGTGTGCGTGTGTGTGTGAAAGTGAGATAGAGTGGATGAGGCCCCACCCATTAGTTCGGACGTGGTCTTGCAGCGTTGCCGTCATGAAGTGCGGTGGCTGCGCGGTGGACGACGATGCCGGAGACGCGGCCAAAGAGGCCCTGCTGCAGGACCACGCTGAAGTGGTCATCGTGCCCCCCACGGGCCCCACGGGCCCCACGGTCCGCCACGGCCGGCGCGCTCGCAGCGAGTCCGGCGACGACTGCAAGCGGCGCAGCGTGTGCAGCGGCAGTCTGGGCGGCAGCCCGCCCGGGCCGCAGGTCGAGTCCCGGCACCGCCTGGGCTACGGCCCCTTCGGCCCCGGGCACGCGTACGGCGACATCGGCGGCAGCGAGGGCAACTTCGCATCATGCCTCGAAGGGCAGCGCAAGCGGACCTCCCTCGCCGAGCCAAGATGGTCCTCCCTCAAGGAGACGTCCGTCAACGTGGCGGCGGCTGGAGAGGCCCGCGCCAACGGCGCCGCCAACATCGTGCTGCAGCCGGTCACCGGCGAGGCGAAGGCCATCGGCAAGGAGGTAACGACGACGGGGTGGCATCCCGCTACCATAATTCATCAGCGCATTACCCGATCCAAACTTCCGGCCTGCATCATGGATGGCACGGACGTGGCGTGGACGTGGCGTGGACGTGGTGGGGGCAGGTGGGGGAGGCCAGCATCGGGGCACCGACCTTCACCACGTGCGGGGCATGTGCGGGGCCACCTACCGCCAAGCACGTCCTGCCCGCAGTGTTCAATTTCCCCGCACCGCACGTGTGCTTTGGCGCCGTGTCGGGGTGCGCGTTGTTCGCCGTGTTATCCACTGCGGGCTGTGGGTCCACTTTGGGAAACTCGAGGAGCGCCGCGGCAAGAGAGGGTCGGTTCGGTTGCCCGCTGCCCACTACACCGGCGCGCTTTTTTGTTGCAGGTGCTGTCGCTGGGCGCCGACGTGCTGCCCGAGTACAAGCTTCAGTCACCGCGCATGCACAACTGGACGGTGCTGCACTACTCGCCCTTCAAGGCGGCCTGGGACTGGCTCATCTTGATCCTGGTGCTGTACACCGCCATCTTCACGCCCTACGTGGCCGCCTTCCTGCTCAACGAGCCCGACTTCAACAGCCGCAAGAGAAGCAAATACGGGGACGACCCCATAGTCATCATCGACTTGATTGGTGAGGCTTCCCCCCTTTCTCCGCGCATAGCTTGTACATATTCCCTCTTTCTCACCGTGCACTCTCTCGCTACCCTTCTTACAGTGGACGTGACCTTCATAGTGGATATCCTCATTAATTTTCGAACGACGTACGTCAACAGAGCAGACGAGGTGGTCTCGCACCCTGCTAAGATAGCGATCCACTACTTCAAAGGCTGGTTTATAATTGACCTTGTGGCTGCCATTCCATTCGACTTGCTGCTCTTCGGCTCCGACACGGACGAGGTGAGCGAACCTCTGCTGGGAAGACTGGGAGGGGAGGTGATCCTCAGAACTTTGATGAAAGGCTCACAGGCGGTCGGCGGATGTTTAATGATTACTTTAAAACTGCTCTGGTCATCGGACAAAGGGGTGGTTGATTGTCCACGATGAATTATTTAGAACTATCTAACTTTCATTGCGAGGCAGTAGTTAAGCAGCAGAAATTTGTGACTAATGCTTAAAGGAGTTGTTGTGAATTATTTGTGTTTTGTTAAATAGAAAATCCAGGTGAAATCCAGACTAACCATTAACATTTACTCGGACTCTACACTTTTGATTTTCTTTAAATCACTTACACGTTCTTTCCTTCAATCCTTTAATCTATTCAGGATTTAAAGCATGCGTAGTGTGACTGTATGATTCGATTGTTGCAGTCAAACTACATTGTTTGAAAGTTATTTCGTTAGAATCCTTCATTCATTTATTTTTAAAATTTAATTTGGTTTTCCTGTGTAGATACCTTTCCAAATTTTATGTATAACGCTGGAGTGCATGCCGCATTGTGAGAATCAGTAGGACTGGCGCATGAAATCTCCTTCCGGAGCATGTTTCTTATAATTTCTCTGTGCGAAAGCAGTCTCTTCCTCTTCTCCTCTGTGGCTTTATAATAGTAGTTTATGGTGTGTGCTCATTAATCGATGTTGTCTTAATCTAAAGTCATCGCCCCGTCTACTGCAGAGCTTCTGTTCTACTATTTTCTTTGTCCTGTCTGATAATATTATTTATTCACGTATCATATTATTGGGGATGCACATATTTCTAGTCGCCATGTCATGCTGTGATTGATGTGTTTCTGTGTGTAGCTATCATCGATGTTTTTGCCCTTTTACAGTTGGGCTTGGATGCAGACGAGGTTAGTCAACATCATAGGCAGCTTCGCACCACCTATGCTTCCCCCAAGGAAAACATGTGCGAAAAAAAATCGGGGTGGTTCAGTTTTATCACGGATGCACATTTATGTCAAGCACGAAAACAAATGTTTTTACCCTACCCTTGGTATGAAGCAAAAGAGGGGGACTTATTTTTTTTTTTCATCGCTTGTGTCCTTAACAAACGGCAAAGAATCTGAACATGTCTCGTAGGCATATGCTTGGCCAGACGGTATTGACATTCACTCTGCACTAAACTTTCATCTTATATTCTTTTGTGCATCAGTTTCGGAATTCGTACCGAGCTTAAAGTCTGCTGACTGGAAAATTCGCGACATTTGGCCTGCATACTGAGCGAGTGAACGTGAATGCCCCTCGATGATGCCACTGCTTCAACTCTGTCGAGTTTTATTTTTAAATTCATCGTTTAAGTTTGGCGCACTAGCTCTGCATGTTTGAAAGCATGAATTCTTCAGTTTGTAAGTATTTTCTATGCACGGCTTTCGACTTTTTTTGACGTTTTGGAGCATGACCGTTACTCCTTGCACTAAACTCTTGTCCGAATGATGATTCAATCAAATTATCATGGTCTTTTAACTCCACGACACTAATACGACAACCCATCCATGTACTAACACTTGATGCAAGCCAGTCCTTGGAGCCATTTCAGCTTGCCATCTCCAGCCATTTTAACTGAAAACGAAACGACGGCACGACTGATCCGCAAGCTGTGTTTCTTCTGTCGCTTATTCTTCTCGGCTTGTCCCTTGCATGTGACTTCCAGGGGCTCGCCGATTTCTTGGGCGGGGCTTCCACAAATGGCACGGGACCGACCTCGAGCGGGGAGGAGGTGAGTGGTGGAGAGCTTTGCTGCCCCCGCGACCGACCAGGTTCACCGCGGTTGCATGCATCGCTGTCGTGTTTGGCTGGATGAAAGTCGGGCGGTGTCGGAATGGCTTTTCGATCGTTCTGCAACGCGAGAGCCGCGCGAAGCGGTGCGGGGAATCAATGCGGAATCAATGGGGAGTCAAAATGGCGGCCCGCGATCATGGGGGATGCTTACTACTGGCGGCATGCCTGGCTGTGCTCGCCTGCGCCTGGCGATGCCTGGCCAGCAGGCAAGCCAGGGGAATCCCCGTGCAGGGCACTTTTGGAGCCAGCGGAGGAAGGGCTCGCTGCCAACAACCTCGAGGCGACGGTGAGGCGGGATAGAAATCTGCAGCGTGACGGTGCAGCGCCGTGCCAGGGCCGCGCCGGGGCCGGGGTCACGAACCCCGTAAAGCTCTCCTCGTTATGGATGAGCGCCGCGTCCGCGAAATCCCTCTAACTAGGCGAGAGACATTGTGACGCGGGATCAGACGCTGACGGCGCTGTCGTGCCGCGGCGACCCTCTCCGGGGGGCCGAGGCAGCCGAGGCTGGGGTTGAGACAGTTGGTGGGCCACGCTGTGGCCTCGCCGGTTGGCCCGGTGGGCCCTGGGCTGCCCTGGCCCGGTGGGCCGGTCGACGCTGTGGGCCCGGTGGGCGGGGTGCATTCGGCAGGGGAGTCAACGCGCTGCACCACGCCACCCACGCCGAGTGTAAGTCTCGGAGCTCAGTCGATATCGCCGGGCACAGCGTGGCGGCGCGCGGCGCGGCGGTCGCGGAGGGCGCATGCGCGCGAAGGGAGGCTGTGAACCCGAAGGGCGGCGGCGGACGCGGCCTGGAGGGCGGACGGCCTGGAGGGCCCGAGGGCTGGAAGAGAGTGTAGCACCGGGCACAGAAGGGCCGAAAGGACGGCGGGGCCGGCGGGCCGTCGGGGCCGAGGGGGCGAGGCCGACGGAGATGGGAGGTAAACCAGTACCGTCTGGCTTCGCCGGGCTCTTTTTGCCCGGAGAGGCAACGCCAAGGGAATGAGTAGCGGTACACGTCGCCGGCTGCTGCTCAGTGATGCACGCCAGGCGGCGCCAGGCCAGGCCGCTGCGTCTGGCTTGTCTAGCCGCACGGTAGAAGTAACGCCGCAAAACCCTTTGTCCTTCTCAGACTAGGACAGGCCAGGCCGGGCCAGGCCCGTCTGCGTCTGCTACAAGTGCGCGCCGCGTGCGCGATGAGTAACGACCGCCAGTAGGCTGCTTCCGAACAGTCGTTCCGTCTCCCTCGCACTCATGGAGCGCTCCGTAGGGGTGCGTGAGAGACAGAGTGACGTAGCTGTGTCCGGAACCAGACCTCTGTGTGCGGCTTTGTAGATGAGTACCATTATGGAGTGTGGCCTCGCCACGACTACTGTAAATAGACGTAGTGGCGCGTAGTGGAGTACGTGGGGCGACTTCCACCGGAGTAGAACTGGAGAGTACAATCAAAAGTGAAGATTGGAAAATGGCGCATAATGCGGTTGCCAGCGAGTTTTTCACCCGGTAGCATTTTTTCAGTCAAACTGTTTTAGGTACAAATTTTTTGGTTGTCGCTCCACCACCGGCTTGTTCATTGCGCTTTAGCCCGCTTTGCTCACGACGTAGCCTAGCCGCCGCGAGATCCAATACGCCCAGTGTAGATACGACACGCATCTGACACAAACACGCGCCCCTGGGCCCATAACTCCTCATCGACCACTCTCACTGAGCTCCGGTGCCTGCATGGTGAACGGGCGCATCGCAGCACGCTTGGGCGGGAAGGCCGGGGCGGCCGCGACTTGGGGCACGTTCTGGGCCCACCATGCTCATCACATGGAGTTCGGTTCATGCGAACGATGGCACTAATGGATTGCCCTTAAAACAAAGAACGGCCTGGCACTCTCATTAAAGACGCATGGAACTCGGAGGCGTCTGTGCCCGCCCAGACTGGCCTCCTTACCCACAGTGCGCAGCACGCTTGGAATGGCTGCGACGAGCAGGGCAGTGCCTCGGCAGTGTGTCCCGGCCCAGGCTGACGGCCCTCTTTGTCTGCAGACCACCACCCTGATAGGCTTGCTCAAGACGGCCCGGCTGCTGCGGCTTGTTCGAGTGGCGAGGAAGATCGACCGCTACTCCGAGTATGGCGCGGCCGTCCTCCTGCTGCTCATGGCCTCGTTCGCCCTCTCGGCGCACTGGCTGGCCTGCATCTGGTGAGGAAACGACGGCGGGCGCGCGTTCTTGAGTGGCAAAATAAGAGAGAAATGGCGTCTCTTAAAATTGGGGCGCTTCTTCTTGGCTGTTGCAGGTATGCCATTGGGACTGCCGAGCGCCCCAGGCTGCTGGCAAAAGTCGGCTGGCTGGATGCTCTGGCCAACGAGACCCACCAGTTTTACGGCCCCAACAACACGGGCGGCCCTTCTATCAAGGTGAATATTCAGCGGATGAATAAAAAATAGGGGTCAGGCCCGGAGGGGATCGGACCGGGAATCTTTGGTGGAATCGGCGAGCGCGCTAGGGGACAGCGCTGGGTGTATTTAATTGCTCCGCAATGACAGGTCCAATTAACCCCTTTTGTGCTCCTCTGTACAGTCGCGCTACATCACGGCCCTCTACTTCACGTTCAGCAGTTTGACGTCGGTTGGCTTCGGCAACGTCGCACCGAACACGGATGGAGAGAAGATTTTCACTATCTGTGTCATGCTGGTGGGCTGTAAGCATTCTGCAAAACAATTTTCATATGAAAAAAGACGAAACCAAGTGATAATTGTTTGACTACTGTATGTGTTTAATTTGCAGCCCTGATGTACGCGAGCATTTTCGGTAATGTGAGTGCAATCATCCAGCGGCTCTACTCGGGGACGGCTCGCTACCACACGCAGATGTTGCGAGTGCGAGAGTTCGTTCGTTTTCACCAAATCCCCAACCCGCTCCGGCAACGGTTAGAGGAGTACTTCCAGGTAACTTTTCTTTTGCATTAATAGAACATACATCTTTGCGATAGAAAATAAAAACAAATGCTTTCTTTGCAGCACGCGTGGGCGTACACCAACGGTATTGACATGAACAGTGTCTTAAAAGGCTTTCCCGAATGCCTCCAGGCAGATATTTGCTTGCATCTCAACAGAACACTGTTAGACAACTGTTCTGCTTTTGAGGGGGCGTCGCCTGGTTGTCTCCGGTAAGGCTGTCTCTTGGTAACAGTTATTTTCCTAATATTTTTGTGTACTTTTTGTTCTGTATTCGTATTTGACTTTCATACCCACAGGGCGCTGTCGCTCAAGTTCAAAACAACTCACGCTCCCCCCGGAGACACACTGGTCCATCGGGGGGACGTCCTCACCAGCCTCCACTTCATTTCCAGAGGGTCCATTGAGATTCTCAAAGACGATGTTGTCATGGCAATTTTGGGTGAGTCTGGTCCCCACTAATTAGCGGATGGCATAATGCGGAGGGCTGGTCTGTAACCTTAACGAACCCCTTTCAGGGAAAAACGACATTTTCGGCGAGAGTCCTTGCCAATACGCCACGGTGGGCAAGTCCTCGTGCAACGTCCGGGCGCTGTCGTACTGCGACCTTCACAAGATCCACCGGGACGACCTGCTGGACGTGCTCGAGCTGTACCCGGAGTTCTACCACGAGTTCGCCAGCAACCTGGAGATCACTTTCAACATGAGAGATGTGAGTAGCGGGTGGAACCCGGTAGGCCCCGCTGGCGATACCCCGTGCCTGGATTACCCGTAGACGTGGAGTACCTCCGTGGTCGTAACTGGTGATTCCCGTCCAGGAGGACCAACCCGGCGTGGACCCGCGGTTCCTCCGCCACCGAGCGTCCAGGTGCTCGTCTTCGGACGACCACGTGGACGGCGAGTCGACGGAGCTGCGGCGCGCGGCCCCGCGGGACAAGGCCCCGCGGAAGAGGAAGGCAACGGGGCAGGCCGCGGACGCCGCGAGACAAGGCGGCGACCCCGACGGCGGCGAAGGCGGCCCGGGCAGCGCCAAGAGGAAGGCCTCGGTGCCGCGGCAGGCCAGCGACGACACGTCCGCGTCGGAGTGGTAAGGCCCGCGCCGACGGCTAGGCAGCCCAATCAGCGCGGAGTGCGTTGGGCTACCTACCTCCTCGGCGTGAACGCTCTTCACATCGCCTTGCCCTGCTCTCGCAATGACACGCTCTTTGCCCAACAGCGAGAAGGTGGTGAAGCTGGACGTGCGGCAAGACGGGGGCAGCCGGGCGGCCCCGCAGGTGGCCGTGTTCAGACTGCAGCAGAGGCACGCCGACGGCGCGTCCGCCGACACCACCGCGGCGGACAGCTCGCCGACGCTGGCGCCCCAAGTGGCGGAGCTCAGCGCCAAGGTGGAGCGCCTAACCAAGTGAGTAAAGTCCTGCCAGCGTCCCGCCAGCGCCGGCGGAACTGACCGGCGGAACTGACCGGCAGACACGCGCTGACACGTATTGCTTCGGATGCCGGCAAAATTGCTTTCTGTGCAGGCATCTCCAGCGACTGGAGGAGAACATGAGCAACGACGTTCGCCAGATCCTCGCCCTCATGCAGGCCAACTTCCAGTCGGCGTCTGCCACTGCGGCAACTGCTGCCAGTGCACACGCGGCGGAGCTAGCGGAGTCGAGAGAGGTGCGCGCGCCGTCTCGTCTGACAAACAAAGTAAAAAAGTCTTTAAAAAAATTTCTTTTCATTTGCATTTTATGGATGCAGGTAGCGGCCGACAGCTCGTTGCGGCACGCACACCCGGTTCAGCGCAGCTCAAGCCTTCCCCAGAACACAAGCTCAGGGACTAGCCCCCTCCCCCAAGCCAGGTGAGGGTGTCGTCCACCCAGGATGGGTGGCTGGGCGGCAAGCTCGGTGGGGGCCGGCAAGCCACGGCCACCACGGCCACGCCTCAGTGCCGCTGCCCGACCACTCATCCTAATGTGTTCAGTTCAGCGAACAGGGTGCACGATAAATTATTTAGCAGGACGAGGGTGCCACGTCACAGAAATGGCGTGGAGGGCGCGTCAAACACGGTACCACGGTTCACAATGTTTGTTTTTTTCGTCAGCTTCTTGCCGCCAAAGTCATCAGCAAGGCTGGCACAGCACCAGCTGAGACTCTTGCCGCCACCCAGGAGTCAGTCCAGCCCTCTTGATCTCATCCAGGTGAGTTGATGCACCAGGCTCGGGCTGGCCAGGGCAGACAGGCAGAAAAATCTACCGGGGCCTTCGCGTTTGGGACGAGTAACGTCACAAAGTTGGTCAAAGAGTGACTGAATCTCCGAAAGTAGCCGTTTTCGCTGATTTTGGGCGGCCACTTCGTCCGATCTAGTTGCGGCCAACGGTCTACCTCGACGCCCTAGTATTCTTAAGACCCTACTCTTTCATGCCCTGCATCGGGAAGAAGTTGACCACAACGATTTTGGCTTTGACCGCAACGATTTTCCGACCAAGTTGGTCAAAAAGTGGTCGAATCTCGGAAATTTGCTGATTTTGCTGACTTTGGGGGGCCACTGTGCCCAATCTAGTAGCCGTAAAAGGCCTCCCTCGACGTCCTAGGATTCTTAAGACCCTACTTTTTCATGCCCTGTATCGGGAGGACGTTGACCACAACGATTTTGGCTTTGACCGCAACGATTTTCCGACCAAGTTGGTCAAGAAGTAGTCGAATCTCGGAAATTTGCTGATTGTTCTGACTTTGGGTGGCCACTGTGTCCAATCTAATCGCCGTAAAAGGCCTCCCTCAACGCCCTAGTATTCTTAAGACCCTACTCTTTCATGCCCTGTATCGGGAAGAAGTTGACCACAACGATTTTGGCTTTGACCGCAACGATTTTTCGACCAAGTTGGTCAAAAAATGGTCGAATCTCGGAAATTTGTTGACTTTGGGGGGCCACTGTGTCCAATCTAGTTGCCGTAAAAGGCTTCCCTCGACGCCCTAGTATTCTTAAGACCCTACTCTTTCATGCCCTGTATCGGGAAGGCTATTGACCGCAACTAGTTTGGGAGCGGTAGCCTCACAAAGTTGGTCATGAAGGGTAAAAACATAATGATGATTGGGGGCCTTTTGCGGTCTTATCCGCTGGGGCCTTTTGGGGGCCAGTCCGAACCTGTGATGCACTGGGGCAACGAGGCCAAGGGGCCGTCCTTAAACTAACGACACTCGGCTTGCAGCATTCCCCGTCGCCCAGTCGCCGCGAGCTGTCGCTGTCCTCGCAGTCCTCGCTGCCCGCCAGCTCCGTTCGGATCGATCTCAGGTACGTGGCGCGTCTCTCGGTTAGCACGTCGACTTGCACTGCCAATAAAAGGGCTCTTTTCCACAGTCCACAGCCAATAGCACGGGACGCATCCCTCCCTAGGGAGTCGTTCCCTGGGGAGCCCATCCCTAGGGAGCCGTTCCCTAGGGAGTCCCTCCCCCCTCCCGAATGCACTGTGCGGGGGGCACCCATTGCCCGACTGGAGTCCCTGGATGAACTGGACAAGGTGTGTTGGTTCGCCCTCCCTCGGCCACCCTTAAGACGCCCTGTAAACAAACTTTCTCACCGACATTTTCTCTTTCTTTTGTCTCAGGCCTCCACATCTACCAAGTCGCGGACGCCGACGAGCTCTGCGTCATCCTCCAGAGGCAACTTAGGAGCGATGTCGTCGGAGGTGTAGAAGCGCAGTGGTGTGCATGTGTGCATGAACCTCTTTAATCTGAATGTGATATTAATGTTGTGATAGAACACCTCAATGTGAAATTTGGAAGAATGTGAGAATAGACGGATAGTACGACGTGTTTTTTTGTTGGGTAATGTTTGTAAGGGTTTGTTTTATCTGTGTTATATCTTTATTTGCTCATGGAATGTTGGTATTCGTCGGTTCGTGACTGCCTATCATTGAAAATTTTTGGGATTTCACACGAGATCTCACACGATGCGAAAGGAACTTCGCTCCAATTTATCTTCTACGTATTAATCATATTTCTCCTTCTGTGTTACTAAGTGTTATTAAGTATTATTATTGGTGTAGTTCGCTACTGAATTTAAATGTTTTCACAAAGTGCAATATGATATCCAAACTTGTTTTCGTACACGTGTACTCTTCACCTTTCTATTCGGTCAATTCCATTTGTTACCATAAGCTTAGTTTATTTATTGTGTTCACTCAGCCCCCAAGAGAATGAAAGCCGTCCGCAAAAGGAATGTGCCGTGGAAATTTAACTTGACCTGTTCATTTAAAAAATCAGCCAAATACTCAGCCTGTCAACGTGTGTCAAAGTTTGTTCATTTTTAATTTCATAATCGTAAAAATTGGTTTTCACTTATTTATCATTTTAACGAGGCTGAAAAATGAGACAACAGAATCAAATTTGAGCGTATCAAAAGAGTAACTTACATAGTGTTTTTTCTACACTGACTGTATAATTGCCTTTCAAGAAAAGAACCAAACTGTTTTTACTGTGCGTATATATAAAAATTCTTGGTGTGTAGTGGAATATGACTCGCCCCGAAAGATAGAGGGTGTCCTCTTCTGGGTGATTAGTAGTGCACAAACTGTCGTGTCTGCCTGTAGGAGTTACCGTCGACCTGTCTTCTAACAGCGCATAGCTGCTGATCGGAGTCTTGGACTTCACATACCGCTTTTAATTAGCCGGAATTTATTTTACACCCGAGGTCACGTGTATAATTATTTCCTTTCATTGGAACGAAGAAAATATTTGCATATTCTAATTTTCTTTTGTCAAAAAGTAACTTGGAACAGAAATTGAAGAAATTTGAGGAACGATTTGAAGGGATAGTTTGCCGGACGACGGAAGTGTAGCGACACCGTAACATTTACATTCCATGCATTAATGTTAAAAAAAAAACATTCATGATTTATTTTTTTCGGCATTGAATATGAAGAAGAGAAACATTTTTGCTTTGCTTGGACGAGCCACAGAGGCCACAGGGTACGAGTTTCAAACTAAAATATTTGCCTTTTGCTCAAAGTGGTGGGTGCATAAGTTGCGAGTCACCAATTCAATGTATGTGTATATCAACCGGAATGGTTCTTAAACTTCTTTTGTGTTCCTGATTCATACTGTAAAAGGAGTATGCGTTTTGAAATTTATCCTCTGTGTTTTTATCTTTGGCGTCGTCCATTGATAAGTGAAAAAGACTGCATAGGATTAACGTGAGAGATTATAAAAGACCATGCTGGCATAGGTCATCTATAGACTAATGATTAAATGAACCTGGTATCCGACTCTGCAATAAGACGAACCATTTAAATGAAGTGGTTCTCAAGGGTAATTCTTAAAACCGCTAGGAAGGGGGTTCTTTGAAGTGATTTGCCAACTGTGTGGTTGGAACCTCTGCGCCCCCTCCCCCGTCCCTCCCATGATATTTCGCGCTTTCATCTAAGTAATCGAGTCGTGTGAAAAGTAGTACTTTTGCTTTCAAACTACCAGTAATTATGTCAGTGTGTTAATTTCATCGTTAGGTCGTTTTCTGAATGTTCGTGAAGAACTGGCTGTTTCTGCTAGAAAGAAAAAAGTAGTATGCGTTATCCAAGGGGGGCTGACTCCTATAATACTTCGTACACAGACCTATAATACTTGTATAATACCTATAATACTATAATCCATAATACCAAAAAATGCCGCACATTTAGTGCAGTTTCGGGTTCAAAATGAGAAAGTTTTGTAAAATTGTGGTGAACAGGCGTTCAGCGATTTTTAGACGGATCGTTAGAGTAAGGAAATGGCGCTAAGGCTGATGACAAGGTGCTGAGGCTCTTAAAGATGCGCGGTAGTATTTTGAGGCTCAGGAGCGCAAGCCGGAATCCTTGTTTTCAACTAACTTGCGTATTTCGGAAACCTTTGGTACACGGAAAACCACTTAAAACGACACAATTATCTAAATAAAATGTTCGGAATAATACCTATAATACTCTATAATACCTATAATATATAATACTTCGTACACGGTTCGGGAGAGTCAGCCCCCCTTGGCGTTATCTACGCAAAACGGTGTAGAATTTTGATGAGTTTTCGAATTTTTAAATATCGTTGGCACGTATCCATACTGAGAAAGGATTCCATTTTAGCATGTAGGAGGACGCGATGTGACAGTGGTGCGTCTATATGTAGCAAGGCTGTGTAATGATTTGATAGGTTTTCCAGATAATAGAATGTATTAAGCCTTTAAACGAGATACTTAAGGTTCGCAGTTCCATTAAAGTCATCTCAATTGCACAAATTATCTAGTATTGGCAGACAAAAGCGTATCTTCTTTTTGCGCAGCGAACTTTTTTTGTACGTCTTTGTCAGAGGTCTAAGATTTTTGATGTTTAGGTCTTTTATTTCATCAAAATAAACCCTATGGACAAAACTCCGACAAAGCTCATTACAAATTATGGAAGGCCAAGACGTTTTCCGACGCTGTATTTTTTAAAAGTCATGGACTGTTGCAAGTGCAAGTGGAAGACTTTCCTGTAGCGCGTAAGGGGTCTTTTACATACCAATGGAAAAATGATTCGCAATTTAATTGCCCCCTCCCTTTTTCCACTAAATTGACGTCCCAGACGTCACTACTTCATACTTTTTTACGAAAACAGTTGACGTGGTATGTGACGGGCCCCTACTCCTAAACTATACGAGAAACAAGTCAGTTGCCTCTGTTTTTTTTAAATCCTGTTTCATATTTGTACTTGTTCAATACTGTATTTTTATTTGACGCCGCGGGCATCTTTGTTGTAAATATACTTAGACATTTCAATTGAAATGGGTTCTTAGTTCGTCTGAACGCAATAAATATCCGATTCTCAACGGCAGTTGTTCTTCATTTCCCTTGCCGTTGTGCAGTGACCTTCACAACATGGTGTGGCGCAGACTGTGGAGAAAATAGAACCGTCTTGCCTGCCAATTGACACCTTTAAGGCACACCGAAAATTTGCATGTGTTTCTAGGCCCCGGTGGCGGGGCGTAGCGGGATCCTGCGGGACCCAGCGGGGCCCAGCGGGGCCCGGCAACGCGTTGGCCGTCGCCAGTCAGTCTGTGGCGCGTGCCGTGCCAGTCCCGCAGGCTCCTCCATGGAGATCCCCGACTTCTACCGGGGCCGCAGCGTGCTGCTGACGGGCGGCACGGGCTTCATCGGCAAGGCCCTGGTGGAGAAGCTGCTCCGGTGCTGCCCGGAGGTGGAGCGCCTCTACCTGCTGGTGCGCGACAAGGATGGCGTCAGCGCCGAGAAGCGGCTCAGCCAGCTGCTGGCGCTGCCGGTACGTCCAGGACTCAGCGAACGAAATGGATCTGCCGATACCCCACGCGCAGGACGTGCTTTCAGGGCACTTGCGCGCGGAGTGGCGACGGGGGTTGTTTTCACTGATTCTCCGCGACGTTACCAATGATTGTGTCTCTTGCGCGCGGGGTAGCGGCACGCATCCATTCACTCCCGGTAAGCGCCTCGCCGCCGAAACGGCTCACGAACACCGCCCACTCTGGGGCGCTCGGCTGCGCTCGGCAGGTGTTCGCGGGGTGCCCCATCGCCAAGGTGACGGCGGTGGCCGGTGACGTGTCCGTCCCCGGACTCGGCCTCAGCGACGAGGACCGCGACGTCCTGGTGTCGCACGTGTCCGTCGTGCTGCACTCGGCGGCCACGATCATCTTCACGGAGCCGCTGCCGCTCGCCGTGCTGCTCAACGTGGAGTCGGTGCGCCACGTCGTGCAGCTCGCGCGCGCCATGAAGCAGCTGGCGGTGAGTGCACGCCACCCCCGTCGCGCGGCCGCAAGGATGCCCTGACGCGCCGCCAAAGCCCCCTCCGCCCTCAAGGCCTTCGTGCACGTGTCCACAGCGTACAGCAACTGCAACCTGCCCTCGGTGCGCGAGGAGGTGTACCCGCCGCCCGCCGACGTGCACGACATGATCCGGAGGGCCAAAGAGGACCCCGACGGCTTGGAGAGGGACGCCACGCAGTGAGTAGCAGCCCCGCGCGCCGCGCGCCGTACGCCGTGCCGGCGAGGCGTGTGCACGGTGTGCACTTTCCACGTAACACCGCGGCCCTTGTGTGCAGGCTCATCGGGGACCGGCCCAACACCTACACCTTCACCAAGGCCCTGGCCGAGAGCCTGCTGGTGGAGGAGGCGGCGGACCTGCCGCTTGCGATCGTCCGGCCTTCTATCGGTGTGTAAGCGCGCTGCTCCCAGTTAGCTGAAGGATCGTTTCGCCGCTTTCTTGTCGCACTCGTGGGGCGTTCCGCGGACAGGGTGCGGAGGAACAGAGCGACGAAACGTTTCTTCGGAGCCGCTGGGCTGCGAATGACTGACTTCATTTTCTCTTGGCCCGGCAGTCGGCTGGGCGTGGCGCGACCCGAGCCCCGGGTACACGGACAGCGCCAACGGCATGATGGGCCCGCTGGTGCTCCTGGCCCAGGGCGTGGTGCGCAGCTCCCTCATCAATGTGAACTGCGTGGTCGACCTGGTGCCGGTGGACCTGGTGGTCAACACCGTCCTGGCCGTGGCGTGGCACACGGCGAGGCGGCGGCCACCCGAGGCGCGGCAGGACCAGGACCTCGTCGGCGCGGCGCCGCGGACCCCTGCGCGGCCCACGGTGTACAACTGCGTGACGGGGGCGCACAACCCCCTGCTGTGGAGCGAGCTGGTGCCGTGCTGGCTGTATCGCGCCCGGGAGCAGCCGCCCGCCACAGCGGTGTGGTGGCCGTTCCTCTACGTCACCACCTCCCCGCGGATGTACCGCCTGTGCAGCTTCCTCACCATGATCCTCCCCGCCGCCTTCCACGACGCCGTCATCGCGCCGCTGCTGGAGAGGCCCGCCACGTGAGTACCGGTGCATGCCGCCGCGCCCCTCCCCCGCCACTGCAGCAATGAGCGACCGTTGCAGGATGCTCCGCAAGACGCGGAAGGTGATCCGACTGCTGGAGGCCATCAGCCCCTTCTCGATCACGGACTGGGACTTCAAGGACGACAACGTGCGCGGCCTGTGGTCGCTGCTGTCGGGCCGCGACCGCGTGCTCTTCCCCCTGGACGTGGAGGCCATCGACTGGGACACCTACTGCAAGGCGGCCTTGGCGGGCTCCAAGCGCTACCTGCTTAAAGAAGACGGCGCCGTGGGCCACCCCCGCAGGTGCGCCTCCGTTTCCAAAGATTAGCCTTTCGAAGCTATCTGCCTTTCGATTACGTTCTCGCATTTTCTGACCGTTTTGTCCCTTGTTTTGTCTCAGACTGTACCTTCTGCACCGACTCACCCAAACCGCGCTGGCGTCCGTCCTGCTGGCCCTGCTGGGCTGGGCCACGTGGCCCTACCTGGCCCGGCTGTGGCCCTCAAGCACCGTCAAGTTCATCAAGTTCGTCCTGTCCAAGTGCTGATATTGAATCACACCACACCATCATCAATCATAAAAGTATTAAAATATTTTTAAAAAATTCAAATGCGTTTTGTCATTTATGCCCAAGCCCCCCCCCTCCCCCCGTGCAATAATTTATAAATAATGTCTCAGTCTAATCCCAACTGAGATGTAGGTCAAAATGGATCCATCCCGCTAAATGTAGAAAGCCAAGACGCTGACCCACCCCGCTAAATTTGTAAAGCCAACATTTTAATGAATAAAAATATGAATATGAGTCGATATGAGTCCCCCCGAAAAAAAAGGATGTATCTATAGGTCCGTTTTTCATTGGTGCACAATATTACTTTCCGCCTCAAAAAGTTTCGTCTGGCGGTGTCGTTGCAGTGTGCCGCACCGCGGCCACCGCACTATAAACGCCACTATTGCTTCCTCTCTGGGCCTGCCGAGCGATGCCGAAGAGCCGTGAGATCGCTCTCTACCGCACTCATTGGGGTGGCTAGTAGGTGTGTGAGAGAGGCAGCCACTGTTCGGAAACGATCGCCTGCCCCTGGGCCACTGGGTCAAGGGCCTGGCGGCCCTAGCGGCGGCCCTAGCGGCGGCCCTAGCGGCAGGCCTGCCCATCCGGAGGCCGTCCGGGGCCACGCCGCCGCTATAAGAGTCCCGGACGGCCGGGCCTGAGCACAGTGCCCTCCAGGAGCATGGCGTCGGCAAGGATCCTCATCGCCGTGGTCGCCCTGTGCGCCGCGCTGCACGCCAGCGCCGCGTCGCCATCAGAGGTGAGGGTCCTCAGGTGGCGCAGACACCACCAACCTTTGATTACGAGGTTTCTGAACTTGTTTATCTCCCCCGGCCGCGGGCCTCGCAGCGAGCCCCGGCGCAGGCGAAGCTGGGCGGCATGACGGAGGCGTGCAAGACGCGCGGGCTGCCATCGCCCTGCTCCGTGGCCTGCTCCATGTCCGCCAGGCTGTGCCGCGCGTGCTGCGCCGCCGTGGCCACCTTCACCACGGCCCCCTCCACGGCCTCCAGCGGCTCCAGCGGCGGCGTCTCCAGCAGCACAACCGTGCCGGACATCGGGCCGCTGCCCTCCGACGAGGAGATCCTCAGCAAGGGCATCGCCAAGTCCGCCAACTGCCTGGCGCAGTGCTCCACGTTCCCCGCCAAGCAGATCCGAGCCATCCTCAAGGACCCCAAGGCCAACGACAGCGACCTCAAAGAGCTCACCAAGCAGATGACCGCCCTCAACGCCGACCTGCCGTGGTCGACGATCCTGGAGAACGGAAACAGCAGACCATTGAGCATATCTGTCCTTTGCGAGAACGGCAAACTATCGTGCTAGGTTACCTTACTATTTTGTATCATTATACCCTCGACAAACCCCATTCTCGTGCCAATTGCCAAACCTGCCACCCACGGCCACAGTGAGACGCAACGTAAGCGGTGACGCCCCGCCGCCCCGCGCAGCGACCTGACAGGGACAGTGATCCATTTGGGCCGCTCTGACACTGACACGAAATCGGCCTGTCTGCCGAAGGCCGACACGGGCCGAAGGGAGGCGTTCTACAACGCATTCGCCGACATGAGGGCCTTCTCGGCGGTGCTGGCCGCATGCCGCTGGTGCGGCCTGGCGCCCTACGTGCTGCAGCAGGACAAGACCCTCACCAAGTCCGCGGGGTGGGCCAAGTACGGCGTCCTCATGCTCTCCGCGGTCAGCGTCCTCCACACCGCGGGTACCCGACACACACACTCACATTCACACATCCGGCTGCGTCTCACTCTGAAGTGGGGCTTGAGGTAAAACGGAAATCGAAGGCGAGGGCTAAGGCCGCGTCGTGTGCTTGGCAGTCTTTGTGATCCACTGGCCGATCCTCATGACGAACCCCTGGTACGTGGTGGCACACGAGCCCATCGTGCTGGCGGCCACCTTGACGATGTGCGTGGTGGTGGTGCGGGGCCAGTACAACACGCTGGCCATGCCGCTGGCCGCCCTGGCGCCGCCCGAGCGCCGCCTGGACCTCCGCGCCGTCCTGGAGGTGCTCACGGTGCCCGCCTTCCTGCTCACCGCCTTCGGCTTCAGGCTGCAGCAGGCGTACAACTCCTCCTCGTGGATAGAGGTGCTGCACTTCACGAGCATCTACATCGTGGCCGTCCTCTACTTCGTCGAGTGCTGCTTGTTCGCAGTGCTGATGCAGGGGCTGGCCAACAAGTACGCCGCCGTCAACGACAGGCTCCGGGAGGTGATGCTTGGCGGCGGCGAGGGTCGCGCGGTGTTCAGGGTGGCCGGTCGGCACGGCGCCATCGTGGACATCCGCAGGCAGCACCGCGCCGTGGGCCACCTCAAGCAGCAGGTGTGGGACAGCTGCGGCGTGCCGCTCACCATCTCCTGCTTGTGGTGCATCAGCCGCCTCACCGTGCTCACCGCCGCCACCCTGTCCAACGCGCGGGGCGCCTTGTTCTACAGCGACCTCTTCGTCAACAACGTGGGCAGGTCGATGCCACCCATCATCATCACCTTGGCAGCCGATAGGTGTTTGTCGCAAGTAAGCCGTGCTGTTATTCCTGTAGGCCTGTCTAGCCTGCATCCATTTTACACACATTCATATCCTAATGAAATGTGTTCAAGGGAAATCGGACCCTGGACTTGGTGCACGAGTGCATGGGCCAAAGTGACGTTTCTCCCGAGGAACTGGACGAGGTAATGATTAGTGAAATTGAAAAAAAAATTCAAAAACATGGCATTTGAAGTAATATTTTTCCTTGCAGCTAACCATCTTTGCGATGTTTCTCTCTCACCGGCCAGTGCAAATCCGCATGATGGGGTTCATTTTAATTGAACCTCCTCTCATCATCAAGGTACGGTTGTTGGACGTCAGCCAATACGTGCCCATAATATGAGCTCGAAGAGCGTCTCTTTGATTTTCATTTCTCCTTCCTCCAACACAGACGTTCGGGGCTGTTTTCAGTTTGTTACTTTTCTGCATTCTTCAAGGCTAACCCGTACCACAGGCTTCATATTTACCTCTTTTCTACATTCACACACATGCACACGCTAAACCACACGCACACAACGCACACGCACCCTCACTTACACTTACACAAATGATGGGGTCCAGAGCACGGCCCTCGTGACAGCGTAATGGAGCAGGGCTTGGGGCCGCGGTGGCCGCGCTGATGGTGGGTCTGGCGTACTTTGCGCGTGGCCCCCTGGACATGAAGACGGCCCTCAGGGTGCTGGCCGCGGCCCGGTGGTGCGGCCTGGCGACCTGCGTCGTCGACCTGGCCGTCGACCGCCGCTCGCAGGGCGCCTCTCTCGACCCTCCCGACCGCCCCGCGTCCTACAGGGACTCCACGACCTGGCGGGCGTACGGCGCGGCCCTCCTCGCCCTCCTCGCCGCCTACCAAGTCCTGGGTTGGTGGAACGTCGCGTGGCGGCTCTGTAGCGGGTTTTGGTACGAAACCTCCTCGGAAATCTTACACAACTTATGAACCTCTTCAGGTTTTGTGGCGTTAGCCCTGCGTTTCCCCCCCCTGGCGTGGTTCACCTACCTCGCGTTGGGCATGGTGATGTTCAACTACTGCGGCGTGTGCCTCACCGTGGTGCGCCGCCAGCAGAGCGACCTGCTCGCCATCCTGACTGAGCTGGCGCCCGCCCTGCCGCGGACGCCGCGCAGCCACCGCGTGGCCATGGCCGTGCTGGCCGCGTTGCTCTTAACGGGGCTCGCCTTGCGCTGCACCGTCACGACCTTGATGATCTTGCCGTCCATGAAGGCTTTCCAGGAAAGCCCGTTCCCTCTGCCCGCCGTCGTGGTGTACGGTGCGGGCAACCACCTGTGCTCCTGCGTGACCGCCGCGGAGGCCTGCTTGTTCGGCACCCTGGCCCACGCCGTGGCCTACGAGTACGTCCGCGTCAACGCAGCCTTCATCCGAGCGCTGCTTCGGGGCGCCTGCTGTGGCCCGCGCTACGGCCTGGTGGCGGCCATGCGCGTGCGGCACCAGCACGTCGGCACGGTGCACCGGCAGCTATGGCGATGCTTCGGCACGCAGGTCCGTCTGAGTCAGGACGCCACTTCTTCAGCTCGCCAGACTGTCCCGACTGAACTGCCGCCGTCCCTCATCCAGGTCACCTTCATCTTCTTGACGGTGAGCGTGCAGCTGACCGACGCGCTGGCCAGGCTGGTGTCCTTCCGCACTTGGGGCAGCGTCCTCACCGTGGTCTTTCTGCTGCCTGAGGTGCTCTCGGTGTTCATCGTCGTCCACGTCGGCCAGAGGATACTCCACAAGGTACTCTTTCCCTGCAACGATCCCGTGTCCTCGATAGCCTTCTGCAAACTTCTTCCGCACAGCGTTTCACCGCTCGGTATCTCTCGAATCTTGATGGAACTCCACATGGTGCGAGAGAGACAGTGCGACAAAAGCGATGTCCGTAAAACGGCTTGTGTTTTGCCAGGGGAACTTCATGTTTGAGCTGGTTCACGACGCCCTCAACGTGGAGGGGATATCTGCCGCTGAGAGGGAGGAGCTCTTGGTGTTCTCCATGTACCTTGTCCAGCGTCCCGTGTCCACTCAACTCATGGGGTTCATATCTGTCCAATACACCATTCTGATCAAGGTAAACCGCTGGCTTAAACTGCGGTATCTTTAATTTGGCGACAGGCATCAGTTAATTTTCTCTAACGCGAGGAAGTTTTGTCTTTGTTCTAGGCCGCCGGTGCAATATTAAGTTATCTCCTCGTATGTCTGCAGTTCTGATCATTAGGTTGCCTACCTTGCAACCAAAAAATTCAAAATTTCGGTGGTTAGCATCAAGGCGTGCTGCAATAAAACATTTTCTTCCGGAGCCCTGCTCTTGCTACACCGCCAAATCTCGCCGCCGGGACTGTGGAGCGCCTGCTGGGTAGGCACTTCAGGTGCACGCGAGCGCGCTGGGTTGCCTACCCGCCGCTCCGCAGGCGCTTGGTCCTGGCCGTGCGGCTGGCGCCGTGTTTTTGTGCGTGTGTGTGTCTCCCTCCCCGAGCGCGGCCAGTGTCGGGCCGCCGGGCCCACAATGCAGTGGTCTGCACTTGGAGCCGGCAGTGCCGGTGGCAGTGCCGCAGCGCGGACCGCCCTGCTGCTCGCGGCTAGCCTCGCGTGCGCGGCGCGGTTCGCGGGGACGGCCTCCACCGCCAGGGCCAGCGACGCCAACGCCACCGCACCACCCAGTCCCTGCAACACGGTACGCACCAGGCCGCCCAGATGACAGCAGTGTCCTCTTCTTATTTTTCAATTCGATATTATTTTGTTTTGCAGACTGGTCTATCCTCCCAGAGTAACAATGTGGTGTCCAGGGTAAACCTCTTCCCGGTTGTTTGTGAATCGCATGATTTGTATGGCATTTGCTCGTAACGAAGATCGGTTCTCTCGGCAGGGGATCGGCTACCAGGTGTGGTTCATGCTCCAGATGACCTTCGGCTCCATGGCGGTCAGCGCGACACTCATTTTCATGTACTGGCTGTACGGACAGGGCTATCCCCAGCCCACGCCCAAGCCCAGGCCCAGGCCCAGGCCCCACACCCGGCCGCCTTGCAATTGTTCCTGTTGAGTGCACAGAGAGCACTGCAGCCGAAGTAAAGCAGGAGCACGCACGCCTGTCCCACACTGTGTTTTCTCAAGGACGAAACAAGAAATGTCAAAAAAATATGCGGTTCAAATAGCCTTTTTAGTTGTTTTTTAAGCCACCACGCCCCACGTTGCACTGGTCCTTGTGCCTCCGTGCCGCGCCTTGTCGTCGTCGGCCACCCCGGCCAGCCTGTCACCTTGCAACGAGCAAGCCGACGTGGATGCGGTCAATCCACGGGCCAAGTGGCTTCGGTCAGGATCTCGGGGAAGTCCGTGTCCAGCAAGTCCTGCGTCGTGGGCCGCGAGGTCCTGCGCGTCGTGGTGTCCGAGGACTCGGCTGTCGCCCTGCGCGTCGTGGTGTCCGAGGACTCGGTGGTCGCCCTGCCCGTCGTGGTGTCCGAGGACTCGGCGGTCGCCCTGCGCGTCGTGGTGTCCGAGGACTCGGCGGTCGCCCTGCGCGTCGTGGTGTCCGAGGACTCAGTGGTCGTCCGTCCCGTCGTTTGGTCGGCAGTGGAGGGGACGGGGGACGACTTCGCATGAGTGCTTTCGGACGGGGAGCTCGGCGTCGTCGGAGGGGAGGTCGCGGTGGTCGACAGCGGCGCCGAGGGTGAGCCGACGTCGGTCGCAGGCGTCCAAGTGGACGACTCGTCCTCACTTTGGCTGGCGGAGAAGGAGTCTGGCTCCGTCGAGCCCGCCGCAGTGGTGCTTGGAGACCAGGGCGGAGGGGTGGTGCCGGCGGAGGGGAGGGGTGGAGGGGATGAAGGGGGCAGAGTCGACGAAGCGGGCGGAAAAGACGAAGAAGGGAGAAAAGACGAAGAGGGAAGAAAAGACGAGGAGGGAATAAAACCAGAAGAGGATGGAGAGGATGAAGGGGGCAGAGTAGAGGAAGCGGGCGGAAAAGAGGAAGGAGAGGACAAAGAAGAAGAAGGGAGAGAAGACGTAGTGGGCGGAGGGGACGAAGAGTGAATGGGCTGCGTGGGTGGGAGAGTGGAGTGCGTGGACGACGTGGGTGTGAAGTTCGTGGAAAGAGTGGGAGCTGAGTGCGTTGATAGCAGAGGTGTAGCATGCGTTGCTGCAGAGGGTGTAGTGCGTGTGGGCGGTACGGTTGCAGCGTGCGTCGACGGTGCGGCTGGAGAATGCGATGATGTCGGTGGAGACAAATGGGTGAACGACGTGAGCGTGGTGTGCGTAAGTGTTTCAGGCGTTGTATGCGTGGGCGACGGGTGTGTGCTGTGTGTAGACAACGAGAATGCAGAGTGTGTTGCCAGTGGAGTGTGCGTTAGCTGTGGAGGTGTTGAGTGCGTAGACAGTGGGGCTGCGGAATGCGTGACCGGCGGGGGTGTAGTATGCTGTAGTTGGGTTGTGGGTTCCACGTTTGCCGTTGATGTCTGCTCGTCAGAGTCCCGGAAAGTGGTGGCCGCGTGGATGTGCACTGTAGTGGCTGTCTGGGGCTGCTGGGTCGGGGTGCCCGGCGAGGTGATGCTCGTCGTCCGGAGCGTGGTGGAGCTCCCTGGTGGCGGCGCGTTGGACACCACCTCCACGAAGGTGACTACCGGTCCGAGGGGGTAGGTGAGCGGACGGGGGTTCGTCAGTGGCAGCGGCAGTGTGGTCGCTGGTGGGGTGGTGGGCACGAGTGGCTCGGTCGGTGGGGCCGGGCTGGGCCCCGTTGGCTGCGAGGGGTGGGTCGTGGTGGGGTGCCTTCGCGTGCTGGGGCGAGCCGTGTCCGTTTCACAGCACAACGTGGACGAGGGCCGAGGTGTGGCCGCATCGCCTGTGTCCGCGGAGGTCGTCCCGCCCGTGTAGGCGCCCAAGGGGTGCAGTGGGGGCCTGAGCGTGGGCTTCGTGGACACCGCCGCGTCCCCTGCTTCCGTGGAGGTGGTCCCTCCGGTGTATGCGCCCAAGGGGTGCGTCGGGGGCCTGACCGTCGGCCTGGACGCGTCACCCACCTCCGTGAAGGCGCCCAGGGGGTGCGTGGCGGGCCTGACCGTCGGCCTGACCGTCGGCCTGGGCGTCGGCCTGGCTGCGCCTGTTTCCGTGAAGGCGCCCAAGGGGTGCTGCGGAGGCCGGGGCGTGGGCCGCGGACTGGACGCGTCGCCTACGTCCAGTGGGGTCGTTCTACTCGTGAACGCGCCCAAGGGGTGCACCGGGGGCGGCACGCTGGCGTCAGTGAAGGAGCCGAGCGGCGCCGTGGGCCGGTAGCTCGAGGAGCCTGTCCAGGGCTCCGCGTCGGTGGCCGCCACTGTCGGCACCGTGGACGGCGACGTCAGCTGCCTCGTGGACACGGCGCTCTGGCCGCTTATCCTGGACGTGACGGCGACATCGCGCGGGGTCGATTTGGAACTGTATTTGGGCGTCGACAGGGGCGCAAGCGACACCGGCGGTGGATTGCTGGCGACTGTCGGCGCGGTTGGCACCACTGCAGTGACGGTCGGCTCCGAGTTGTACAACTCGCACAGAGCACTCTCAACCAAAGCGTAATCTGAGGAAACGAAACAGCGTGTCGACAATTCGTCAAAATAAACCGCTTCTGTCTGAATATAGTGCGTTACTGTTTTTATTTCTAAAGAGTTGGTAGTCTTGTCGCATTTGTGACCACTCTACTTCAAACCCCTCTGAAAATGCGAATCGTGCCGATACAGTGACGACATATTGACGTACTTGGTCCCTCTCTGCGGGAGTGATAAGTGTGGAGCCGAACAAAAGAAAGAAAAAATTAATTAGTTTCATCAAATTCAATCAAATATCGCTATTTCCATACACACGAAGTAAAAAACACATGTTCGACATCAACTTCAAACACACCTGACGTAGTCATTATCACTGCCTACTGAGTTTCCTCAGGTATTCCAATAAGTAAGTTGGATTGAATCAGTCGAGTACGTACAAAATGGTCCGTTTAAACAAAATGATTTATAGTGAGGAAGTACCTTCAGCGTGCCGACCAGTACCGGCATGTACTGGCAGCGCCCCATGGCTCCTCCGACGCCACCTGGCATCAGAACGACGTCAGCGTCAGCACACCGCGCTGGAGTGGCGCACAGCACAACGCACCTGCGTCTCCGCGTCCCCGCGTGCCGCCTGGTGCCTGCGCCTGGTGCCTGCGCCTCTACCGGTCCTTGTCCTTGTCCTTCACTTGGCAATTGCACACGCACGGCGGGCAGTACAGCCCGGGCCACAGTGGGAAGGGCGGCGGGGTGCTGGGCGGGGCGCCGGGCGCGAGGGACGTGTCCGCGTCGCCCTGCCCGGGGGCGGCGGGCTGCTGCGGGGGCGTGGCCTTGCTCGCCGTCGTGGAGCCGCTGAGGAAGTACGGCAGGGTCGGCATGGACGGCAGCGTCGGCATCGGCGGGAACGTGCCGCCCACGGGCCAGAAGGGCGGGAACAGCCCCCAGTTCGGGGACGAGTTCGCGGGGCTGGCGGCGGTCGCGGACGGCACCACCGGCTGCGGGGGAGATGGGGCCGGGACGGGTGGTGGAGGGGGCGGCAGCAGCGAAGGCGGAGGCGGCGGCGGCGGCAGGGAAACCAGCGGGTGAGGCACAAGTGGTTGCGAAGTAGGGGGTGTAGGGGGTACCGCGGACAAAGGATGCTGAGTCGCTGAGGGTGGCGCCGGCGAGGCGGCGGGGGGAGTCGCAGGGGGGTGCTGGGGAGGTGCTGGCGTCTGAGAGGGCGTGGCGGGCAGCTGCGGCGGAAGAGGCACTATAGGCACTAGAGGCTGGAGCGGTGGAGGTACAAGCGGCTGGAACGGCGGTGGCACGGGGGGAGGAGACGGCAGTGGCGGAGGGAGTCCAGGGTGCGTTGAAGTGGCGTGCTGCGGGTAGCCAGGATAGCCAGGAGCAGCCGAGTGCGACGGCGCGAGCGTGCCGGGGTGCTGCGCAGGGTGGGGCCCGCCGGGCGGCATGGTGGGCAAGAGGGCGCCCGGGAAAGGCGGCAGGGTGGGCGCCGGCGGGAAGGGCAGCAGGTTGGGCAGCGTGAAGTAGACGCTCCCCGCCGGCACGTTGGGGGCCGCTGGGTGCTGCGGGAAGGTGATGGCTGGCGGGGCCAGGGGCTGCGTCGGCCACCCAGGTGCTGGAGCGTGCGTGGGGGCCGCCGATGGCAACGTGGCAGGTCCTGCAGGGCCGACAGGCGGCAACGCGGTCGCTGTGGACACGGGGTGCTGCGACGTCCAGGGAGCCGGCTGCGGGTTTGGGGCTGTGCTTGGGGCTGTTCCGGGGATGACAGCCGTGGGGGGTGCAGGGCCGGGGCCTGGGCCGGGGGCAGGGCTGAGAGTGGATCCACCGCCAGACTGCGGCGGCGAGGGCGGTGCGTGGGAGGCTGCCGCGTGGCTGACGAGGACGCCGAAGTGCGGCAGGGTTGGCATCCCGGGCATCGGAGGCATTGTGGGCGGCGCTGGCCAAGTGACAGGGTGCTGCGGGCCGCCCGGGCCGACCGGGCCGACCGAGGGCGCGACCGGCTGCAGTGGCACCAGGGGCACCAGGGGCTGCAGCGGCGCCGGCGGGGTGCCCGCCGTCACCAGGCCGTCGGAGAAGCCTGGCAAAGGCGGGAAGGTGAGTGCGGGAGGCAGGGTGGGGGTGGGGCGGGTGGGTGCCCAGGGGGATGCGGTCGCGGAGGCGCTACTCGGGGACACGGCGCCGATGTTCGTGCTGGCCACGACCATGCTGGTGCTCGGCTTGAGCGGCTTGCTGGTCGGCCGGGCTGGCATGGCTGACATGGCCGTGGTGGAGGACGGCTCAGTCTCCGTACACATGCCAAGGGCAACCTGGGCGTAATCTGTACAAGGAAGGAGAATACTCTTAATACACGTGAACCGGGTGTCGTAAGTAAACAGTCATTTATGCCCAGCCGCCTCAATAATTGATTCAAACTAAACTTAGGATTAATTTAGCGTGCGTCAATATTTCGTCACTTGAAACGGTTCCTATTCCTTGCCAATTAATCTCAATCCCTGTCAGGTTTAAAGTGCCCTAATTCATTCCCTGGCCACGGTATACATACTGCGCTCCGTCATACAGCTGAAGTAGAGCATGTCGCACAGGCTGTCGAACAGGAAGTACTTGTTGATGTCCCACACGCCACACGCCGGCCGGTAGTCCGCCTTGCACTCCTTGCACCGCAGCCCGGTGCACAGCCCGTGGTCGCGGCCTGGAACACCACGCCACTTGAAGTACGGCCGCCTGCTGAGTCCGCGGCATGTCTCTTTGGCGGTCTGCGCGCGGTCCGCGCGGTCCTGGGGCTCGCGACGACGCCGTGCGCTGGCGCCGCTGGCGGCCACGCGCTGCACCTCACCAGGAAGGATGAGTTCGCGGTGTGGGTCGGAGTACAGGTCATCGTCCCACAACAGCTGGCGGCCGGTGCCGTTGCTTGCCCCCGTGGACGCGCTGACCGTCGTGCTTGTGTTCCCCGTGGCGTTGGCCGCGGTGGTGGTCGCAGTGGTGGTCGCGGTGGTGGCCGCGGTGGTGGCCGCGGTGGAGACCGCGGTGGTGGCCGTGGTGTTGGCGGCGGTGGAGACCGTGGTGCTGGCGGCGTGCTGCGGCCCGGGCAGGCCCAGCGCCAGGACGACGACGGCGCACAGCCCGGCCCTGGCGGCCACGGCCCTGGCGGCCACCAACCGCACCGCCATACTGCCCACTGATACGGGCGGCGTGACGCCGACGACGCGGCCGCGCCATGACGCCGCGAGGGAGCCGCGCAGTGCAGTGCGCCGGCCTGGCCCGCCGGCGTGGGCCTCGCCTGGCGCCCTGGCGGCCTGGCCAGCGCCACCCTGCGTCCACCTGCCCTCGCGGACACCCGCGACGCGTGAGTTCACAAGCCTTCGTGGCCGTCGATCGGGTTGCCTGCCATCGGCCGTGACAGCGAGGAGTCTCTAACCTAACGCAGCCAAATTTAACCATTCCAATTTACACTTTCTCCTGTGTCGTCTCCGACACACTCATCCCTCTCATCCCCTTATCCCGAATCGCCAGTGGCGGGGCTGGGCGTGGCGAGGCGGCGCGGCCACGGCGCAGCGCCAGAATGGCCACTTCCATTCACTTCCTGCACCCGAGCCCGCTCTGCACCGCGACCACCGTGCCGGCTGGGCCCCGTCGCCAGCGGCAGTGGAACGATGGCTCCGAACCCGAACCGCGATTCATCGCTCTGTCTCTCTCGCCCTTGCGAAACGCCTTACGAGTGGGAGAGAGACAGAGCCAGCTGGTCCCGTCGGCGAGGGGCTGGCTGCCGAGACACCCCCTCACCGTCACCAAGTGAACCGTTAAGGTGGCCGTCGACTGCAGGCTCATTAACAGCGCAGCCATCAACGAGGCCAGGGAAATGAGGCCTCGCCCGTCGTGTGTTTTAAAGTGCACGCTCTCTTTTCAGCCTCTGCTTACGCTTTACGTCACGGCATGGACTGCGACCGAGTGACCCGCCCGGCTGACTGCACTGAGCTACAGTCACACCTGGCCGGCCAGCGGGCAGAGAGCAGCCAGGGGCTGCAGGCCGTGCAGTGACGCTTTGTCTCTCTCGCACTCATGGAGCGTCTTTAAAGGTAAAGTAAGGGAGCGAGAGAGACAGAGCTGACTCGGTCCGGCCCTGCCGCCCTGCCGCCCCGCCGACCGGCGTGAAGGGTGAGTGGCCGCGCCAGGGCGGCTAGGCTCGCACCGGCAGGCCGCCCGGCCTAATTGCATCGCATTCCGGGCCGGAAAGTGACGGGCGGCGGGGGCGGCGGGGGCGGTGGGGGCGGGCAGGTGAGCCGAAGTCTTCAAGTAGAGGGGCCGCCCAGGGTGGCTCGCAGTCCGCCGCCAGCCCTCTCCCGAATCAGTCGCCAAGGTGCACGTATAGCCATCTTCGCCGGCAACATGTACTTGGACGGGTCAGGTAAGTCTCGACCAACGCAGTGCAGTGAGACAACAACGAAATAACGAATCGACAGTGCGACAGTGCGGTGATTGTGTTTGTGTGTGTTCAGTGTTGACGGCCGGAGCGCTGCGGCTGCTGCAGCTGCTCCTGAACCCCTTCATCACGGCGGGGCTGCAGTCCGCCGCCCCGAACAACGGCCTGCCCTACAGCCCCGTGGTGGCCGCGCCCGCCGTCGCGCCCCAGCGCCAGTTCAGTGGCGGGGACCTGATCTCGCTGCTCGCGACCCTCGGAGCGGCCAATCCTGCGGCCTCCTTCTCCGGGACGGGGTCGCTGGGCAATGGCGCCCCCATGGGGTCGTTCATGGGCTCGGGGTCGCTGGGCACTAGCGGCAACCCGATGGGTTCGTTCATGTCCTCGGGGTCGCTCGGCTCCAGCAACAACCCCATGGCACCGTTTATGTCCTCGGGAGGGTCCAGCGCCAGCAGCAACCCCATGGGCTCGTTCACGTCCTCTGGGTCACTCAGCGCTGGTGGCAATGGCAACCCCATGGGCTCGTTCATGGCCTCCGGATCGCTGGGCTCTGCCGGCACCGCCATGGGGTCGTTCCCCTCCACTGGGGCGCTCGTTGCCGTGCAGTCCATGCCGGCGTCGGAGTCCGTGATGCCGGGGCCCATGACCGTGGCCAGCATGCCGCCGCTGCCGTACGCGCCGTGGCTGGTGTCGCAGCCCCTGCCCGCCGTGCCCAGCGGCCCCAACAGCCCCGTCTACGTGCCCCAGAGCGCGGTGCCCACTCTGCTGAACCCCCCGGCCGCCGCGCCGTCGACGCCGCCCTCGTCCTCCACATCGGGCTCCCTCGCCGCCGGGGCGCTGTCCGTCCTGGAGGAGGCCATCGCCCCCTACCTCCACGCTAACTCTTCCTCCTCGTCATCGTCGCCGTCTTCATCCTCGACGTCGGCTAGCGAAAGCGAGGTAAGCATAGCGCCGTTTTTGCTCAAAATAAAATTTAACGTTTCAACCTCGGCATTGATCACGCTGTCGGTGTTCGCAGACGGCGTCCCCCATGCCGATGGCCACGCTCATCTCGGTGCTGGGCAGCTTCATGTCCGGCATCCGCGTGGTGGCCGTCAACTTCCTGGCCTCGGTGGCGGTGATGGGCGCCGCGCAGCTGGTGCGCCTCGTGGTGCAGAACCTGCCCATCATCCTGAACGTGCTGGGGCTCACGCGCGCCTCCATGGCCCGCGTCATCGTGGACGGCGTGACCCGGGCGCAGTGCCTGGAGCGGGCGGCCTGCCTGCTCGGCCAGCACGCCAGCACCTACCAGTCCACGCCCGACGTGCTCAGGTTCGTCTCCAATTCGTACTTTTGTCGCGCTGCGCCGCGCTTGGCGACGGCGACCGTGTTGACTGACGGTTTGGTGTGTTGGCACAGGTGGCTGCGCAGTCCCGACCCCGCCACGCCGGAGCACCCCGTGTGGAAGGCCTTCCGCTCGGCGGCCGAGGGCGCCGCCATGCAGTGCGAGGCCTTCGCCTGCTAGGGCCGCTGGAGGCTGGAATCCCCGCGAGCAGCATCACGTCGAAGGCCGAGCCGCCGCGCTCAATCATCCTTCGGCCATAAACTGTCGCCGTCGTCGGGACTTACTGGACACTTACCGCTCGTTCCGAGTGACGCCATGTCGCGTGACCAGCGCCTCCATTTTTCGAGCCTCCCGTGACATCGCCTTGCTCCGAGTGGCGAGACGCCCGTGTACATACTCGTTCGTCATTCGCTGTGAAATCGACGAAAACTGTAAATAAATTCTTACCTGTGATAAATTTGTAACCCTTTGTTTGATTTACGCTGACAATCTTAAACCCGAGTGTTGGGGGCGATAGGGAAAGCCATAAGAAACGGTCGGGCTGCTAATCTCGTTGGCACTTCCCGGAGTTATCGGAAAGCACCCGGTGGGTACGGAGGTCACTCCAAAAGGGCGTATGAGTGTGTGCGTCTATGAGAGAGAGAGAGAGAGAGAGAGAGAGAGAGAGAGAGAGAGAGAGAGAGAGAGAGAGAGAGAGTACGAGCGAGGAAAGGGCGCATTGGTCGGACAAACAAGTGAAAGTACGGACAAGTAAGCTTAAGAAGTGACAGTGGTGTTGGCATGAGCTAACTGGGCCGAGTCGCTTGTCACTCAACGACGACAACAACAGGGCCGTTCAGTTCCCGAATCATCGACGCCACTTTATTTCAAACTTCGCGCCAAAAGGGGCCTAGCATGCAGCCCGTGTTTTTCGAGCTTCCGCCGTCCTCTCCTCAGCACTACAGAGGCAGCACTAGAGCGGGCCGCGAGACCGGGAAGAGGAGGGGGCGTGCCGCGTGTGAAAGGCGTGTGGCGTCCGTCCCCCTCTCTCGCGTACAGTACCCAGACCGACGGCCGAAAGAGTTCCCACAAATGGCGCCGGTTTTCGAACGCGTCCGCGGCACCGCGTGCGACCGTAGTGCGCTCGCCGGCCGCGTCGCAGCAGCACCGTCGGCTCGCCGGCCAGCGCCAGCGGTGCCAGCGGTGCCAGCGGGCCCCTCGGTGGGAGTGTCTACGCGTTTCGCTGGGTGTCGTGCAGTGCAGTTGGAAACGCTCGCCCGGCCCGCCCAGCGACCCACAGGGAATCAGTCAGTTTGTGTCGAACTCGGAGACTCGAACCGAGAACCACCATGGCCTGCCCCGAGTTCGCGACGCTGTACACCGGCGCCAAGATGCCCCTGCTGGGCTACGGCACTTGGCAGGTACGTTAGCCGGCGGTGTGTGACGTTTCGCAGTGCAGCAGCGTCGCGGCGCGGCCCGCGGCGGCCGGGAGGTTATGTTGGCGTCGTCTGGACCGTCTGAACCCGCAGCGGCGGAGGAGTGCACTCCTGGCGCAGTGCAGGCCGGCCTCTTTCTGCTCCTACATTAGACTAAGTGTTTTAGCTCCAGCCACACCATCTTCTTGACCGTGACCGCAGAGGTGTAGCTGTGGAGCTGTCAGTTGCTGTCAGTGCGGAGCAGAGCAGTACACAATAGGCGGCAAATTCCTGGCGTGCGTGGTGCCGAGACTGTTCAATGTGTGTCGGTGGCGGCGACGCGGCGCCGCGGCGACCTCATCTGCATGTCCTTCCTGTTGGCGGCGGCGGCGTCTCTTCTCTTGTCGCGCTCCAGCTAGATAGTGGTGCCGGGAAGTCCCTGTCCCTCCCTGCCTCTCTCAAGGACGCGGCGCCGTGCCGTGCCGTGCCGCGTTTGCAATGTCACGGAGTCACGGCGCAGTGATGGGCGTAGCGCCGTGGAGCATCACGGATGCCCGAACCAAAAAGCCGCCGTGCGCTGCCTGAAGCCCGAAACAAAAAGTCGGTCAGTCAAATGTAACGATCTTTGTCGATGCAGGCGCTTCCCCCATGTCTCGCTGCCAAACGAGGACGAGTGGCGGGCAGCCTCATTTTGACCGAAAGATTTTTTGCAGTTTTGTTTTGCGGTGTAGGCCCGCGTCCATTCCTCGGTTGCGTGATGGCTGGGTAGCGATGCCATCGGAAGGTGGCAGACGAAGCGAAGGACTACCGCCGCGATCGATGTGCACGTGGCGTGGGGCCGAACTATTTTATTTTGAGCCCCAATTACCCCAATTATCCCGTCATCTAGTGTCGTAGTTTACACCTGCTGCCCTCTCTGTCGCCCCACCGACCGAATCCATCAAACCACGAAGCCACTTGTCTCCCCTCGGTCGATGCCTGATGTGCGGCACATTGTGCGCGCCGTCGCCCGGCGGGCGGTGTTAACGGCGTCAACTTTCGCTAAGCCGTGGCTAAACCTGATTGCTCTCTGTGACAGTGCGCGTCGGGCGAGCTGGAGGAGGCCCTGGAGGAGGCCCTGTGCGCGGGCTACCGCCACATCGACACGGCGGCGGCCTACGAGAACGAGGCCGTGATCGGCAAGCTCATCAAGGAGCGCTGGATCGACACGGACAACATGACGCGCGACGAGCTCTTCCTCGTCACCAAGCTGCCCCCCGTCGGCCTGGTGCCCGGCGGCCCCGAGAAGTTCCTGAAGCGCTCCCTGGCTGCGCTGCGGGTGGACTACGTGGACGTGTACCTGGTGCACACACCCTTCGGCTTCGTGCCCATCGAGGGCGGCGACGAGATGCACCCCGTCGGCCCCGACGGCAAGATCCCCATCAACGGAGACCCGGACATCGTCACCATCTGGAAGGTGCGCAGGCCTTTGCACGCGCGGCGCGACCCGTCGCGAGGCTAGTGGAGTCGTGACGAGGAGGACTCTAGCCTCGCGGCGGGGATGTAATTACGCTGCTTTGCGTCCCGTTCGTCGGCGACGCGCTGAGACGTCGGCGACCTGACTGAACACTTTCCCTTGCAGGAGATGGAGGCGCTCGTGGACGCCGGCCTCGCCAAGGCGATCGGCCTCTCCAACTTCAACCAGAGGCAGATCCAGAAGATCCTCGACGTCTGCCGCATCCGGCCCGCCAACCTGCAGATCGAGCTGCACGTCAACATGCAGCAGAAGCCGCTGGTCGAGTTCTGCAAGAAGAACGACATCGTGGTGACGGCGTACTCGCCGCTCGGCAGCCGCGGCTCCAGCACGTTCCTGTCGAGGTTCGGCACCAAGTGAGTATGCATTGCGACGCCACGGCACTCCCCGGGACTTCCCCGCCGGCAACGTTCTCACGTAGTCCAATCTTGCAGGGTTGAAGTCCCCGACCTGTTCAACAACCCCGTCATCCTGGAGGTGGCCGCCAAGTACAAGAAGCAGCCCGGGCAGATCCTGCTGAAGCACGTGGTACAGAGGGGCATCGCGGCCATCCCCAAGAGCTGCAGCCAGGAGCGCATCATCCAGAACATCCAGCTGTTCGACTTCACCCTCAGCCCGGAGGACGTGGCCAAGGTGGACGCCCTGGACCTCGGCCCGGACGGCCGCATCTTCGACTTCACGTTCATTGGGTGAGCTGGGAGGCAACCGTTGAAAAGCGGTTCTACTGTCGGCGAGGATGCAGCTGGAACTCACTTTTGTTTCCTTTTGCAGTGCACAGAAGACTGACCCGGCATATCCGTTCAACGAGTACCCCTGAGCGGGCAGCCGGCAGCCGGCGACTACCCACCGAGCCATTACACCGACAGTATTACTTCTATTATTGTCTCAACTACACATCCACAGTTTGCTGACTATTTCCTACACTGCGATACTCTATTCAAAATACGGGTGATAGCGCCTTTTTTAAATGATTTTTTTTAATTAAAAGAGCTTATTTATTCGTTTGTCTTTGAGTTCTTACTCGTAACCCCGCTCCATTGAATGAAATAAAGAGGACGTGTCGGCAAGACTCTGACCAGAGCAGATATTGACACGAACACCTTTTGTGAGCCACAGAGCGCCGGCGCCTAGTAGTTAGGCAGCCCATTGGACGCGCTCGCAGGGCCGCAAGGACTGGCAAGGAGTAGGCCGCCCAGAAGGCGTGCCCGTGGCATTGGTTGCCTACCCCGCCAGGCGCTCGATCGAAGATAGGCGCCTCAGCAAGCCGATTCCGAACGAGAGGTCTGTCTCTCTCGCACCCGCACGGGATGCCGCATGAGGGGGAGAGAGGGGAGACCCTTGCCGGGCCGACTGCGTTGGCCCGGCCCTCGTGGCTAGGCCGCGCGCACTGCCGGGCGAATCAAAAGCTCTGTCTCTATCGCTCTCATGGCTCGGAGTGCGTGAGAGACAAAGCGCTTCTCTGCAGCATCCCAGCGGTCACGGACTCGCGGAGCGCTGGCCGCTCAGTCCGGCTCGAGAGGCGACCCGCACCGCCACGACGACCAGCCGGGTAAGCTCATGGACCTCCAAAAGTGCGAAGAAAAGACGACTGAGAAACATCATGAGGTACCGTTCGTGTGATAATAGTACTGCCACTAACGCACCAATGAATTGTCTTTGGCGGTATGTAATGATGTTGACGTGGCAATTCGTTCGACACCGGTGTCTATGTAGTACGTGGGACTAGTAAGAAATTTGTCAGGCTCTAGTTTACTAGAGTGACTAGAGTGATGACCGAGTGCAGGAATATCTTTCCACTGGTTCAAATTGCAATTTTTGTCTTTTTTAAAGTTATTTTGTTTTCTTAATTAGGACTGATTTGGAACACTACGACTTGAGGATGGTGCCTTTGTACCTGTGCGTGACTTTGGCGGTGGTCGCTGTTGCCAGTGGGTGAGTCTGTTGCGCGCTAAAGCCCCTCCCCCCTCTCCCTCCTTCTCCGCGGCACCTGTTGGGGCATTGAACCCTCTATCCCACTCTATTATGGTCCGACTGAGCCGTGCTGGAACAGCTCCAAATTCAAGGTCGAGAGACTGCTTCGCCATAAGGACTTGAAGCACCCGTCTCCGTGCCCGTTTTCTGTTTGCACCTACACTTCCTTCTAACGCCGTGTCACCTGTTTCCAGCGCGCCGCCCAAAGCCGGTGACGTCACCAAGGTGGCGCTCAACTCCGGCACCTTCATGCCCATCGTGGGGCTCGGCACGTCGAAGGTGAGTCCATTTAGTCTGTGTGCTCGGCCTTCTTGCGCGCTGCCTCTTGTTTACACACGTACAGTTCCTGGAATATTATCAGCAGTGTAGGTTTCATGTAGACTCCCTTGTCCAGGTGACCGATGAACGCGAAATGGAGCAGACCCTTGACGCCGCCCTGGAGGCCGGCTACCGCCACATCGACACCGCCACCGTCTACCGCAACGAGCACCTGATCGGCAAGGTGCTCAAGAGGTGGCTGTCGGAGGGCAAGTTGAAGCGCGAGGACCTGTTCATCACCACCAAGGTACAGCCCCCAACCACGTGAAACTTTGTCGGGGGATGCGCGTTTGCTCTAAGCGTTACCTCTAAGGCCATGCTCCTTTGTCGTTGAGGGTGCCAGATAAATTGTAGCTGACGTATTGCGATTGCAGCTTCCATTGTACGCCATGAGGGCTGCCGACGTGCCGTACTTCCTCAACGAGTCCCTCACCAAGCTGCAGCTGGACTACGTCGACATGTACCTCATCCACATGCCGTTCGCCGTGAAGCGCGAGGCGTACAGCGACGGCCGTTTCGACGACAACGGCACCGATCCCACGACGGACCACCTGGCCATCTGGAAGGCCATGGTGGCCGAGAAGGAGGCCGGGCGCGCCAAGGCCCTGGGCGTGTCCAACTTCAACGAGACGCAGATCGAGCGCATCATCAAGAACAGCCCCGTGCCGCCCGCCAACCTGCAGGTCGAGCTGCACCTCTACCACCAGCAGAAGCCCCTCGTCGCCTTCTGCAAGAAGAACAACATCGCCGTGACGGCGTACGCTCCCATCGGCAGCCCGAACGCCAAGTGGGTCGTCCTATCGGGGTGTGTTACACTGTGCTGTGACGGTACGCTCGCTATCATGTTGTGCAGCATAACAGAGAACGCCTTCTTTTTGTTGTAGGAGGAATCTCCCCGATCTGTTCAGCCTGCCCGAGGTCAAGGCCATCGCCCAGAAGCACAACAAGACCACGGCTGAGGTGCTCCTGCGGCACACCGTGCAGAGGGGCATCATCGTCATCCCCAAGAGCTCCAACCCCAAGCGCATCAGCCAGAACATCGACGTGCGTATGAGCGCCCCCCTTTTTTTCACACCTTGAAACTAATCTGGCCGGTCACCCGAATCATAATATTTGCGTCTGTGGACAGATTTTCGACTTCGCCCTGGACGACAACGACGTGGCCACCCTGGACGCCCTGGACAAGGGCATCGACGGCAAGCTGTTCAACATGAAGGGCTTTGCCGGGTACGTGTGGTTGTGTCCGTGGGAGTGCCGCGCACCTGTCGTGCTCTGAGCTCGCCCTGATGCTTGTGTCTTCCTTTTTCAGGGCGGAGAACCACCCTGAGTATCCCTGGCCTGCCCTGCGGAACACGCCACAGAAGGCCTAAGCAGCTCCAACATCATTCATTCATTCATCCATCCGCGTTCAAGAATGAGCACCAGAAAATTTACACCACATCATTTTCTACTTGCTGACGTCCGCCCATGCTTTTTTGGGGCGTCAAGATACGAGTCAACTCCTTGAAAGAAAAAAAAAACAGTTTAAAATTAAAGCAGTTATTTATGTGTACATACTCTGTGTTTTTACTTGCAACCCTCACAGGATAAATGAAGGAAACAGAACGTAGCAAGTCTGCCTCTGGGCCACAGAGCTCTAGCGCCCGGCGCATCGGCAACCCTTGAGGCGAGGTGGGCAGGCCGCCCTGACGACACGCGCGTAGGAAAGGTGGCCTACACTGCAAGGCGTGTTGCGCTGTATCTCAGAACAATCAAAAAATCATAGGCCTATCGATGATAGTATACGCCCAGCCAACTCTAGGGGAGCCGCCTCGCCTCGGCTGCACCAACCGTGGAACTTTCCGCCGGGCCGGGCCACCCCGCTGAACCAGGCAGAACCCAGTATAGGCTGGGCACAGAATGTTGGACAGAGTTGATCCTAGTGGGAGAGCCAGCCCCAGGTGGAGGCGGATTGTTTAACTTCGAGGGGCCGGAGGGGAAATGAGAATGAGTGGGGGCCAGCGGCTAGTTGGGCTCCGTGGATAGCCTCCGCTAGGCGAGGCGGTAGCAGGTGGCACCGGCTCACGCTCGCGGTGAGAAGAGTCTCAGTCCGGCTCCAGAGAGGACTCGCAGCGCCACGCCGACGAGCCAGGTAAGCCTCTCAAAACTTGGCTCGATAGAGAAGATAGAAAAACGGAAGAGATGGTGTCTAAACCCATCGACGTCATCATTCGACAGAAAGCACACTCTCTCCTCACCTTTTTTGTTTTGAAGCAGTGTCTAACAAAGCTGTTTGATCATTAATTCCTTATTGTTCCGTGTTTCTTTACGTTGTTTTTTCTTCAGTTGTCCAGAACTGACTTGGAACACTAACACCCGAGGATGCTGTCTCCGTCCCTCTGCGTGGCTTTGGCGGTGCTCGCTGTTGCCAACGGGTGAGTCTCGGGTGCCGCAGTACCCGGCGCCCCGGCAGTGCCCCGGCAGTGCCCCGGCAGTGCCCCGGCAGTGCCCCGGCAGTGCCCCGGCAGTGCCCCGGCAGTGCCCCGGCAGTGCCCCGGCAGTGCCCCGGCAGTGCCCCGGCAGTGCCCCCACCCCCGCGAGGCTCCAGCCGACGCCTGCCTCTTGCAGGACCTCGCGCGGCCTTGAACTGGCCAAGCCTGCCATGCCACACGCACGGTTTGGCTAAGCTTGGCTAAGCTTGGCTAAGCCTGGGCGCCGGCCCTGTCGAGGAGGCAGTCGCCGTTCAAAATGCTGCTACCACGCGGAAGAACAAAATAATATGTATCACTTAAAAATGATTCCAGCGCGCCGCCCAAAGCGAGCGACGTGACCAAGGTGGCGCTCAACTCGGGGTCCTCCATGCCCATCGTGGGGCTCGGCACGTGGCAGGTGAGTGTATGTCTGTGAACATCGGCACAGCATTAGGGCCATATCATCGTCCTCTTCTTTCGCTAACTTTTCGATTGCCTGTCTCATGACCAGGTGGCCGATGAACGCGAAATGGAGAAGGCTCTGGACGCCGCCCTGGAGGCCGGCTACCGCCACTTCGACACCGCCACCGTCTACTTCAACGAGCACCTGATCGGCAAGGTGCTCAAGCGGTGGCTGTCGGAGGGCAAGTTGAAGCGCGAGGACTTGTTCATCACCACCAAGGTAGCTACCGCATTCGTCAACGTGACCCACCCTTCGTCGCTGTTTTTTGTGGTTTTTAAACATTGATGGCGATTGCAGCTCCCCGTCAACGGCATGAGGGCTTCGGACGTGCCATACTTCCTCAACCAGTCCCTCGCCAAGCTGCAGCTGGACTACGTCGACATGTACCTGATCCACGCGCCGTTCGGCGTGAAGCGCGATGCTGGCCACAACGGCGTCCACTTCGACGACAACTCCGTGGACCCCACGACGGACCACCTGGCCATCTGGAAGGCCATGGTGGCCGAGAAGGAGGCCGGGCGCGCCAAGGCCCTGGGCGTGTCCAACTTCAACGAGACCCAGATCGAGCGCATCATCAAGAACAGCCCCGTGCCGCCCGCCAACCTGCAGGTCGAGCTGCACCTGCAGCACCAGCAGAAGCCCCTCGTCGCCTTCTGCAAGAAGAACAACATCGCCGTGACGGCGTACTCGCCCATCGGCAGCCCCGGCACCCAGGCCGTCGTCGACTCGAGGTTCTGTAATGTTTTCATTCGCGTTTTCATGTTGCAGCTTCTGAATTACGGAGAATGTTTTCTTTTTGTTGCAGGAGGGTACCTCCGAATCTGTTGAACCTGCCCCAGGTCAAGGCCATCGCCCAGAAGCACAACAAGACCCCCGCACAGGTGCTCCTGCGCCACATCACACAGAAGGGCATCATCGTCATCCCCAAGAGCTCCAACCCCAAGCGCATCAGCGAGAACATCGACGTGCGTCTCATCCTGCCCAATCCCGTTGAACTGTTTTGACGTGTCGCTCTGCTTACAATTATTCTCTTTCGCGTTTGCGGACAGATCTTCGACTTCACCCTGGACGACGAGGACGTCGCCACCCTGGACGCCATGGACAGGGGCATCGACGGCCAGCTCTTCCTCCTCAAGAACTTTATCCCCGGGTGCGGTTGCGGTGCTCGTCGGTGGTGCCTGCCCTCGTCGTGTACTGTGACATCATCCCCCTTTTCCTGTTGCAGAGTGGAGTTCCACCCCGAGTACCCCTGGGAAGCATTCCGCATCGAGCCCATCGCCTAGGCGCTCGCCTCGCAGTGCAGTTGCAGACCGTCGCTTTCAACTTCCTTCACGCTCTGCTGGGCTCACACCTCAGCATCTCCAAGGCAACCTAACCTACAGAAGCCGTGATTGTTTTCTGCTCATTTCTGATTTTTCAAAGATTAAATGATGATCGCATATTCTTGGTGTCTTAACTTTGAAACCCTTCTCGATTGAAACAAAGAAAAGAGAACGAAAGTGTGTGCCCAGATGAGTCATTCGCTCGCTTCCCGCACGAGACTAGAACTTCCCTGACGAGCACGATGGGTGGCCTACCCCGCCGGGCGCTCGGTCGTCTGAGCGAGAGATCGCACCCAACCCGTTATAGGAGAGCAATATCCCCTCGGCTTCACAACACTAGCCATAAAAATTTTCGCTGTACGCGAACGCCTTCCACCTCGCGGAATACAGCAAGCAGACAAAAAAAATTAGAAGGAGTTGATCTTTGTGGGAGAACTCCAGGTGGGTGTGGTTTGTTTATTTTCCGGTGTGAAAAGGGAGAGGGGGGGAGGGGGCTGACGGGGTGGTCGGCCAGGCCGGCTGGGCCGTAGAACCACCCCCACCCCGCGACCCGTGCCCCGCGCGCCCCGCAGCATCCGCGAGGCGGGTGATCCAGGTGCCGCGGCGCCGCAGACACCTTTGCGCAGACGCTCGCGGGGAGTGGCGAGGAGTGGAGTGCCCAGTCCGGCTCCAGAGACAACGCGCACCACCACGCCAGCCAGGTAAGCCTGTAAGCCCACCTCGCCGAACTTGGATCGTTAAATAATGACAAGGAAATCACATATACGCGGTACACCGCGGGTGGCTTGTGTCCATTCATGCGCGTCACTAATTAGATGACGAGGCATTTGGCTACCTAGTGACGCGCTTGCTGACGACAATGAGCGTCTAGTCTCAAGGTCTAGGCCTGCACCAGGCTTGCATGACCTCCATGATCTCATGGATCAACTTGGGCTCCGTTGTTTACGAAGTGTAAACCACTCTAGTTGGCACAAAATTATTGATTAAGTACAATTGAAAAGTCCGAATCTTTTGCCGCCAGCACATACTTTGTTAATTCTTAATCGGTCTGTTACTCACATTCACAGAGCAAATTAAAAAAAATTCGCTCTGTGTTTCTGTTTGTTTTTCCTTCAGTTGTCCAGGACTGGTTTGGAACAATAACAAGTCATGATGATGTCTGTGCGCCTCTGCGTGGCTTTGGCGGTGCTCGCTGTTGCCAACGGGTGAGTCTGTAGGACGCCAGGCCAGTGCCCCCCGCAGAGCCCCCCGCAGAGCCCCCCGCGCAGCACCGGCCGACGCTCCGGCACCGGCGTGCGGCCTCGAACGGGCCGAGCCTGCCCCACCACGGTTTGGCTAAGCCGAGGCGCCGTCCCTGTTTGCGCTGGATCAACGCCCAAGCCGGGCCCTTTCAAGTTATTGCTTCACCGCGGAGCGAAAACGGATGCGTACCCAGCAACCGAAAGTTAATGTTTGTTTTCGGTTCGGCCTTTCATATTACCTACCTCGTGCGCTATGTACCCCTTCATCCACATTTCAAGTGGTCGGCTTTTCCGCCAGTGTCGCATGCGGTGCCCACCCATTCGCCCTCTCGCACTTCGCTGCAATCTGCGACGATCCGTGCCGCTCCCCGCCCCACTAATGCGCGCCACTCGCGATGCATGTTTCCAGAGTGCCGCCCAAAGCCAGCGACGTCGGATGGGTGGTGCTCAACTCGGGGGTCAACTTGCCCGTCGTGGGGCTCGGCACGTGGCAGGTGAGTGCCTGTCTGTCTGTCCGTCCATCCGTTTAGTACGGCCTTACGGCCATATCGCTGACTCCTTCGATCAATGAAGAAAATTTATGATTGCCGCCTTCAAACGCTCGACTCTGTCGTCCAGGTGACCGATGACCGCGAGCTGGAGCAGGCCCTGGACGCCGCCCTGGAGGCCGGCTACCGCCACATCGACACGGCCACCATCTACCGCAACGAGCACCTGATCGGCAAGGTGCTCAAGCGGTGGCTGTCGGAGGGCAAGGTGAAGCGCGAGGAACTGTTCATCACCACCAAGGTACGGTCCCCACCAACACGATCGACCCTTTGTTGAGGACAGTGGAAACATTGATGGTAATTGCAGCTCCCCGTCTACGGGATGAGGCCTGCCGACGTGCCGTACTTCCTCAACGAGTCCCTCACCAAGCTTCAGCTGGACTACGTCGACATGTACCTCATCCACATGCCGTTCGCCGTTAAGCGCGAGGCGTACAACAATGGCCGCATCGACGCCAACGGCACCGACCTCACCACGGACCACCTGGCCATCTGGAAGGCCATGGTGGCCGAGAAGGAGGCCGGGCGCGCCAAGGCCCTGGGCGTGTCCAACTTCAACGAGACCCAGATCGAGCGCATCATCAAGAACAGCCCCGTGCCGCCCGCCAACCTGCAGGTCGAGCTGCACCTGTACCACCAGCAGAAGCCCCTCATCAGGTTCTGCAGGAAGAACAACATCGCCGTGACGGCGTACTCGCCCATCGGCAGCCCCGGCTCCAAGTGGCTGACGCTGTTGTCAGGGTGAGTCTTCGACGCAACGAAACGAGGCATCATGCACAGTATAGCTGTGTGACATGGAATGTCTTCTTCACTCCTTGTAGGAAGGAACTTCCCGACCTGTTGAACCAGCCCGATGTCAAGGCCATCGCCCAGAAGCACAACAAGACCCCCGCACAGGTACTCCTGCGCCACACCGTGCAGTGGGGCGTCGCCGTCATCCCCAAGAGCTCCAACCCCAAGCGCATCCGCGAGAACATCGACGTGCGTATAACCCCGAGGAACTTTTTCGGCTTCATTTTCCGAATTATACAATTCTTTTTCGCGCCTGTCGACAGATTTTCGACTTCAGCTTGGACGGCAAGGACGTCGCCACCCTGGACGCCCTGGACAAGGGCCTCGACGGCCAGCTGTTCGACATGAAGCACATCGGGGGGTAGGTGTAGTGCACGCGGGAGGCGCCCCGAGCACCCCGTCGTACACTGTGCTGAACCTCCCCTTCCCTTGCCTTTTCCAGGTCGGAGAGCCACCCCGAGTACCCCTGGACGGCACTACTTGACAAGCCAGTCGCCTAACCGCATACCATTGCAGAGCAACCCAACAACCCGACAGTTGCACTCTACATCATTTGTACCCAAAATGAAGTAACAATAAATTGAATCAATACACCCGAGCGTATTTAATTAAGTCTACGTGTGGGAGGGCTGTACTCGGAGCTCCCCCACTAAATGAAGCTGCCCCAAGGCGAAGCAAACAGATTGCCGTTGGCCTATTGACACGGATGGCGCGCTGATTGCAGGTCTGGTGAGGCACTGCAAGGCACCCTCCAGCCAAAGTGCTGCGACCCGTTTAAAGGACACGCGACCCACCCCCTTGCAGTGGCGTGGCCGAGGCCGCGCACCTCCACAAATTACAGTGTCCTGGCCCCGAGCCCCGCCACTGGGCATCGTGACGGGCCGCTGGTCATAATCACCCCCGCCCCCGCCAAGCCCCCCGTCGTACCCTGGGGATCAATTGCAACGACCCGTGGCCAAATTCGGCCCTCTCAGAGTGACACCGGCAGGCAGGGGCCCAGGTTGCCCAGGATCGGCGCGTCTGCTTCGCGGCTTCGCGACCGCCATGTCGGAGACCGTCACCCTGGCCAACGGGGCCGTCATGCCGATGCTGGGCCTGGGGACGTGGCAGGTCAGTGAGCGGATTCGAGCGTCGCTTGTCTCGACAGTGTTGTGACAATCGCTGTGGGCAGGCCACGGACGAGGAGGAGCTGGAGGGGGCCCTGAACGCCGCCCTGGACGCGGGGTACCGCTTCATCGACACGGCCTACTTGTACGCCAACGAGAAGACGGTCGGCAAGGTCGTCAAGGCCTGGCTGGACGAGGGCAAAGTCACCAGGGAGGAGCTCTTCATCAGCACCAAGGCAAGCAGGGCCCGGCAGGGCCTCAGTGACGCACGCTGATGCAAAGGCCGCCATTCTATTTGGTTTCCTTTCAAGCTGCCGATGATGGGCATGCGCGAGGAGGACGTGTCGCACTTCCTGGGGATGTCGCTGGAGAACCTGCAGCTGGACTACGTGGACCTGTACCTGGTGCACGTGCCCTTCGGCATGCTGCGCGAGGCCATGCAGACCACCGACGACATCAAGGCGGGCGGGGTGGGCACCATGGCCCTGGACATGGAGACGGACCACCTGGCCATCTGGAAGGTCAGTATTTCCTGCATGACGCGATATTTAATACTGATTTATTGCTATATTTTTTGTTTTACTTCTTGGCAGGCTCTGGAGGCCGAGGTGGAGGCGGGGCGCGCTCGCGCCATCGGCGTGTCCAACTTCAACGAGAGCCAAGTGCAGAGGATCCTGGACAACTGCACCATCCCCCCCGCCAACCACCAGGTCGAGATGCACCTGTACCTGCAGCAGAAGGACCTGGTGGCGTTCTGCAAGGACAAGGGCATCACCGTGACGGCCTACTCGCCCTTCGGCAGCCCTGGCTCCAACAAGTGGCTCACCACGTCCAAAGGGTGGGCCGCGCAGCAAGGAAACTAGCATAATGTTCAATAAATTTAAAAAAACTTAAAAACGACCGTTATTTGACTGTGTTTGTCAGCGAAGAGCTGCCCGACCTCTTCAGCCTGCCGGAAGTGGTGGAGATCGCGGACCGCTACGAGAAGACCCCCGCCCAGGTGCTGTTGCGGCACTTCGTGCAGCAAGGCATCCTCGCGGTGCCCAAGAGCACCAACGCGGCCAGAATCCAGAAAAACATCCAAGTGCGTTGAGGTTTTACCCAGTTTCAATGAGTGCCGGGCGGGTGCCCGTGACAAATTGTGTCATGTTTTTCTTTCTTGCAAGATATTTGACTTTGAACTGACGGAAGAGGAAGTGGAGGTGCTGTCGGGATTGGACCGCGGTGAGGAGGGCCGCATCTTCACCATGAAGCTCATCGGAGGGTGAGGAAAAGTGTGCCACGACATGCTTTAAGCTTCGCTTGGACCAATACTGTACTAATGGGTGTCTGGCTACAGTGTCGAGGACCATCCGGAATACCCGTGGAAGACATGACACGACGTCATGACCACGAGGGAAGCGGCCGATTGAAAGCGACTGTCGCTTCGCAAGAAACGAAATGAAATGAACTCAATACTACCTATATACTGTATATTTATTTTAATTTGTTTTATCACTATGCAAAGGAACAAAACTTACAACATTTAAAGCACCAAACGGGCGTTTTCTTTGTGGGCCATCGTTCCATCATTGCAGTTCACAGTCAAACACTCTTTGTACACAAGTATCACAGCAGGCCTATTCGAATGGAGGTTCATGCCCTCACGGCGCTCAGGGCGCGGCGATGACCATCTGCGCCAGGTCCTCGGCCAGCCCCAGCCCGTCCAGCGCGTCGCTGCGGGGGAAGTACCAGAGGCTGACGTCCAGGTTGGAGCGCTGGCAGTGCAGCCGCAGCTGGTCCACCTGGAAGGCGTCGAGGTCCCAGCCGCTGAGTTCGCCGAGGCTGGTGAGGTTGGGGCAGCCCGTGAGGAAGCACAGGGCGGCGGCCTGGCTCAGCCGGCCCGCCTGCGCCAGCCACACCTCGCGCAGCTCCCTGCCGCACAGGTCCGCCACGTCGGCGTCGCTCAGGTCCGGCAGCGAGCAGCCGACGCCGAGCCGCTGCAGCTTGGGGGCGCCGAGCGCCAGGTCGAGCAGGGCGTGGCGCGGCATGGCGGCGTGGAACACACCCACCGACTGCAGCCCCGGCCACGCCGCGCCGCCCGACGACGAGCAGTCCACGAAGTAGCACTCCAGGCGCTGCAGCGCGGGGCACAGCGCGGCCAGCCGCGTCAGGTCCAGCGCGCCGCCCTGGCCGAACAGCAGCTCCAGGTCGGTGCAGCGCGCGCCCGACAGCGCCAGCAGCTCGTCCAGCTCCACCACGTCGAACTGGTGCAGCTTGATGTCGGACAGCGCGTCGAGCTGCGCCAGCAGGGGCAGGGCACCGTGGCATGGCGCGTCCAGGTACACCGCCTGCAGTGCGGGGCACAGCGCCACCACAGCCCGCGCCGCGCGCGCCGTCGTGCCGATGTCGCGGAGGTACTCCAGGCGCAGTGGCTTGGTGTCGACGCCGTCGTCCGCCATGGCCACCAGGGCGGCGCCGACCCGCGCGTACGTGCCGAGGGAGCGAAGGTTCGGCAGCGATCGCAGCAGCAGCACCGCGTCCTCCGCGCTGACGCTGGCCTCGGCCAGGTTGCCGATGTCCAGGACCTGCAGCGTGGCGGCGCACTCCCCACGGCACAGCGCCTCCAGCCCCTTGCGCGACAGGGACGTCTCCCCGGACACGTCCAGGGCGGTGAGCTTGCCGCAGTGCTCGGCCACGGCCTGCAGCAGGGCGTCCGTGGCGGCGTGCGGCACGCCCAGCACGCGGAGGGCGTTGAGGTGCGGCAGCGCGTCGCAGAAGGCCGCCAGGTCGTCGCCGCGCAGCCACGCGCCCTTCAGGTCCAGCGCTCGCAGCCCCTTGCCGTGCTCACGCACGCAGCCCACCGCGCGCGCGTGCCACTCGCACGGCATCACGCCCACGGACAGCGAGCGCACGTCGGCACGCAGCAGCATGCGCATGGCCCAGTACCGCGACGACGGCAGCACGTCGTTGCAGGACAGCAGCGCCTGCAGCAGGGCCTCCAGCACGTCCCCGGGGGCGGTCTCCAGGTAGCAGCGCGTCTCCGCCACCACTTGCGGCTCCTGCTTGCCGCCCTCGTCGGCCTCCGCCTCGTCGTCGGCCTGGGCCGCCACCACGGCCGCCAGCAGCATCGGGGCGGCGAGCGTGGTCAGGCACAGCCGGCTCAGGGACTGCACCTGCGTCGTCGCCATCCTGCAAGTCAAGCAGACACGCTGTGAGGCGAGCGCCGTGCGGGTAGGCAGTGCGGGTACAGCGCCGCGTGGTGGGCTGCCAGCCTGCCAGGCGTTCCGTTAGATAACCGTGAAAACAGTGCTTGGCACCGGCTTGGCTTGACGTTAGTTTGATCCGTCGTGCTGCCGCACTGCCAAGCCGCCGGCCGGATGTTTTTAATTAAATGCGGGTGAGGCGGTGGCGGCGGCGGCGGCGCACCACTTGGCCCGCGTCCAGGTGGACCGCGGCGACGCCGTCGCGCTGTCTTGCCGGCGCTGGCTTTGCTGGCTTCGCTGCCCCGCTTGACGCCATCGCCTTCAATCGCACACTATTGCGCCATTTTAAAAGAAGCCACACTGCCGCGTTGAACCGCGGTTCTGCCATACTCACTCAAAATTCCCGAAGTGTGTTCGCGCGACGCCGATGGACTGCAGGACTGGGCCGCGGGGGCGGACGCAGCACTGCAAGGGCGGCTTCAGGCTTGACGCTTCAGGCCACCTCGGCTGCCCACAGCTCGCTGGGACCAGCGCCGCATGTCCTGGCGAAGGCGCCGCGGCTCGGCCTCACGAAGGCGCCGGGCAACACGAAGAAGAGCGCGAACAAGGGCAGGCACCACCACCACGCCCGCACCGCCCGCGCACACTGCGCGCGCCGCGTCGGGCACGTCGGGCACCCCGAGGGCATGGCGGCGACCGCCAGGCGGCCAGGGCTAGCCAGGACGGAACGGGCCGCGGCGGAGTGGGCGACTGCGCGGTCCCGGCCGAGGCAGAGCAGGCAGTGATCGAGGTAACGGTGCCGAAACGACACGGCGTGTTTTGGCGAGGGCCTCTAGGCTTTTCGAGCCAAACGGCGGCCCGGCCGCACTGCCAGTAAACAGCAACAGGGTACAGCCCGTGCCCGTGCACAGCCCCTGAAAACGCAGCGGCAACCTTCGCGAAGTCCGCCGAGCGAGTCAAGGACGAAGTCATCCTCACATTCGCACGGCGAAACTCGCGTCGGTTGGGTAGCCTACCCTGCCCAGGCGGTGGCAGTTGGGTTGCCTGCTGCCCAGGGGCTGGCACGTGGCGCGGGACTTTTCAAGCAGCACACAGGCAAAATTCAAACATTTCTAAGAATTTTATTGTAAGATTTTTATAAAATCTAACTATGAATAAAATGACTTTATTGGAAATGAATGAAATTATGTACACTGTTATAATTTAGTGAGAAGCTGACTGTCCAGCTTCAATTTTTGGTTTGGTTTCAGCATTCTGGTGAGAAAGCATGTCGACTAGAAGGTTCAAAAGTAGATCTGGAGGGTGACTGACTGAAATTAGTAGCCATCCAACAACAACACAGGCACACCGTAAAGAGTTCAATATATGCCAAGAGCTCAGCATGTCCAAGTCTCCCTACAGAAACAAGAGTAACAATAAATATTTTTAAATGATACAAATGAGAAAATCAAGTAGTGGTTTCAGAAAAACAAGACTTACCTTGAGAAGAGTAAAATTAGAGTGGTTGTATTGAGAGAGATGTATCCAGTCATCTCCTTTAGCAGCAGCAAGTGCAAGAATCAGTCCACAAATGTAGACAGGAATTAAAAGCCAGGGGATACGAGGACGTACAGAAAATAGGTCCATTAAATATGGCCAGTCCCCTCGGGCAAGATCCAATCTGTTAAAATAAACATAATACAGTTCATAAAAAAAATTTAAGAATTTCATTATTTTATAAGAACATGATCACTTACCTATCAAAAATAGAAACAAGGCACACACTGGCAAGAAGAAGAAAAATAGTGGTGAAAATTAGAGAAAAGTTGCTGTAGAAAGACACAAAATGTGCTGTCTCTTCAGGAGAAAATCCAATAAGTCTATCGACCTGTAAAAAAAAATTAATTTAGAATGAGAATAAGTTTTTTGGAGTTCTCATTAAGACAATCACATTGTGACATACTATTATTGCTTGCATCAGAGCAACACCTGCCAATAGTCCATGGCAAAAGTCAGTAAGTGGAATCCACACTTTTTGCACAGCTATGGCAACATCAAGAGAAGAGGCTGTGTTCAAATCAAACCACCTTAAAAAATAAAATATTAAAAAAATAAGGTAATACACATGAAACAAGTACACTTTTATTGGGACCAAAGAAAGGATTACCTTTTATCAAGGTCACTGCCGTGGCCTGTGAAGGCACTGTGCCGTGGAATGGAGGAGAAACCATCATAATGTTCAACATAAACACAATCTCTGCCCTTTTGAATCCTGTAGTGTTCGCTGTCTCCATCACCTTCAGAAGTACATGAAATTAAGAAGAAATTACAAATAAGCATTTAATCAAGGCTTAGGTTTCCATTTCTATGCCATATTTTATGAAATAATTTTCAGAAAAAATAACTTACCATAATAAGCATGTTGTTGAGCACCATAGACATTAGGACGAGGCGTATCTAAAATATCATCAGGTACCTCACGAAGGACTCTAGTGACAGGAGTTTCCATATACTCATCGTACTTTGCATCTCTTGATCTACTTCTCTTCTTATGGTGACGACTATGTTCACCTCTTCCTGCACCAGCTGAGGATCGCTGCAAAGACATTTCTTTGTGAAAATATATAGTAAATACATTGCGAGGTATTTAAATCTACAACAGCAATATACTCACTGAATCATGCATTTCTTCATGGTGTGATTTTGACCGACGACTTTGAGTCTGCTTTCTCCGTTCCTCTAAGCCTCTATCACGACTCCTTTTGGACCGCCTAGGTACACAATCAATCAAGACATTAAAATAATTTTTCCCTTTAAACACAAAATTTGCTAAAAATTTAAAATAGTGAAATTGAACTGTGTTGACCGAATGCCTCCCACCTCTTGGAGCTGTGTCTCTCCGAGGCGCTCCCCCTGAGGTCCGCGCCGTCCGCCCCTGAGGCAGAGCGTGCAGAGCGAGTTGGACTTTCCCTGTGGCTGTGGCGGGGCTCCCTTCCAGACTCTGAGTCATCGGCGTCCATTGCCGAACCTCAGATCACGTCGAGTTCAAATGAAACATTGCGATCCTGTTAATATTGAGAGAGTGCGTGACAAAGATGACTTAAGTCAGAATAGCAATTACGACAGAATAATTTATGCTGTTGGCGAACAGGACGCTGTTCGAGCGTCAATTCGGATACGGGCGACCCGTCCCGCCTCACCGTCGAAACTTGGTTATTTTTGACAGGCCTGTAGCAGATGCTTCAGGCGGTAGTTTCGTTCCGCCATTGTGTGTAGTTCAAGCTGTTAAAAACTAGAATCGCTGCATTACTGCACGATTTAAAACGGCAAGAGGTGGGCGGCCATACATAAACAAAACAAACACAGTGTAGCCAACGTGTAAAGAAAAAGGAGATTCGATTCATCGAAGTTGGGGACATCAAAACTAGTGTTGGTAGTCCTTTTGGCGCCACACAGAAATCAAAAATAAACAAAGTGACTTGGAGCTTTCCGAACTTTGCAAGTTTTGTATTTTACTTTGGCTTGCCGGATTGACACCTTTCGAAGCAGACGTTTCAATATTTGATTTGATTTACCCGGTTTAAATTGTACTTTGTGTTGACCTGCCTCCTTTTCTCACTAAGAACTGTTCAAATTTCCATCATCTCTAACCAGGTTAAGTATTTAAGTATTTTAATTATTCTCCAATAGTGGTCGATCAAAAGATCAAAGATCGATCATAAAAACTAGTTTGTGAATCTAATTATTATCTTTCTTCTCCATCTTGTATAGCAAGCGCCTATCTCCATCTTAGTTCCTGTGCCGACGACTAGCTTTGGAATGCACATCACCAAGTAACGGTGAAATGAGTGATGGTCCAGGAGGAGGAGGTGAAGGCCGAGGCCGTGGTGGTGGAGGAGGCGGCTGGAGAGGCAGAGGCAACTGGAGGGGCCGGGGCAGCTGGAGAGGAAATTGGAGGGGTAGGGGTGGAGGCGGGGGTGGTGGCGGAGGCGGAGGCTGGAGAGGTAATTTTAGAGACTTGATTTGTGCCTTTCAATGCAGTGTTTTGAAAAATCAACTGAGGAAATTGTATTTTCAGGAGGAGGTGGAGCCAGTCAAAACAATGGATCCGGAAACACTGGTGACGCCTCTGGATCACAATTTATACAGATCTCTCAAGCATCACAGCAAAGAATCACAAATCTTTTTGATATTGTACCAGGCCCTTACCGTGGATGGAAATTATACTTCCATCTAGAAGGTAACATCATCGTTCACTCCCATTACCATCAAAATTTGTATTGTTCTTCCTTAATTCTTACTTTACTTTGTAGGATTTGCTGAGGGATCAGTGACTGTCAGAAAAGTTAGAGCTGCAGAAACATTTATCAAAAAACATCGTCGACTCTACCCTCCCAGTGAAATTGAAGAGAGGAGATCATTTGCCTTAGATCTGAAAACATTATCAATTGATGATGATTTTATTTCTGAGTGGCCTACATTCAAAGATGATTTGGATGAGGAACCGGAACATACTTTAGGGTGCTTAGGTCTCGGCATGCATCAGGTCTGTATTTGCTATTTGTGACTAATTTCAACTTGATCTATTAAAGCCCTTCATCTCATGTATTACTGAAACACGCAGGTCGTACTTCAAGCTTTGGAAGAAGAGACCCGTGCTCATTTAACAGAGGCTGAAAAGGCTCAATTACCACCCCATAATCTCCCTGCGATTCGTGCCAGAATTCTAAACCATGAGCCTGTACTCCAGCTGAAGACACTTAAAGCCAACTATTATGGTAAATGTGCAATCATTGTTAGTGGTCTTGATTGACTGTGTTATTTTCTAATAACTATTAAATTTGCTTTTCCAAGGTAAACTTGTCTCAATTAGAGGAACCGTCATCCGAGTGGGAAATTTGAAACTTTTGAGTGTATGGATGGCATTTTCCTGTAATACCTGTGGTAGTATCCAATGTGTCCGACAACCACAGGGCAAGTACACCCTGCCCTCAAAATGCAGTGGTGATAATTGTCGTTCACGTTCCTATGCTCCTAAGCACTCCTCACCATTCACTCAGACCGTAAATTATCAATCCATCAAAGTACAAGAAATAGCAGATGATGAACACCGAGAAGGTGGCAGAGTGCCAAGAAATGTTGAAGTTGAACTAATGGAAGACCTTGTTGATTCATGTGTTCCGGGTGATGTTGTAAATGTCACAGGAATAATGAGGGTAGGTGTTTAATTTTCTTAAAAGTGTTAATTAAATATTTTTTTAAAATTTTAATCTTTTTTTTTTCTCTTTACATTGAAAGGTTCACAATACTGAAGAGACTATCAAGCAGAAGAACTCAAGCATGTTTCTCCTTTACATAGAGGCTGCTTCTATAATGAGCAGCAAGACTAATACTGCCAAAGGAAAGAAATCAGTTGGCATAGAATTTAACATGAAGGACTATTACGCAATACAAGTGAGTGGAGTGTACTGTCTTTGCTGGTTGCTGTTGTTCATTTAATATTTTATATGCCGGTACCAATTATCCTACAGGAAATCCACTCGGAGCCTTCACTGTTTCGGCTCCTTGTGAATTCACTATGTCCAACTATTTTTGGACATGAGGTTGTGAAAGCTGGTCTTCTCCTCGGTTTGGCAGGAGGCTCCCATTATTCTGGCCGTGACAGCCGGTGTGATGCACATATTCTGGTTGTTGGTGACCCTGGCCTTGGGAAGTCCCAAATGCTGCAAGCCTGTGCAAGTGTAGCTCCCCGTGGTTAGTATCGCACATCAGGCACTAAAACTCAATAAAAACTGTGCCACCCATTGTTTTCTTTTCCTTGACCAGTTGTTCATAATTGCAGGGGTTTATGTTTGTGGGAACACCAGCACAACTTCTGGTCTTACTGTAACTCTGTCCAGAGAAAGTGGTGGAGACTATGCTCTTGAGGCAGGAGCCTTAGTTCTGGCTGACCAAGGCTCCTGTTGCATTGATGAATTTGACAAAATGTCTACTCAACACCAGGTGAATGAGTTTGTCTATTTTATTCTTTTGATTGGAATCCTTGATTTTTTAAATATCTTGTAATGAATATTTATCTGTAGGCACTTTTAGAAGCTATGGAGCAACAGAGCATTTCTATTGCCAAGGCTGGTGTAGTTTGCTCACTACCTGCAAGAACGTCAATTTTGGCTGCGGCCAATCCAGTCAGTGGTCATTACAACAGGGCCAAAACCGTGTCTGAAAATCTCCGTATGGGTCAACCATTACTCTCTCGGTTTGACCTTATCTTCATACTCATGGATCAGCCCAATGAAGTGAGTCTTCTATGTAGAACTTAATATTTAGGGTAGTTTTAATAAAAATTTAAAATTAAAATTTGTCATTTTTTTAATGATTTTTTTACACTTAGCATTTAGACAATCTTCTTTCAGAGCATGTGATGGCTCTTCACTCTGGCATTCGCAGCCGGGGCAGTGTTAGTTGTTCTTCTTCAAGTCAGTCTCAAAGAGCTAGGCCGTCTGGTGATGGGGATATCCCTCTGAGGTAACACTGAATTCTCATTCTAGCCTTGTTCTGCAAATTATTTGCAGTGAGTCCACTTTTATTTAAACTTTGTTTTTCTGTTGTAGTGAACGACTTAGGCTATATCCAAATGAAGCCTTTGACCCAATTCCTCATCAACTACTGCGGAAATATATTGCCTATGCTCGCAAATATGTTTGTCCCAGTTTGTCAGAAGAAGCTGGTGCAGTTATAAGGCAATTCTATCTAGATTTGAGAAAGAAACACCACACTGCTGATTCTACTCCCGTGACAACGAGACAACTGGAATCTCTTATAAGACTTACTGAGGTGTAATATTTTCTATCTAATTTTTGGTTTCATCTAAGAATTTTAAATTGTTTCCTTTACAAAATAATTTTCCTCCAGGCCAGAGCTAAGCTGGAACTTCGTGAAACTGCTTCTGAACAAGACGCATTAGAAGTTATAGAGATTTTCCGATACAGCTTAGTGGATTCCTTTGCAGATGAGCTGGGTGTGCTGGATTTCAACCGATCTCAGAATGGGTCTGGCATGAGCAGCCGCAACAAGGTAGATATTTTTATACAGTTTGGAATTGCCAGAGGATTCAATACTCTACTTTTAACCCATTTAATTTTTCAGGCGAAAAAGTTCATTGCAATCCTTCAAAGGCGCTCAGACATACAATCAAAAGTTGTCTTTGATGTCTCTGAAATGAAGGAAGTTGCTCAAACCTGTGGCGTCCATGGAGCTGACTTTTTTGATTTTGTTAATACTTTGAATACTCAAGGATTTCTTTTGAAAAAGGGAAAACAATTTTATCAGTTATTGTCAGGGGGCCACTAAATCTAGTAGCTCAGGGATATCTAGAATTTGGAAGATATTTCATTCTCTGTGATACAATTTTTGAAATGTTATTGTGATTTTGTACTGCGTACAAGTGAGATATATTTACAATGAAAATGTACACTTTTCTTTGCTATTATTAAAAATACAATTTCTTAAACATTTGTCTAATTTGCACAGCCATTAAATTCAAATCAGTTCGTTAGAATAACTTAAAAGCTATAGATGCTTCACACAGCTTCAAGGCGCGCTGGCGCTGTCCAGCCCCAGGGTGAAGTACTTCTCCGGGCTGGCCGAGGGGCTGGCCCTGACGTGGGACTTGGGCGCTGAGAAGGCCGACACCTGTGACCTGGGCAGCTGGGAGGGCGTGGGTGCCTTGACGACCTTGACGGCGGCCTTGGCGAGGGCGCCGGGCGCCGGGACGCCCTGCTGCGGCGGACTTACCGTCGACCGACCCTCGCCATCGCGCCTCTCCCGGGCCCTCCTGTTTTGAAACCAGATTTTCACCTGCAACACACAAGCAGACAGCATTCGTTAGCACTTGGGCACTCTAGAGCTTCAAGGGAACCAAAACATTTTTATTTTTTTGAAATGCCTCAGTCCGTTGGTTTTAAAAAATAGGCCGGTCATTGGCCAGAGTGAACCCCCGGGGGAATTCCCTCCGCTCGGACCTAGCGGAGTGAGTCATCTTCGCCGAGTGACTGGCTGGGGCCCATGAAATCGGAGCCCGCCTGGCTCGAAGCTGGAGGCAGAAACACGCCAGGCCCACGCCAGGCCGTCCTGGCTAGCGCGCTGACGCCGCTAGACGCGCCAGCGAGCAGGTAAAGCACGCCGTGGCCATGTATGCAACCCGATAGCGGTAGCGGCGGAGGCGGACAACTTTCACACAATGGGGCAAGGTGCAACCCTTTCGGATTCACGAATCGGATCCAATTCCCCGGAGAAAAGTTGTGAGCAAAGTTGGAGGACTACGCTCACTGTTCGACCCCGGGGCGGGGCGCCTCTACTCGGCGACGGGGTGTTGGGGGTGTTGAGCCTGCCATGCCAAGGCAGCCAAGGTCGGGGGGCTTAGTGGAGACGGGAGGCGAGACGCCGGGACGCGCGACAATAGGCCGCTGTGAAAACACTTTCGGTCGGGTGGCACTGCATGTGTGCATGCGCTCGACAGGTGGAAGCGATCTGTTTTGGCACAAGGACACAATGCGGCCTGATGCACTGGGGGACCGGGACACTGGCGGCGCCGCAAGCAAGACTGCAAGACCCACGGAGCATGAATCATGCGCGGAGTGGTTCAACTAGAGCAGGCCTCGTACGAGGAATGCCTACCAAGGCGGAGGAGGGAGGCGCAGGGGCGGTAGGCAACCCACTGCCACCAGATGACCCGACCGGTCGGCTGTTCTATGCATCTCCATGGCATCAACCCGAATCTCCGCCATTTATCCGCCGTTCGTTGGCCGCTCTGTCTCTCTCACACTCATGAGTGTCGCATGGGGACCCGAGAGGGACAGAGCGACGAAGCACAGCACGGGCCGTTCCAGCCGAGCGGATGCCCAGGGCCGCCTTCCTCTCCTCTGCCCGGAAGGCGCCGAAACCTTATCAACTCGCTAATGGCGGTGGCCGAGCCTGGCCAAGCCCGGCCGAGGCGAAGCAAAGCGAGGGCATGATGCCGACTTCCAGGCCGGCCGGCCGCCCTTTGTGCGATCGCCGAAAAAAATCAAAGCGACCTCTTTCACTCGGCCAAACTGATCGGCCCTTCCTCTCTCGTGCGCCCCTCGCCCCTCCACTTTGTCGCACCTTTTGCATATGATCTGCCGGCCAGGAAACAATAAAAACAAGTCGATTACGGAGAGAAGCCCTCCGCTCCGCCAGGGCCAAGGGCCGAGTGCCGGCCGGGAGTAGAGCACGGCCGAGTGGGCAGCACACCGTAGACACCGTGGACACCGTCACCGGGAGTGGACGCGACGACGCGACACGCCAAACGGGGGAGGGGGAGGGGGTCACGATGCTACCGAGGAGACCGAGGACCCAAGGCGGGGACCTCAAAGCAAGCCGGCCGCCGGCGACCCACTCCACCGCCCATTGATTCAACGACGACTCAATAATTTAACAGAGTATCTCGTTCCACCTCGCCCTTCGCCCCGCCTTGCTTCGGGTGCAGCGCGTCATCGCATCGGCACCGGCACTCCCTGGATGCCCTGGATGCGGATATCGAGTTTCGATTAGCGGGGCAGGGGAGGGGAGGGGGTCGGCGGGGAAGTGGGGCTCCCGCCCCGTCACCTCGCTGCATGTTCGGCTTCTAATATTTCGTGCCACCAAACCTTTGGTCCGGGCACGGATCACGGGTCGCTAGGCGTTGGACGCGGCACCCCTACACCGGTAGCAGGCGGGCTATGCGCCCGCTGCCGTGCACTGCAGCTCAGCGGCCAAGAGAAATCGTTTTGGGGGAAGCCAAGGCGCGTCTTTTGAACCGCCGCGGGTTCCAGAACCTCTGGAGTGCTACTCACCCTGGTTTCGGACAGGTCCAGCTCGGTGGAGAGGTCGGCCACGTCGGCGCTGCTGAGGTAGTGCGAGCGCCGGAAGCGGCCCTCCAGCACGGCGACCTGGTGCGGCGAGAAGGGGATGCGGGGGTTGCGGCCCAGGCGGCGCTGCGCGGGGCCGTCGCGCCTTCGAGTACCTGTGGAGCCAGCGAGTCAGCGAGTCACATGGAGAGCTCCACATGGGAACAAGGGACACCCCTACAGTGCGGTCGTACTCACGGGGAAGCTTGGGCGGCCGGTATCTGGTGCAGTTGAGCCACTCGAACTGGCCGTCGGGGTGTGCCGTGGTGGACGTCGGCGACGAGGTCGGGGACGTGGACGTGCGGCCCGCGTCCTTGAGGATGTGCTCGATGCTGAAGTCGGACTGCTTGCGCACGGCGGCGGGCTGCGGGGTGCTGGCCGGCGGCGTGCTCGCGGCCGCGCCCAGGGGGGCGAACGCGCTGGAGGTGGTCAAGGACCGCGCCATGGCGTGCAGCACGGCCGAGCTCGGCGGCAGCAGGGGCGGGTACGGCACGCCCGGCCACAGCAGCGGCGCCACGGACGGCGTCCACGCCATGTCCTCGTGGCCGGACCGGCCGGAGCCGCCGGACGACGAGCTGGAGGCGCTGCAAGGGCTGGCGGGGCTGCCAGGGCTGCTGGGGCTGCCGGGGCTGCCGACCCTCGAGGGGCTGGTGGGGCTGGCGAGGCTCGCGGGGCTCGCGGGGCTCGCCAAGTTGGTCGGGCTTCCGGGGCTGGCGGGCGGTTTGTACCAGGAGAAGGGCCTCTTCTTGCACGGCACGGTGTGGAACCGCGGGGCGTTGACGGCCACCTCCACGGCCATGCTGGTGGCGTTTGCGGGCTGGGAGGGGACGACGGCGGTGTGGTGGTTGAGCGCTGCGTCCATGCCACCACAGTGCTCAGCACATCACAAAGGCACTTTCACTCGCGAGTCAAATTTTGTCGAAGTAAAAAGATCGCTCGGTGCGCGGATGTATTGTCGATGACGACTCTAGGTGACGACCCTAGTGCAGGGGCACGAGTGCGAGCACGATCACGGGGATGATCGGGATGAGCAGGAGGCTGGTGCGTGCGCTCGGCGGGGCGGTCTCTGGGACACTGACGGACGGACTGGCGGCGTGGCGCAGGACGAAGGACTCCGGGCACCCCCGGCCCTGCTTGCCCTGCTTCCCGCCTTGCCGGCCTGGCTGCTTGGTTTGCCCGCTGATTTAAATGCCAGGTAAGGCTCGGGGTGGGGGTGGGGGTGGGCGATCTGAGAGGTGGGTGGAGCCTGGCCAGGGTGGGAGTGGGGAGGGGAAGTCTGGGCAGGGGTAGGCGATGGGGTGCGCTAAGTAGCTCAGTGCAGTGAGGCGGTAACATTGTTTAAAGAGGCTATTGTCTTCTTAAATGAAGTACGCCTCTCATTTCCAGCCAGGCTATCCATCCAGCCCGCATTCGTGCAACGTTTATGATGTGCAAAATTGAAAAGGAATAAGAAACGCGTAGTTTGGATAATTTTCTTCTCAGAGCACTGCTGGATGAACGCGTGTTTGAAGATAAGGACAAGAACATAAACTTCGAAAATTAAATTTTTCGATAGCGGAGGTTCGATCGCTTTCAGCCTACTTCGAGAAGTCACTCGTCAACCAATTCAGCCGTGCCTACATTCAAATACTCCATACTCCATGCGTGTGGGTTCCAAGTAAGTTACTAACTCGGGCGTGCACTGCGAGTCCCAGGCGTCGAGGTCTCCCCGCCAGAGGCTGATTCCGAGAGTTGTTTTCGTCGCCCTGTCTCTCTCGCACTCATGGGGCGTGCCGAATAGGTGAGAGAGAGAGAGAGACAGAGCGACAAATACGACTCTGGGAATCATATGCAGGCGGCATTTAGCGCGGCACCCCCAAGGGGCCGGGTAGGCAGTCCCGCCTCGACGCGCTGCCCGCGCGTTGCCTACACGGCAGGCGCGAAGAGAGGCTAATGTTATTACTTTTGCTATTGCTATTTCAATTGCTATTAACGGCTGTCGGCTGGCCCACAAATGATCGTTCCACGAGGCACGATAGCCTCCTCGCAGTGAATACTGTACTGCGCCTTCCAGGTCGCGGGGACTCGCCACTGTAATCTTCTCCTCCATCATCCACGGTGCCCTGCCTGCAGGCTGCCGAACTACGCCGTCTCTCTCGCACCTACAGAGCGTGCCGTAGGGGTGCAAGAGAGACAGGGCGACGAAAGCGTTGCAACTGAGACTCGTTAAAATTGGACGAGTCCGCGCGAGGCGAGGCGAGGCACAGTGGGCCAGAGGACCAGTGGAGCGGCCAAAACTCTAGACGCGTTTTAAGCTCCAGAGTCGCTAAACAGGACTCGAATCGAGTGTGTGACCCCACCAATGGATTCCTCGTTCGGAGAGCAATCCATTGATGGGGTCACACGTTCGGTTCGAGTCCCATTTAGCGACTCTGGAGCTCAAAACGCGTCTCGAGTTTTGGCCGCCTCCGCCGGTCTTCTGGCCCACTGTGCGAGGCTAGTCGGCGCGTTGCCCTGCAGCTGGCTGCATGTAATTCGAGCGGCTCGCGCCTCAATATTTGATGGCAACAGCAACACGGCCGTCTCCATTACTTTCACGGCTTCCACGAATCGATGGGGGATGGTGGTCTTCGCCATGGTCGTCGCCGTGGTCGCGGTGGGGATGGTTCGGGGTGGCCGCCGCTGGCCGCGGAGAGGCGTGGCCTGACTGGCCTGCGCGCCCAGAGGAGGGGAGCGGGAAGAAACCAGTCCGCGTCGCGGGTAGCAGCAGACTCATCCCGAACAGCGAGCGTCTCTCTCTGTCTCTCTCGCACCCCCATGGCACGCCCCATGAGCGCGAGAGAGATGGAAGCGCGCGGCGTGCAGGTAATCTATATTTTGGCACTGTGTGTGTACGCGCGGGCGAGAGAGATGTCTGAGAGTTGACGATAGACGCAGAACGTTCGACACCGGATGCAGCGGGATGTTGATAAAAAATTTTAACTTTCGTTTGAGAGTTGATGCCCTTGTGTTGTGGGTCTGCGTGTGCGGGTGTGGGAGGACTTAGGCACAGATGCGCCGCCGGGTCGCTCCTCGCTCTTCCCACGAAATGGGTCGGTCCGTCTTTGCGGCATCTCCGAATCAAATGGTTTGTCAAACCGAGGCCGCCGTCAAGGGCGAGGTGCGCCGCAAGCCTCGCGAGGGCGTCGTGGAGGACGAGGACGCCGAGGACGCCGAGGACGCCGAGGACCGCAGAGATGAAACGGCCTCCATGTTCGAGAGGCTGTGAGTGGCCGGGCCGGCCAGCCAAGCAGTGCCGTTCCGAATACTGATTTTCGTCGCTCTGTCTCTCTCGCGCTCATGCGGCGTGCCGTAAGGGCGCGAGAGAGACGGAGCGACGACGGGCCGTTCCGAATCTCTCTGCTGCAGCCCGGCGGTGCCCTGCGGTTGACATCGCAGTCCGACGAGTCCAACCCCCTCCCTCCCTCGGCCGAGGGCTTTGCGCTCGCTTTGCGGGGGCCGTGCCGCCGCCTCGGTTCGGTGGTAGCACACAGCGCTCAGCGCACGCCACTTGAACTCGCAACGCAACGCACGGCGAATTGCAATGTGAATGTGTGCGACCGAGCCGCGCGCCCGCGATGGCAGATAATGACATAATACGATGCGGCGGCGACGAGGGCGACAAGGAACAGCTGCCGGTGGGAACGAAGAACGAATCGGGAAAAGCGGCGCGGAAAAAAGCAAGTTTGAGCGGAGAACCGCAGAGAAGCGACAAGTGGGCGTCGATAGCATCGGGTCGCTTCGAGAGCTCTTCGAGAGCTACTCGAGAGGCGCGGGACCGCCGACCCCGCTCCGCGACACAGCTCTGCGCTACGAGCAGCATTATTCAAGACAAATTAATTAATTGTGTATCCTTTGCGGCGCGAAACACGAGGGGCGCGGAGGAGCGCAGGGCGAATCGGAACGCCAGGGGCGTCTTTCTTTCTTGACCAGACAGGCCAGTAGTTAAAATAAACAAACATTTCACACTAAACTTAAATAAGATATGACTTAACTGATATGATAATATTTACTGTGATAAATACGGTCTATTTTTAGAGCGGTGTTTTGACTGGGCTGAATCAGATCGTGCAACAGCCAAGTCAATTTCATCGTTCCGAGACCGGCGATTCACTACAGGACGGCTATTCCTCGAAGGCCTGTTCTCACCGGTCGCGTGAAATCCGAGTGAGTCCCCTGCTAATTTGTCGCGTCAATCGCTGTGTCTGTCCGTCTGCCTGTCTGTCTGTCCGTCCGTCCGTCCGATCGGTATCTGATGGTATCTGACCGCTGCTGATGGACATGTCGGGGACCAGGCCAGACAATGGCTCGGGCAAAGCTGTGACAAGCTTTCAAACAAACACACACACTCCTACAACGCGCTGCTGCTGCGCGCAGCCTCCGGTTTTGCATCTTTCCGGTCCCCTGTCCGGGGAAGCAGAGGATTAGTGGGAGGACGTGGTGAGGTGGTGCTGGCGCCGTCTGCGCCTCTCGGTCGTGGCGCCGGCCTCTCCGGCCTCGCGTGCAGTGTCGTGGTGCGTGCGTGCGCGTGCTTCGGCCAGTGTCCGGTTGCAGCCAACTGCAACACTTTGCAGTGCAACCCGACCTGGACGACCCGGACACGCACTCGGCTTGCTTCGCGCGGACGCACGACGACGATGGGCAGCTCCGAAACTCCCCGCACAAGTCCACCCTGCTCGCATGGAGGACAAGGACACGAAGGGCACCGACCAGGTGGACGGGCCAGTAGGGCCAAGGACCAAGAACGAACGCAACATCGCCATCCTCCTCGCGGTACGCGGTATACGCGCCTCCAGCAAATGGTTGCCTCTGACGGCGGCCTCCCCTGCACCCGGACAACGCCGCCCACCAATCTAATTTCCGAAAGCACTGCGGCCTAAGAGAAAAGGCGCAACCCGCCTGACCTGAAACGGGCACTTCTTTGTCTCGCGCGCCGCGGCGTCGTCGGCGTCGTCGGCGCCCCTCTGCCGTCTGGGTCGGCGCGGCGGCGCGGCGCTCCACGACCTGGGGGGTCAGCGCCACCGCCAGCGCCACCGCCAGCGCCGGGCCCCGCCACTGCGTACGACGGCGTGCCACGGCCGGGGGGTCCGCAGCCTCAAAACGGCAGTCAGGCCGCAGAATTAAAAGCTTATGATTGTTCTGGTAGGAAAACATGACGCGAGCAACAATAGGCCTCGCCGCAACCGAGGGGATCAACTTCGCACGCTTCGCTGGAGCGGGGCTGGAGCGGGGCTGGAGCGGGGCTGGAGCGGGCCAACGGTGGCGGGCAGCGAACCCGCCGACCGGGCAGCAGGGGTGTGGGCAGGGTATCACATTGTACGACTTTATTTGAAACAGGGACGATTCTGTTGTCCTGACATCACGTTGCGTCTTTTATTAATTAATATTTGTTTTCTGCGTGGCTGCCTCTCCCCTTTCTTCCCTCCGCGTTGACACACTGGAGGCACTGGAGGAGACCACCCCTGGGCCGGCCTTGCCTGTTGCCTGTTCCAGGAGTTCCAGGTCAGGCGATCAATAACAAATCACGGGGATCGACGGCGACCTGACGAGACGGGTCCAGGAATAACCCTTTTTCCAGAAGGACCCCACCGAGTGGAGGAATTGTCCTCATGAAAACACACTCCCTGGACACGAAGAATGCTCCCATACCCAACGGCTAGAGACAGCTTCTGCCATCATGGGGAACGGGTGCTTTTCGGTTTTGCGTTTTAATTGTGTCACTTGTAGTGCCTGCCGCGTGTTTGTGGCCATTCGCTACCGATCCACACAACAATTTGCTCCCCTTCCCTCCCCCCTCACTTATACACACACTCACGCACATAAACGCGCGCATGTAGCCCGTCCCCAGCTACTGCCAACATTACCACGTTGCATCTCCCGCCGCCGCGCCACAGGGCTGCACATTAGACTGATGTCGAGAGTCGCTGTAGTCGTTCTGTCTCTCTCGCACCCATTCGGGACGCGCCACGAGTGCGAGAGAGACAGAGCGGCGAAACGACTCTCGGAATCACAGTGTGCAGGGCCGTGCTCCTGTCGGTGCGTTTGGGTAATAGGATCCACCGTCCGTCGCGTCCCTGACGTCGTCCCGGCCTCGGCCCGCCTCGGCCAGCAGGGGATGGCGTCCTGGCCTCGGCCGGCCCCGGCTGGCCCCGGCCCATTCGGACGCAGTGAGTGTGAAAAAGCGAGTGCAGAGGAGTCCGGAGGGACAAGATTGAAAACGGAGGGAGGGGAGAGAGGGGAGGGGCAGCGTGGGGGCAGCGCTCCAGCTTGTTTGGATTACTGCATTGTGTGGATGATTACCCCGTAATATTGCAAGTGATACACCTTCGCCGAGCTCGCCAGCGGCGGCCTCCCTTCCTCCCTCCCCTTCGCGACTCTCCGCGGGGACCGCGATCACAGCCTGGCATGTGAATAATTTAGTGGCCAGTAAAGAGAAAGACTGTTACGGCGGCTGCGATGTGCCCGCTACGTACAGCGCGCGTTCATTCAGCTCGCCCGACCAATCATTTTTCGGACGTCATCGGCGAAAAAGCGGGCACTGCGTGTAATCCGCTTGTCGTTGAGTCATTCCGTTCTTCAGAGAGCAGGGAAGTAGCTCACTTACCCGGGCAGGGCAATCAGCGCGGTCAGCGCGTCAGCAAAGCACCCCGATGACCAGGGCACTGACAGTGTCCCAGAATACCAGTCTAACTATATGCGGAAAATTTTGTGGATTGCCCTTCGAACGCGGAATCCACTGGTACTAAACATGCGCTTGGCGCCCCATTGAGGCAAGTTCAAAACGTGTCCAGCCGGTGTAGCGCCTCCTCGCTGCCCATTGAGGCGCCCGGCCCGCAAGTGGCGCGGTGGCGGCGGCGCGGGACTTTGACCGGCGCTTCATTCACACCGGATCAGCCCCAGCGGCCCCAGCGGCCCCAGCCCCTACACTATGAGTATCGATAAAATGGGCTGAGCGCACAATCCTATTTCCATATCGTCGGCAGCCTTGTCCGGCCTGAAAGCTTCCAGGAAGCGGGCTTCGACGGCCTCGACGGCCTCGACGGCGTCCTCGGGGACCGCGCTCTGGCCGCTCTGGCCGCTCTGGGCCGCTCAATGGAGGCTATTAGCCACTGTAAGCGCCATTATCGGACTGGACATCGGCCGGCCGCTTAGTGAGGCGAGGCGCCGCCCCCGGCCTGCAGGCAGCCTCCATCATCAACCCCTTGACGTCGTGCCGGTGGCAGCAGCCCCTGGAGACCTTCCATCATTTTCCCTCTTACAATGTCAAGGGCTGCTAAATTTTTGCGTGTCTGGAAGTTGGACTTTGGCCCTCTTGGGTTGCAGTGAAATTAGCTGTCAGCCACTGTCAGCCTCCTTGCCGCACCACACTTTACGGACGGTCCTCGACGACGCGTCTTCGCGCGCCGGGGACAAACATACGCAGATTACGGCGGCACTGCAGGACCCTGGACCCTCTCAGAGGCGCTGCAGGCCGCCAACCTTGCGAAACAATGGGCAGCGTGTGCCACAGTGTGCCACGAACCACGCAGTGGTGCCAACCCCGCCAACCCCGGCGGCACCCGCACTGCTAAACCGCACGGCTGCCGGCTGCGGGCTGCGGCTGAACAGCGTAGGCGGCTCCTGTGATGTGCGGGCAGGTGCCATAATGTGGTAAATGATCCTGGCCGAGCCGACATAAGAGGATGGCGCGGTGTCTGTGTGCGTGTGTGCGCACGCGTGTGCACCGGTGCAGCAGCGAGTGAGCATGCTATGCAAAAGGGGCGCCCCTGGTAAATACTGACGCCTCAAAGAAAGGGGCGGTGCAGATGGCCGTTTTCATTTTGCCGCGGCAAGCGCTTTCATTCTGGCGGCATTCTGGCGTTGCCCTGACAACGCGGGACGCGCGGGACGCCCCTTCCAACCACTACCAACCTCCGCACGCCAACGCGCGTACCCCGTGTTTGTAAACAGTGCGACATGGTGAGGCGCGGTGCCCGGCGGCACTCCAGGGGTGGCAGTGTGACGGCCGAGTGACTTCCCTGGACTTCCCCGTCGGAGCGGCAGCGCCGCCGACACCGGCGCGAGCATGCCGTCACACAAGAAGAACGACGTCAGTGGTGACCAAGTTACTCGCATCAAAACCCAGGTTCAGAAGTGGCAAATGACGCGGGAACCGGAAATGCTTGAGATGCTTTGCAGCCGAGCTGCCACTGCGCGGTGTGCCACGATGGGTACTCCCGCATGGACTCCACCTCCACGTCGCTCACCCACGGCCCCTCCATCCGCACCGCGGGCTCCGCCATGACCCTCAACTCCGAGTGCCTGTCGGGCAGGGGCTCGCCCTCCAGGGCCACCGTGGCGACGGACTACGGCGGCGTGGTGTCTGGTGCAGGGGAAGGTACGTGGATTCGAGTCCCGGCGGGGTGCGCGCGCGTTTTTTGCAACATATTGATTTCTGTTTTCATCTAGGGCGGGCCGGCGGGGCGGGGAGGCCTGGTCCAGGATCCGGACAGCCGGGGGCTGGCCCGGCGGGGGCGGGGGCGGGCCCGGCGGGAGGTGCGGCAGCACAGAAAGCTCGCGGCCGGCCCACGGGCGGCGGGTTGGCAAGTGAGTGTCCTTCCCCCAGGTGTTTCGTCGCTCTATCTTTCTCTCTCCCACACGAGTCGCCCCATGAGTGCAAGTGAGACAACAGACCGCGAGCATGAAGCGTCACTTGGCCTTTGCAGAGCGCAGCGCCCTGGCTGACAAGTACATGTACACGGACATGGACTACGAGCAGGAGCCCGAGGTTGTCGCGGACCTGGAGCTGGAGGACGCCGTCGTCGACCTGTGAGTTCCGCGCTGCCCGTCGGAAGGGTCCTTTGAACTCCCGGCCCCACTTCCTTCCTCCCTTTAGCGAACAACGTTCTTTTCCAGGGAGCGCGACGACTCCGACCTCCACAAGGTGTGTGATCCGGGTTCCGCAATACTAGTTACAGTGCACGTCCCCGTGTTACCTACGCTGAACTTTCTTTCGGCGCGAAGGTGGAGGGGCGGATGGCACCGTTCCTGCCGCAGCCCGAGGACGACGCGCACCCCTGCCAGGTCGTCCAGGAGGGCATGGAGCCGGTGGGGCCGTGGGCGCAGGGCAAGGCGGACTGGGGCCCGCTGGCGGGCATGACGGGCACGCGGCCCGTCGTGGACCGCTACTCCATCACGCGCTACTCGGTGCCCGAGTGGCGGAAGAACAACCTGGACACCTTCCAGCGCGCCGCGGGCGACAACCACAACGCCGGCATGTAGGCACTGGCCGAGTTTGGGTAAATTAGCGACAAGATACACGTTTCTAATATTCTCCGTGGCGCAGGGTGGACTTTAACAGCAAGGCGTGCATGCAGCACGTGGCGGCCGAGGCCGACAAGAACCAGGCCGACTGCACGGCCCGCCTGGAGCAGCGCGCCATGGACCTGCACCGGTGGCTGGCCGAAGTCCGCAAGGCCCACAAGGTGAGGTCCCTGCAGCGGGGCGCGTCGGGCCCGGCGAGAAGCTTGACGGTTCCTCTCGGTCCCCGCGGCAGGCGCTGTGGGACGAAATCCAGGACCTGGAGAAGTACCGCGCGCGGCTGCGGCGGCTGCTGTGCGTGCTCACCAAGTGCGCCAATGTGGCGGGCGAGTGCTTGGACTTGCGCTCCAAGCGCTGCGACCCCGACCTGGTGCGCGACGAGCCCGAGGAGCAGCTCGTCAAGGAAGTCGCCCTCATCAAGGAGGTCCGCGGCCTCATAAAGCGATGCCTGCTCCGGGTAGGGAGACGGCGGTTCGAGCACCGGTTTCGCGCGTTGTTTTCTTGTTTGCTGTGACTTTGCGCACTCAGGTGGAGGAGCAGCAGCGGTCCAGCAAAGCCGCCAAGGCGCGCCTCAGCACCAACTGGAGCGACAAGAAGGAGGCCTACGACATCGACAGCCTCGGCGCCGGCCTGCGCACCGCGGACCCCACCGCGCTGTTCTACGAGGGCGCAACTCGCTTCCCGGACAGGTCGGAACAACGGGGAGGCCCTGCCTGGCCCTGCCCGGGCACGGCAACGCGGGCAACACGGACTTGACCGCCTTCTCCGCCGCACGGCCGCAGCCAGTCCACGACGGAGAGCTGGGAGGCGGCGTCGCGCGAGGACATCTGCCTGTCGGAGAACGAGCGCGCCAAGTCCGTGATGCTGCGCAACCTCATCGACAGCACGGTGCAGGACGCGGCGCGCGACCTCCGCCAGCAGGAGGCTCGCGTCGACGAGGCCGTGCAGCGCCGCGTCCAGGTCATGACCGCCCTGCTGCAGGAGCTGGAGAACCAGCTGGCCCTGGTGCGTACGCGCCGCGGCGCGTCCAAGCCGCGCCGTCGTCAAACGCCGAGCCCGTCAAACTGGAGAGGCGTCTTCTTCTGTTAGATCCTGCGCCGCATCATGGAGACCGAGAGACTGATCGCGGACCTGAAGCGTGCGCTGCGGCAGCTGGACATGGCCCTGAAGGTGGCCCAGACGCGCCTCAGCACCCGGATGGACAGGACGCGCATCGAAAACTGCAGGGACTGCCCGCAGTATGGGTGAGTTAGGATAAAATTTAGCTGAAAGAGCGGCTGTCACTTCCTGCACTTTTGGTGGGCGGGGCGGGGATGGGGAGGGGACGGAGCCGCCTCGCCCTGTCGGCCATCACGGCCATCACGGCCATCACGGCCAGGCCGCGGGTCGTGTCGCGGTGCGACGAGTGCGACGGCCACCGCGGCTCCCTCCCCTACCTAAACCACCCTACCCCCACCGAATCCACCGCGCCGCAGCCACACCGCCAGGGAATGGTGGCGGCGGCCTGCGGCGGCTGAGGGGGAATTTATCAGTCAATCGAGAAAATGATCGGGGTTAAATTGTTTTGACAACTGATTCCAGTCTGGTGGACGAGGTCAAGTCGATTTCGGAGCAGTGCAGCGCTCTCCTGGGGCAGCTGAAGCAGGCCGAGGACACGCTGCAGAGCCTCGTGGACACGCGGAACCACCTCGAGAAGGACATAGTGCAGAAGCGTAAGAACCTGTACCTGGACCGCGACCGCATCCAAGTGGTGGGCAAGGAATTCATTTTCAGTTTCGGAAGCCAAAAGCAGCTTAAGAGCGCTCTCACAGCCTGTTTTTAATTCCAGATCCGCCAACACTACCCGCCTGCAGCCGCTCTCACTGGCCTGCACTAGCCGTGCTCTTCATTTTGTTTAAGTACTACTGTCATACTGCCTTTTTTTGTGCGTTGGATTCGATTCTGCCCCTGTTACAGTGTCCTTTCACGATGTGCCGCCAGGCTGCGTGGAGGAGGGCGCGAGCGCGGCAACTACCAACCTGCGGCGGATCTTTCAAGAACCACTCAAGTCTCTAGACCTCCTGAAAAACGTGCTAGGAAACAATTCAAAAGAAAAATGCATTGCTTTACAATTATTCAAAAAAAAAAAAGTGATAAACAACCGCTTCTAATTTTCAGTTTCGGTGTATTGCAAGTTCAGATGTACATTAACAATTCAAAGTCATCTGTAAGTGCACCACTTACACAGCGTACAAGGACAAATTACAACGATAAACTGTTCGTCAGTTGGCGCGCGCCAGACCAGTGCGCCACGTGACCCGGGACTGCCAACCTATACATAGTTCGTATTCGCACGATACATTACTTTAACGATGCTTTCTCGGCACACACCCTTCTGCACGGAATACCAGCACTTAAAAATGAAACGTTTCCTCAATCGAAACCACGTTTATGCCCGTTTGAAGACACGAAACTCTCCTGGTGCCACAGTGGCAAAGTGGGAAGGGGGAAAGAGGGGGGAAGGGTGTCCCCTTCCCTCCTCCGCCCCCTCCTGCCTTTATCTAGCTGGAGAGAGCGGGTGAGAGGTGGAGAGAGGGGAAGAGAGAGGGCCGTTCGCTTGCGCTTGTTGTTGAGCGAGCTGGGCGTTGTTGATGAGATACAGCTAAACCTGTCTGTGCTACGTCGGTTTATCTAATCATTCTGCTGCAAGTCACGTAGGGGAGGTTCGTCTCACCGGCTCTTTGAACCTTTCACTTCTGTAAGTGCTAGTATCACCATAGTAGAAGTGTTGTAACTGTTTCTTTGACAGATCCACAATATGAAGAAGATCGCAATTTTTGGTGGCTCCGGCAACACCGGCCTGTGCGCCGTTGATGCAGCGCTGAAGAAAGGTTTGTAGTCATCTTGAATTTACATAATATAGATTTTCAGCTTCATCATTCATGTATATTTGCCTCCTTTGAAGGACTCGCAGTTCGTGCATTGGCACGAGACCCCTCCAAATTCCCTGAGGATGTTGCTTCTAAAGTTGAAATTGTTCAGGGTGATGTGCTGAACTATGATGATGTGAAGAAGACGGTAGAGGGAGTTGATGGTGCTGTCATCGTGTTGGGTACTCGGAATGACGTTAGTAAGTACTGAACCATGGACGTTCACTTCATATCTGTACTTCGAACACATTTTAAATCTTATCAAATTTGTTTAGAACCGACCACAATGATGTCTGAGGGCACCAAAAATGTGCTAAATGCGTTGAAGGAAGCTAATATTAAACCAGTTTCAGGATGCATGTCCTGTAAGTATAAATTTTTATAAATATCTCTCTTCCATTTTTATCTGTACCAGTTATCACCTTTTTCTCCATCGCCTCTTGTTGTCCTCAGCCTTCCTTTTTATGGAACTTGATAAAGTTACTCCCATGCTTCGTGACCTGACTAAAGATCATCTTCGTATGCTCGATGCTCTCAAGGCCAGTGATCGCGATTGGATTGCCGTCTGTCCACCTCACATTGCGGGTAAGATATTTACTAACTTGTCAGCTCTAATAGTATCCTTGTAACGCATGCTATGAGGCTTCAAGATTTATTTTAAGAAAATCATTGTCTCAATTTCCTCCCTAAAATTTGTGCTCAGGCACGGAGATCTCATGGCCTGCCATAAGAAGCTTGGCCAGCTCTGGACATGGAATGATGGGTGTCCTTGCAGCCTCTGCCATGTCTGTCCTGTGGCTTGGCCGCAAAGCGCTTAAGCCCTTCACCACCTCAGAGTGTAGGTTTTCCTCTTTCTCCCCTCATCCTTGAGTTGGTGTGGGCTACTAATTTTTAAATATCATCCCGGCACATCCTCCTTCGTTTTCTAGTTATCCTTGTTGATAACTTGAAGTCTTGCCTTCTTAGCAAATTGGAGTGTGGATGAGATTTTTATGTTCTTTCTGCTTGCTATTGACAGTGTCATTTCAGTTCAGTGTGCAATGCTATTGAATTTTTGACTCTGTGGCTTTGGGTGCTTCTGTGATGTAATTGCAGTGATTGACTTCATATCTCAATCTTACTCTTTATTTTGTTGCAGCTGAGCCATCAGGAAATTACCAAATTAAACATGGGTCATCTCCTGGAAGAGTTATTTCTAAGTACGACCTGGGCTTCTTCCTTGTGGATTGTTTGGATAAACCTGAACACTATCGCCAAATGGTTGGTATTGCTAAACCACCCCAGGCATAATTTGTTTTAAACCGGTATGCATGAGTTGTGCCAAATATAGGAAATTAGGAGCAATCATAACATTCTTTAATTTTTCTATGTATTTTGTTAAATCTTATCACATCAGAAAAAATACTGTGTTATCATTTGATCATAAACACATTATAAACATCACAAACACTGCCTTTGGTCCTTGACCACCTTGACCCTGTATGGTGTACAGTGTTCAGCATTTAGAACAATAGACTTACAAAAATTTGTGTCCTCTGGTAATAGATGAGTTGAATCTAACCACAGGTTAGCAGACCAAAATCAAAATATCACACACCAAAAAAATTAATACATTTCTGAACACAAGAAAGCAGATGAAATTGTGCCATCAGGAACAGTAAAGCATGTATTAAAATAATACAAAAATAATGTGACCTTGGCAATGCCTTAAATAAATGCAAGCAATGATGAAGCTAGGATTAAAGCCTTCTACCTATCACAATTACAATCACAGAGTTCATGAAGCGTTATTTCGATAAAAAAAGAGCAGCTTAATTAATCACAGAATGTTAGTAGTTGCAGGATGAGGTTCCACAAAAAACATCATAAACCACTGATATTCATTTGCTAGTTTGTAAATAGTTAAGGAACAAATTAACAAGAAATAAATAAGGTTCTGGTAAAAGCCTGACAATATATGTCAACATGGATGCAACATGTTACTCATGATAATTTAGTTTCAATCTTTTGAGTCCCAGGGTTTTGCCAATTCTTTTTTCATGTATGTTTTGACTGACATTACATTATGACCTATTGGTTGTTTTGGAAGTGGTGGAGGAGGTGGTGGTGGACCTGTTAGAAGACATTTCATCTCTTTGTTAACCTCAGCAATTTTTCTGTCAATCATTGTCCTGCAAGTCTCTGTTTCCATATTTTTTGTTTTGCTATCTTTTGGCCCTGAGGAAATTGACCGAAGCCCAAATGAATATAATGACACTGGTTCACATTCATTGTATCCTAATTTCTTATAGAATTTTTCTTGACCCAAAGTTGATAAATAAACAATGTGAAGGTTGCGGCTGTAGACATAATTGAAAAGCTTGTTAAAAAAAATAAAAAAAAATCCATAAATCAACCATTGAAAGAACTTTGAAAGAGACATACCTGATAACGTACTCTTCTAACTTCTTCATTAGTAGTGATCCCAGCCCCTCTCCACGGTTTTGAGGATGAACTATAACTGTAAAAGTTAGCCTTATGTATTCAGACACTAATTTTATGCAGTAAGACGCTAAATGAGCATAAAAGTTAAAAACCTACCAGACTCTACAAAACATGCATCTTTTAGATTTGGAATGAGGGATACTTTGCAAAAACCAAGAGCTTGCCGAGAATTAGATTGCACCAGAACCATGCCAACAGGAAAATTATCACTGCATGATGACAGACTGTTCAACCTATTAAAAAAATACAGAGTTAAATATGTTAAAGCATTCATAACAGACTGGAATGAAACACAGACAAAAAGGGAGAAGAATAAATAGTGTAAACTAGAATTCGGAAACCAAAGACAGGAAACTGACCTGGCCTGTTGACTCCGGGGCCATTCCATATTTAGGAGAGTCGCGCACGCAAGGGTGAATTCGGGATATTGATGCAGTGGTACAAGGACACATGGATTTTCGGGGTCAGGGGGTAACAATTTGGGCGGTGGTTGAGGCTGGAAAATTAATATTAAGTCAGGACGAACAAGAATGTTACGAAAAACTTCATTTAGACATAGAGAGGGGTTTTACGGGACCGACCCAAGGGATGAATCAAGACACGATGAGACAAAAATTTTCATGTGTTATCATAGGTATCAATCACGGTTTCAATGAGTATTTGGGACACACTGATAATTGCAGATAACTTGCAAGTGCTACTTATTTTTAAAGAAGGAGGAAGTTGCATCTAACAAAAAAATCATTTACCATTGTCGACACCAAATTTCTACTTCGAACATGAAAGCAAAGAAGTTAACAGAGTTGAATATGTTAAATGGCTCATGTCTTCTGCTCTGCTGACAGGAGCACTATTGGCAGGAACACCTGCAAGCCGGCTGCCAATAATCAGAACAAAAAGTGTTTTCTTCTTCCTCTTTTTCGTAGAATTGTAAAATCAAAGCAAAGTCAGAAGGAAGGAGGGAAAATGAAATACATTCAAGAAGTCAAATTCGAGGCGAATTGAAAATTGAAATAACTATCGTCTGCCTTAGTGAGAGCGTTTGGTGAAGACAGTATTGCCGGTGGCAGCCACTGACAAGAAGTTGCCGGTCGTTGGTGAATCTCAAGAGTTGTGATCGTTCTAAAACCTGTAGCCGTCGCGTGTGAGGATCTTGAAGCAGCCGGGAGTGCGTTTTGTCATGCAGTCATGCAATCCGACCGGGCACCTTGTAATGCCACTGGGCAGGTCGAGTTCTCAGCAGCTGTCACACATTGTTTGCGAGATCAGCGAGACGAAGCTACCCCCTTGCTGGGTGGCATTTTATCAGGTATCCTAATGTGTCCTATGAGGTTATGGGGGTCCTAGCGTTAGTTTATCCATTTGTTGAATAAAGTCATTGAGCAGCGTTTTTATATGTGGTTTCCCTTTGGTCTCGTTCCAGATTCAAAACTAGCTTGGCTTTCGAAAGGTCCTCAGTTTGAAGTAGTGCAGGTCTCTGATGGGGCCAAAATTGCTGCCTGGACGTTTGGCGCAGTTGTGAGAGATTTCAAGACCAAGGTAGTTCTTTTTATTCTCTGTGTCCCTGTTAACGTTTAGATTTTTGTAAATATTGTATTTGGAATTTTTTTCCACCCTTACGTTTGATTTTCATTATCAGGTAACATGTGTCGCAGAGCTACCTCATTTGAAGCCCTCGGGGCAATCGGGCCCTATAGATCAGATAGTAGTTGGCTCGGAATGCGAATTGACGGGTGGCATGTTGTGCCTGTTCAGCTTGGCAGGCTCTCGTATATTGAGAGCCATAAATATCCCCTCAAAAGTAACTGCATTGACCATTGTGAGTTTGGGTGGCAAAGCCACTGGTCCGCTCCATCAGTGTTTCAGTACAATGAGTGGGATCGCTGCTGTCGGCACCAACGATGGGCAAGTTCTCCTCATTGATTTAAGAAGAAATGAATGTGATGAAGGTAAGTTTAATTTCTTTGTTTCCCAAATAGTCATGGTTTGCTGCAGTTTATCATTGGATCCTTCTAATTTTCTTTTTAAATTTGAATTTGTGAAAACAGCTTTGAAGTATGGCCATTTGACTCATTGGGAAGGAATACGGGATGAACTGCAGCCTTGTGGATTGCTATCTTTGAAAACTGTTGATGCCAATCTTTTGGAAGAATACCCTCATGACCATCTGTATCTCCATCTTAATGGTAAGTAACCACAAGACCATTTTCAAGTTTATTACTCAGTTAAGGCACTAAATTACATGCCTTTCTTTCTTCCAGAAAAACATTTTTTGAAACATCAAAGATTAGTTGTGCAATTTCGAGATTGTGATGCTTTTATGCCTGATGACCCAACAATTACGTCTCTTCTCCATGTTCCTCAGCTTGCTAGTTTGTGTGTGGGATTTGCGTTTGGATCGTTTCAGATATGGTCTCTTGAGTCACTGTCCCTTGTGTAAGTTTTGTTCTTTTTTAATAGAAAATTTCCAAACTTGGCCAGTTTACTGAACCACAGCCTTACAAGTGTCCTCTTATTTTTTACAGCTATACCCTTCCATTGAATGAACCAAATCCTGTTGTGCAACTTTCTTTCCAAGAGGCTTGTGATGATCCCAATGCCTATTGCTATCTGTGGGCTGTCAGAGGTGGTCTCAGTCGTAGTGATCCAGTAGGTGACTTGGACCACCCAGTGCCAGTGTTTGGGCCTCCAGCAGCAACCATGTTCTCACTGTGCTATGATGAAAAAGTTTGGATACAGGATTATGGACACCTTTACAAGGTAAGGACCTGTTAACTTATGGAACTTAAATTAATACCTAGTAAAATTCTGCAAATTTGCATGTGACACGTTTCTTCCTATTTTTAGCGATTTATGATTTGCTCTACCGGCTTTGAGCTAGACCTGTGTGTTGGAAATGAAACTGTAGGTGGCCGTCTCATTTCTTTGTACTCTGCAAGCAGGGGAATGGTAGGGTCAAGTGCTGTGCAATCCCCACCAGAAGACAGCAGTGAGTTTTATTTGTACCTTGAAATTTATAAATATTCTTCTCCCTACCTCTTCTGAATTTGCATCAATTCGTTTGCCCTGCATCTAGGCTCTATGGGACCTTCCAGCAATGCTATCAGTTTGTGTCTGATAGTCTGGGAAACCTGGGGGCCTACTGGCCCCTCCAGCTCTGTTAATCCTGTAAATACTCACATGACACTTTTTGATATTAACCAATGGTGAGTAATTTTATTCGAAACTTTTTGCTAAAGAACTTTTGATTATTATTGTGATTAATAATAATAATCATAAGCAACCACTTTTAAAATTTTTGTTTGCTTTCTCATTTTAGGTATGTTGATCAAATGCCATCATCCTTACCTCAACGTGGAGGTCCCTCTAGACACAAATCTGTAGCTAGTTACCTAGTGTCTTATGATCTTGGAAGTGCTGTGAGTGCTAGTGGTGGCCTGTTGCTGGATGTCCGAGTGAATCCTAACTCACTAGTCCAATTTTCTTCTGTTCAAAACGTTGAGGAGTTTACTCGACCGTCCTCACTGTCATTCTGTATGTCATCAGTCATTAGAATTTTATTGACTTCAATTGTTATCTTTTTTATTGTGTCTAACTTAGTGCCTTTTCCTCCCTTCTTAGTATCTGAGGTGCTTATGGAGCGCCAAGTTGTGCATGTGAGACATGAAGGTGTCCAGAGAGCACTTTTGTCCAATCTGGTTTCAAGTGGACCTGGAGCTCTCATGACTCCCTCTAACTTATTTCATGAGTGCTTAGCTTTAGGCTTGCGTCCTCTTCTCATGGATGTCAGCAGAGCTATCAATGTCCCTGTCGTGAGTTGATCATTCTTAAATTTTAAATTTTACTCTCAGTCCAACTCAACGACAGAATTAGTTTTAATGCGAAATTTTGTTACAGGACGAACAGCGTACTTTTGTTCTTTGTGTGGCATTGGAACAACGTTTAGGGCGCTTTGTCTGTCGCTGTGCTCGTGAATGGGCTGATGGTCGTTTGTCTGCTGCTGGGTGCACAATGAGTTGGTTACTTTCTGTGGCATGGAACCGTGCTGCAGTTTTGAAACAACTAGCCATCCGAATCTGTGCACAGTTATTTGATCATTCAGGAGAAAAGCTCGAGAACAGTGCCCAAAGGCAATTGCAACATATAGTTGGAGTGTTTCACTTGTTGGAGACCCTGTTTGAAAATGTGGTACAGAACAAATGGCACTTAGCTTTAAATGGTGAGACTTGGTGAATAACAGTTGATTGATGTGTGATGTATCATGGTTGATCTTCTTTTCATACTTTTCTTTCTTTTTCAGAGTGGCCCCAAGTGAACTTGCAAAATGATGCATTAAAACTTGAGTGCCAGTATTATGATGTACTTCAGTGGCTGGTTGATGTGGAGCTCTTGCCTGAGGGTCTGAACCCAGCAGTTCCTTATCCAGCTCACATGATTGCTTCATTTTATCATTCCAGGCGCTTGGAACTGAATCAGTTGCTCCAGCAGCAAAAAGACAATGAAGCTTTAGAAAATCTAGAAGATTTGCTTTTAATTGATGGTCTTATTAGAAAACAACCAGGAGGTGTGAATGTGTTTTCAGAGTGGGAAAGGGATGCTGGTACAAGTGCAAGTCCTGGGAGTGGGCGGTACCCGCCAGTTTCAATACAGGCCCTTCTCCGAACATTCCTCATCAAGGATGTGGCTCTAGAAGTCAAACACAGCATTGTGATTTATGTTCTGATGGATTTAGCCAATATTCTGGACAATGAACAATATCAGACAACCCTCCAGAATTTTATGAAGTTTCCTGCTGCTTTCTCTATGTCTATTGGTAACATGAGACTGATACAAGCTTTTTGGCACCTTGACCACAAGGCCTTTGATACTGCTCTAGACATGTTGTTGGATCCTTTGGTGTCTGTACGAGACATTGTGCCCTGGCAGCACAGGTGCATTATTCGTTCACTCACCTTGCAAGGTCAAGCCAACATGGCACTTCGATATGTTCGAGCAAGACGTCCTCCCCTTCAAGAGCCTTCTGACATAAAGTAAGATTTCCTAATCTGATGTTGTGCTGGCTCTGTTCTCTAGCAAATGTTGTGGTTGTTAATTTTTTTGTAAAATCTTTGCTGTTACAGGCTACATCTTAACTTGTTGTTAGCTAATGACCTTATTGATGAAGCATTCATGTACCAACGAAATCATCGCACTGATGCCAATTTTGAAAGTCTCCTATCCCAGTTCTTCCAAGGTATCAATGCTGTTCATCTCATTTGACAAGCTCACCTCTTAAATCCCTAGCACATGCATATGAGTCAATAACGCCTCCTACTGATATTTTCAGGTTGTGAGGAGCGCAACCATCTTCGAACAGTCTTACAGTTTTCTCTCGATGATGAAGAAGAGGTTACTTTCTCTCGGTACTTAGAAACCTCAAGGCATCCAGCTGCAGATGATTTGCGTGTGCTGTACTTGCTTAAAAGATCAAGGTGAAAATCTAACCAAGTAGTTTGGTGTTTGATTTAATAATTTTAACTTCATATGTGTTGTTACTTTAAGATTTGCTTTTGTGTTTTAAATCCTGCCTTGATTTTTTTCAGGTATGTGGAAGCTCTTGATGTGAATCAGGACCTGAGGAAGAAAGGTCGGTCTGGAGGAACAAGGGATGTTGTGGTCAACGGATTCTACAAAACTCTGCCATCTGTTACCAGAAAGCTTGCTGTCCATTGTGCACAGCAACAGACCAAATTAAAGTCATGGTCACAAGGTAATGTCTTCATTTAGACCCAACTGTTGCTACATGTATTTTGTGATGATTAATTTCTAAATAATTTAAAACATTCTTCTTCTTTCCTGTGTTTTCTCCAGTGGAAAAACCAACTCCCCTATTTGTTAATCTGAAGGCTGCTTCTCCTCAAATGCGTTATAAATCATCTTTACTTGAAGCGGCTGTTGAAAAGAGTCGTGAAACATGGGCAAAACTAATTAGCAATGTGCCTCCAATGATGTCTGAAGTCGAATCTACCCCATTTTTGTGTACACCTCGCACTAAATTACCAATTCGCTCAAGGCAAGTTCTGACCTATTGTCTGTCTTTGATCAGTGCTTTATTCTCTTCTTTGACTTAAATTGTGAAGTTCATTTTGAATTAATGAATACATATTTAAAACTTAAGGCCGGCATCTGCTTTAATGGAGTCCAAAGAGCAATCCAAAGTTGGGGATCGGAAAAGATTCCGTGATGAAGACGAAGAAACCATGGATGGCTCCTTCCGCAAGCGTAGTAGATTCCAGAACCTGGAATCAGCTCTTGCCGAACTTCAGCATCAGGAGAGACAGAAAACCTATGAACCAAGGTATTATCACCATCTTTTTAAAAATATTACCCTTTTTTTTTTGGGGGGGGGGGGGTGTATGTAACCTGTTATTCAAAATTCATCATTTTCCTTGATATTTTTTGTCGTAGGTACTCATGTGCTGACACTTTGGTGCTCCTGAACACCCCTGTTGTTCAGCGTCGCTCCCCAAGTTCCAGAGCAAAACTGCAACAGCAAATGATTGCTTCTAGTCCTGGGCACTCAACTGTCACCCCTCAATCGATCATAAAGGTAAATGAATAAGGTGGCATTTTGAGACATTTGGAGACAGGCATGGTTATTGAACCATTCTAATGACTGATTTCACTCTGTCCTCAAGGTGCGGCAGACGTCCGCATCGAGGTCGGAGTCTCCGAAGCGTCGGGCCGTAATTAGTGCCACCTCCAACGACCCGGAGCTTACTGAAGAGGACAGTGAATCAGAGCCCTTTGCGAAAACCCGTACAGTCAATAAAGGGGAATCTGAAACAGACTCAGAACCTGGAGATGAAGAGGAAGTTGGACCTGTGGGTGTTGGCGTCACTGCTCGGAGAATCATCGACTTCGATTCTGATCTGTCCTCAGACCTGTCTGTTTCTGTTGCCTCTGAGTCCCCTACTCCTCCACCTAAATCGCCCTCCAAATCCTGTATAAGCAATTTGGCACCTGAAAAAAGTTTGTCCAGAATGGTTGTGTAAGTATTTGTTGTGATTGTCTTTTTTTTCTTTCTGATGTTATTGTTGTGGTGTCATGTGTAATGGTCATCCTTTTTTCTTGTGTTCTCCTGATAGTCTATCTGAAGCTCGAAAGGCTGGGAAATCAGGTCACAGTGTAACTTTTGGAAAAGGATCTATATGTGTCTATGACCAAGATGAACCAGTTGATTCAGAAGTGGCTGTACAAGATGAGAGCAGTAATGATACTGTGGACCAGGAGCCTTGCAGAGATGAGAGTCCTGTGATGGATGACGACTCTCAAGAAAGTGAGAACCAGGATTCTTCCAAATTAGCACCAAGTGATATTTCCACATTCAGGTTTGCATTTATAGTTGGCTTAACTTGTTTTTGTCATGTCATTTGAAATACTTGAGTCTAAATCTGCATCTTTGAAAAATTGCAGGCCTTTGCGTCTGGAGACTTCTGGGATTGGAAGTATGACAGCATCAGATATTCAAGAAGATTTATCATGTACAGAAGACAGTGAAGTGTTTTTGAGTGCTGATAGCTCAGCTCAAGGAACCATGTACTCGCCTACATTCCGCCACAGCCTTGCAAGACCATCAGTAAGAGAAATAACTCAGCGCGTGACTGGTACCAAAAGAACACAACATGATGATAGTGATAGCGATGATGCTAATAGCCAGAAGAACAATTCTGATAGGGTGCAGCAAGTCCGCAAATCAGCCAGGCTTGAAGATAAATCTCATTCTGCAAGTCTCTCTGCCAAATCGTTGGGCGATGTGCGGCTAGTACCTGACAATGTCAAGGACACTAAATTTCAGACTACTGAATCTTGTTCTGAGAGTTCTTCTAAACAACCGGTGGGGGGTGGAGAGCTAAGTGTTGATGAAACTAGTGTTCAAACCACCACAACTCATCTCACCAGTGGCAGCCTAACAAGACCTCCAATTAGAAGCTCAGGACCAGGACATTCCAGTGTGGGTGCCTTCAATGCAATTGCTAATGACAGTACAGAAACCACTGATGTCTTAGAATTGTACTCCGCCCAATCTATCTCTTATGAAGTGAGTGTCCAAAGTCAAGAAAATGTGGCTGCTCATCTAACAGAGGATGCCAAACAGGAAATAAGAAGCTCTTCTCCTGAAAAAGCACAGCCAGCTTCTGAAGAAAAAGAAGAAAATACTGTTCTAGTTGACACAACTCTTGAATCTAACAGCTCAGTCGAAATTGTTAGTATTGATGATGAAAGCGATGATATTACTGAAAATGCAGGGGAAAGTAATGTAGGTAAGGAGTCTGAAAGTTCGCACTCCTCTCAGGAAGATGAGAATTCTGACTGTGGAGAACTCATTAGTGAGAACAGCAATGAGTATTTCAGGTCCAGCCACATTGGTAAGAATTTAACATCTATTTGTTCTTGGTTCTTTGTGTACATACTCTTTCTATAACTTGCATTTTCAAATTTAACCAATCACTTTTTCCCTAACAATCTAGACTATGATGAAGAATCAAGCTTGGACAGTGGTGCAGATTCGTCTCAAAGCAAACAAGATGTGGAAAATCTAGTTTCAGACGATTCTGAATCTGAAACTTCCAGGGCAGTAACTGAAGTTTCTGAAGCTCAAATTTCTACTGAGGGGATGGATCTCAACACGGCAGGTAACATTGAGCCTGAGGTGTCAGAAGAAAGTGCTGGGCTTAATGATGCCTGTGCCATGGAGTCAGAGGACATTAGTACCAGTGTACATGAACTTGAGGAAGATACCCCTCACCACGAGAGTATCACCATGGCTGGAGCTCTTGTACATGTGGAGCCTGAAACGCGCACTGATGAAACATTTGTGCATCTTGAAAAATCAACTGGTAAGATTAATTTAAGACTACTCTATTTTGTACAAAACACATTACATTGGATTAATTTTTTTGTGGTTTTTGTTCCAGTTTATGATCATCAACTTACTCATGTTGAAGTTGCTTGTAGAGATACCGTTGATTTGGATCATGATGATATGCCTAAGCTTAGACTGGAACCTGCAGCTTCTACCGAGAATTTGAGTGAAATGCCCCATAACTCTTCTGATACTGTGGCATTGCTTGTGCCTCCCTCAGTTAGCAGCCCTCTTGAAGTTATGCAAGTTGTACACGTGGACCAGGCCACTGCTGTTGTTGCTTCTGAGGAGAGAAATATCCAGAATACCAACTCATTAAAGTCTTCCAGAGACTACAGTCCTAGTCCACAGAAAGTTTCTGTAAATGTAGCTGACACACCATCCTCTGCGAATCCTGTTGAACCAGCTACACCAAAGTCTGCTAGGAGGAGGGCAACAGCTCGTAGATTATCAGTCAGCTCTTCAAAATCGGAATCATTTGAAGATGATGTGCCTACCAGGCGAGTAACAAGATCTCACCAAAAAACAATTCCAGAAGTGTTTGAGGAGACTGAAGCTATCACTAATACAAAGAAGACTAGCAGAGCCTCTGCAAGTTCTCAAGATGGTTCCAAGAATGCTGCGAGGAACAGGCGAAGTTCCCTTAGTTCTGTCACAAGTGAGGCAACTGAAGATTTGAATGTTCCTGAAACTAGGACTTTAATTCCAGAGGTTTTGGAAGAGACTGAAGCTACCACTAAAACAAAGAAGACTGCAAGAGCCTCTGCTAGTTCTCAAGGTGGTTCCAAGAATGCTGCGAGGAACAGGCAAAGTTCTGTGAGTTCTGTCTCAAGCGAAGCTACAGAAGAATTGAATATTCCTGAAATTAAGACTCGTAAAAGGCGGAATTCAACCTCATCGCAGGCCTCTGTTGCTGAGAGTGCCAATGATGTTGTAGCTCAGGATAAACTAGATAAAATTTCAGAGGAAGGTTCTGAGGAAGTTTCAAGCTCTGTTGTCAAGGAGAGTAAGAACATAGAGACTACTTCCACTAGCAAACCTGGTTTAAAAACTCCTCGCAGACGTCGAACTTCTGAACAGAGTAGTTCTGCATTGGAAGACCAAGTGAAGCCTTCTGAGGGGCATTCAGAATCTGGAAGTTCAAATGCAATGGAAACCTACGAAACTAGCAGAAGGCTTACTAGACATCAGCGTGCTTTGTTAGCCAAAAGCATTGAGATGAACTCTGCAGTGAGTCATGCTTCTTTAAACAGGCCAAGTCAGGTGGCAGAAGTTGGGAATCGAGCAGTACCATCAGATGATGAGGACGACAAGATGTCAGTATGCAGTGTTAGGTCATCTCAACGCTTGCGTGCAAAGTCTCAGCAACAAGAATTGCTTGACTCACCTAGCTCCACTGCTTCAACTGTTATAAATCCTGCTCTAACTCCCACCGTGCAAAGGCGCAGACGCCAGTCAATGAGCAGTGACTGTGAGTGTTTCTTTTCTTTCTCTGTAATTTATCCACTTTCTCTATGTGAATGTTTGGTGATGACCCTTTTCCTCATAGTTTCAGAAATAAATCGAGATGCTTCACCTGTGAGCTCTGTTAGGAGGCGAAAATCAATTCAACCTGGTACACCTACTAGCCTCTCTGGAACCCCTACCCGCAGATCATCTCGTATCTGTGCGTTGCAAGGTGTTTCACAGCAGGTATTAAATCAACTTTACTGTCAAAGGACATGGTATTTTATTTTTTCAATCTAGTTCCATAAAGGGTTTTAATTTTTGCCTTGTATTTTCAGAGTGAAGATGGAGACAACCATTCTGTTGCTTCCATGAGTCCATCATCAATAGCATCTGGAAGGAAAAGTTCTACCAAAAGGTCAGGCCGGCGTCTGAGCATCTCATCAGAAGCTCCCAGTGAACAGTACGCTTTTGCGCCCCCCCAAGTGGAGCATGCAAATGTGGCAGAGAATCCTGGTGGGTTTTAGTGCTCAAGTTACATGGAAGTAATGTTGCATTATTTTCTTTTCATGTTTCTTTTTTTATCCCCCTTAGATGTTGAAATGAGTGAGGATTTTGTTTTCTCACCTCCTAAAACTGTTGCTACTCCAAGCAAATCTAGATCTTCAAGCAGCGACTTAAGTAGTTCTGCTTCAAAGAAAAGTACTCGCCAATCTAAAACAGCTGCTTTACAAACTATCAAAGAAGAGTCATCAGTCAGCAGAGTCAGTGAGGAGGATACTGTGTCTGCCAGTCCAGTGAGGAGGTAATTGTATGGCCTGTAACACAAATAACATTTGTCAGATTTCATGGTTTTCTAATCTCAGACAATACCCAATATAGATCAGGCCGGCCAAGCTGGAACTTCGTGGAACCTACAAAGGAAGGTGATGATCTAGTTCCAGAAAAACCTGAGCCTCAAACGAAGACCAAAAAAGCTACGCGGGGTTACCACACTACATACCCACTGAAAAAAATCTCTCTTGCGCCAATTCCTCAAATTACTGAAAGTGAAGACAGTAACTCAAGTACAGAAGCGGCCCAGCAGGTGGTTAAAACCACTAGAACCACCCGTCAGTCAGCATCTAGCAGAAAACAAAAGAAGTAACTTTAATTTGTTTGTAAAGGTTTAGTTTGTAAGTAGTTTATCAAAACTGGACTCAAAGTTGTAAATTGATTGTGACAGATAAAATAGGCTGTGAAACTTGTTGCTAGCTCCTATGCATTATAACTTGCTTTTGACATTATTTCATACATCATGACTGTGAAACTAAATCAGGTTTGTTTTTTTCTTTCTTTCAAAGCTCAGTATGAAAGTAACATTTTTGATAACTGAATTTGCTGAAGAACAAGATTGATCATATTTTGTGGAATGAAATTCCAGATAAGTACATTGAATAAAGTTTTGAAAAATGTGACTCACTTTAATGAATTTTTGTAGATGCTTTTTTTTGTGTCAGTCAGTGGAAGCTAATATCACATCCTTTGTATACTGTGTTTTAACCTGTTGACAATAATTAGAACACTTATTTTTTTCTGTGCTGAACTGCAATTGGCATTTATCTTGGTTTATCCCATCCTTAATTTTGCTCATTTTCTCTTAATTTCTATACTTCAACTTGGGACTCAAATGTCAGATATACGATCCTGAGATCCAAATAAATTTATTAATAGGTTTTGGTTATTTCCCTTTTGCTTGAGTGCCACTGATTTTTATATTTATTATCTGTTATAAAGAAATGCCCCAGTGTCAGTTAATGAGTTTTCTCTTCTTTGTACCCTTTGTCTATTTTATTAATTTTTGTTTTGTCTTTTTGGGTGAGAACTATTGCATGCGTTTTGGCGTTGTACATAGTTGTATATATATTGAAATGGTGGGTTTTCTACATGTACTGTATAAGAGAAACTTATGATGATTCTGTAGTCAGCAGCGGGATTTGTAATAAATGATGAATGAAACATTTGTTTTATTATTTTATTTTGTCACCTCATGGGCCTCCTTTTCTTGGATCAGCAAACCCGCGCAATTCTCATTTTCTGAAAAAAAAAAAAAAAAAAGGTTCACTCAAAACAGCCGCTTAGGCCTTCTAGAGTCCTTAAGGACTCAGACCTTCCAACCCTACTCATCGATATCCCGAATGAAGCTAATAAACTCCAGACACACCAGAGGTAATACCGCAGACGAGAGACGACACTATCTGCGAGCGAGTCCGGAAGTGGTCAAGTGCAGCCTCGAGTACGTTGGTCTAGGGCACACGGACGCAAGTAACTACTGTACCGGGTGTCTCCACAATATCCCTCAGTTCAAGCTCTTGAGCCCGATCCCGGCTCTTGAGAGCATCCTTCCAGATGGTAGGGCCAGTTTGCCACGGCGGACAAAACGCACACGATTCCAAATTTGGATGTCAATTTCCCCGGGCGCCGTTTGAAAATGAGGGAGACACTGGGTGTCTGCCTTAGATCTCCCGGGTTCGAAGTTTGCGGCCAAAGAAGTGTTCCATCCGGAGGGCTTTCCCCCGAGCCGGTCCAGCCGTGCCACAGCACAGAGTCCATGAAGGCCGAGAAGGCGGAGAACGGAACAGAGAACTGGAGTCGCGGATGATCCGATCCGGACCGCGCCGATGCGGATTAGTACTCTTACTTTGGGTGCGGACATGCGCGAAGGAGATAAGGCAACCCAGGTGGGGCCGTGGCGGGGCTCTTTCGCCTGGCCGGGCTGCGGGGCTGCGGGGCTGCCGGGCCGGGGCGGCACGTTGCGGGCTCGTGCCGCACGTCGGCGTCGGCATCGGCACGTCGGCCCGGCCATGCCTCCTTCAGTGAGCCTTGGTCCCCCGCGATGACAGACGCGCTCGCGCTACGGGTGCTCGGCGTGGCCGGCGTGGCGTGCGCCTTGTCCCTCCTCCTGGCGGTGTCCGCGGCCCCCGGCGCCGCCCCCGCCCTCGCCCCTCCGCCCGCACCCGGCCTCGACGTCGACGTCGACCAACCCCCGCGCGCCGTCACCAGCCTCAGCGCCGCGGACGGCCACCATGGCGCCAACCGCACCCCTGCCGAGGACCCCGTTTGGGGACGCGCTTTGGGTAAGCATTCGCTGCGGCGCGTACAATATGGTGTGTGAGAAGGGTCCAAACATGGCTCCCTGCACAGCGCAGCCAGGCGGTGACAGGTAGGACTGAGCATAGAGCATGTGATGGCGCCAAACGAGACCAGTGGAACGGAGGACACCCAGTCCCTATTAAGACCCAGCGGACCTGGTGGAAAAGTTCCTTTTGTCCTAAATGATACCGTTCACAACTGAACGAGCGTTTTCAATAAACCTGGCACAAACCAATTGCTAGTGGGATCCTTTTTTTCACGTTTACCTGATTAGTTCCTCATGTAAATGAAGGCATGTCCAAACTGCGGCTTTGGCTATTGTTGAGCTCAAGTAAACACGAGACAAAGGCTATTTCGGCGGCTCAGTTCGAAACCCTTTGTCAACGGAGCCGCTCGTGTCTGGGCGACTGGCTGCGCCGTGCGGCCGCGGCCAGCGCCTGCCGCCAAGTGTGAACCAGCCGGGACCAGGCCCGGGGCGCCGCGGACAGCCCCGCCAGGACTGTCCTGGCGACAAGCAGTGACAAGCGACTGCAGACGGCACTCCACTTGCACTGCAATTACTAATTACTTATGGCTGGCATCTCGGACCTCGCCCGCCCGTGGACGTGTCGGTGTGCCATCGCGATAACCAGCTGTCACGGTGGGTCGACAGTCCGGCGCGGCGCGTCGGCGCGCGGCAAGTGCTCGCCCTTTGGAAGGTTTCGGTCTTTGGTCGCCAAGTCGGACTGACGTGATGACTAATCGCGGAACGTGCAGAGAAGGCAATCGGCAGGAGGGCAGGGTCAGTGACAAACGAGATGAAAGTCATTACAGTGATCTGGTCAGTCTGCGGTCTTAAATCTCATCAATCAACCTGTGGCCAACGCACCTACCAAATAGACAAAAGCTCTAAACAGTGACTGAATGAAAAATAAAATGTCAGACCACACAAGTGTTTTTTTTCCACTTCATTCGACTCAGTTTTGGCACCGTCAGAGGCACCGTCCCTCAAGCTGTCACGAAACGCGCGCAAAACGTGTCCTCTTGTTCACTGTCGCGAGTGGCGATGCCGTTTCGGCAGTCAAAACATGCAGTGCTATCTGAGTCTATCAGACGGCAGGGGACCGCTCACTCACGAAAAACGTGCAATTTTATTTTTACTGATGTTGTTGTTGAAAGGGCGGATCCGCTTGTTTTTCGGTCACGGGTCCCATGTCCAATGTTTCTTTGGTGGTTCCAGCGGTGGTCAAATGGGGCCGCTGTCCCCCCACCGCGCTGCTTGCGCGGCCCGCAATCCCTGACCTAAGCCACTCCGTTGAGGAAAGCCTCAAAGCCTCTGCCGATTAAGTCGATTAGTCCGAGAGGTTTCCTTCTCCTTCTCATTGTTCGACGGCCGGACGGGGATGCCCCTTACAAGCGTGTCTCCACACGACTCCCGCGCTGCGAAGGAAATAAAACTGTTGAAACATCTCGCGGAACTTCTTCTGCGAGAGGCGCGTAGCTGCTGCTACTGCCGCTGCTGCTGCTTCTAGGACCTCGTTCAGGACCCAGAGGCATCGCCGCGGTGGTGCACCGCGCGCACGGTGCGGGACTGCCTTTCTGCAGAGGACGCGGCGGGCTAGCCAGCCACGCTTGCCGCACGCTTACGCTTTCAAGTCCGCCAGCCAGTCAGCCAGTTATCGGAGGCGTCCCTGGCGGCCGGCCGCTTCAAGCTACTCAAGAGCGGCTTGATAGTCGATAGTGTGTGGTGTGGCTGCACTGATTTCTCGGGGATCATGATCGGGCGCCCTTGCCCCCCTTCATTACGTCGAGGTGGCCCTGCCTCGCTACGCACAGCCGTTTCGGAGAAATGTTCTTTGCGGCTTTCGCCGTGTTTACATGCGCGTGGCCCTCGCACGGTGCTGTGAGCGTAGGTATGCACACGCGCCATCTATCCCTCTCTCCCACCCACAAACACGTGTTGCGTCGAAGGAAGTCGCATCAGCACGTACTTCTTCTTGGAATCGCTCTGCCTGCAGGAATCTGTCCCGCCTAAGTCCCAAAAACACAAAACGAACCGTCCCTCCCACGAAGGACGCGGACGCGCAGGCCGTGGATTTTCCTCGGCGGATCCCCGTTCCCGGCGTGTTATCTGCGGTGTAAAACTGCCGTTCAAAGAAGAGCGCCGCTGCGGAGCGGAGCGATTTCCTCTTCGAGGAAAACGATGTCCTGGGGCTGCGCCACTAACCTAACCTAACCTAACCTCGCCTGCGAAGGGAAACAGACGCTAGCTTCCAGCCCCGTACGCCCGGCGAGGACGGCGTCCATTTGACAGAGCCGAGTCGATTCGTTCGCCATCATGATTATTCGGCTTTTGCTTCCTCGAGTGGCGGCCAGCAGTGTCACTGTCCTGGCGATCCTGCCTGCCCATTTAGACTCGAGATAAGAAGGACCGGTCGGTCATTCACGCCCGTCGCCGATTTGCTTTCGATATTGATTGTCCTTTTTGTCTAGTTGCAAGCGCAGACAAAAATTTTAAAAATAATATTTAAAAAAATTTAAAAAAAAATTAAAAATATCGATACATTGATATATTGATACATCGATATATCGACACCAAACCTGTTGCCAAACTTGGCTCGCAGTCCCACGAAGGATCGAGAGGACAGCCGCCTACCCTAGTAAGAACGGCCATGTCTCGTTTTGCAGTGCAGGCGAGCGTGTCGGGGCCGAAATGGCATACGATCTTGTGTGGCCTGGCCCTTAATGGTAATGGTAACGCGAGGTAGACAGTCCCGCCGAACACGCCTGTGTAACGGGACTGCCTACCCGGCCGTGGTCAGGGGCTCTCCACTTCGCTCTGTAATCAGGCAGTCTTTGACATCATTAAAAAAAAAACAGTACAAAAAAAACCATGAATGGATTGTGCTAGCTTTTTATCAATTAATCACAATGTGTTTAATCTCTGTGACCATGCGGTGCAACTTTTCAGCCTCGCGGTGTCGATGGGGCCATTGTGAAGGGAACCTTATCATCAGAAAATAAAAGAAGAAGCTCAAAGTAAAAAACAAAATCGAGGATTTTCTAGTTAACGTCTACGTTTCTGGCGGTTCACGTATGTGTATGTTTATGACGCGTTTCTAGCAATGTGTCGTCTCTCTCTCTGTGCACTGAATAGTTTTCCCTAGGGCCCAGCTTATCTTCGATAAGAATGGCTATAAAACCAGAAAAAAATCAGGAATAATGTTTTGATTCTAGAGGAGCTTGGGATCACTATAGTACTATAACAATAGAATTTTATTCTATTCATCCATCTCGACTCAAAACTTGGTTTTAACTTCTTCAAGCACTCTCCTGATTAGTGTGCCAACCACCTGGCCAGCACACCGTGGTCATGGACGCGCCGGGAGCACTCGTCCTAGAACAAAAGACCTCAATGAAGGTTTGATTTCTGAAAGCAGTCTGCAGTCAACTTTCGATCATGTCGTTGGTTCGGCCTCTCCCGCACTTTCTGCGAATACGTTGATGCGCTTCGCGAATTTGTCGTAGGTGGTCAGTGTCAGTTCGGACCTTCTGCGAAGCACCCAATCAGGAAGAAAACATTTCCTCGGAACCGCAGCGGATGGCGGGCTTGGCGGGCACACCCACGCCCCCTCGTTCGACATGCAGTGCATACAGCACTCGAGGGCAAGGCTGAAGCTGAAGTAGCCCCAATCTCGTCTGAAGAGTGGCGTGCATTACAGCACGTCGACGGAACGGGGCTCTTTGCGTCATTTCACTCTTGGTTCTCGGCACTGCCACACTGTCGCACTGCCGCTCCCACTGACCAGACCACACACCACACCTTGCCGCAGTTTGGCAGTTGGGCGACACGCGATAGGCCAGGATAGGCAGTGACCTGCTTCGGAGGATCCCGAGAGAAGCCCTAGGGCTGTCTCTAGCCAGCCACTTTTGTCGTGTGTTCGGCGGTACCGCCACTAGTTTACCAACCGCAACCTACGGCTTGGCTCTCGAGAGTTGCCTAGTAGGCAGGCTGAGGTTGGCAACCCTTTCGTGGGAATTTTCGGCCACTTGAGTGGCAACACTGTGGCGTATGTGACATGGCAAGCCGTAGCGGGTACGCCGTTGTGTCCGAGTGATTTAGAGGCCCAGGCTGCAGGCTGCGGGGGGGGCTGCAGGGGGCCGCCGGGCCATGGCCGGGCCTGGGCCGTCTTCGCGAACTTTCCCTTTCCGTTGCACCTCCACCGCGCCACCGCCGGGCCACCGCGCACCGCGCACGGCGTGCTGCTGTGCTGTCTGGCGCCGTCCTGGCGGTGGCGGCGCGTCGTCGCCTCGCACGCTACTCGCACCGAGGTGGCGAGGCCGAACCCGAAAGGGGTAAAGCGACTCGCCAAATACAGCCGATCAACGTCAGTACTGTCGCATTTTATGAATTGGTTTCGATGACTTGAGTCGGGTCAAACCGCGACCTTTTGACCTCCCTACGTGCCGAGAATCCAGTGCGGCGCCTTGTCTTGGCGCTATCGGCCTTGCAGTGCACAGGCTGAACCAGGGGCAAGGGCGTGGAGAGGGCTCGAAACGACGGTCAAATACTTGGAGGCGTCCCTGCCCGCCCTGTCCGCCCTGCCCGCCCTGCCTCCTCGACGCGCCTGCCCTGCCGCACGTGTTTCTGTTATCCGGCCTCGGTGAAGGTTTATGATGGCGAGCCTCAAGATTAAGATTAGGCTAGTCGGCAACAGAGAATGGTCGAAAGAGTGTCCCTCCTTATCAATGGGTCCTTGATTGAAGCAATTAGCGCGCGCGTTTGCTAACCATTTTCTAAACTTTCCGGCGCAGACTCCGGGCCGGCCGACATCGTCCCCGAGTGCGACACCGACGCCCTGTTCCCGGGCAGCCTGTTCTCGCCCGAGGACCTGCGGCACGGCGCCATCGTGCTGTACTTCGTCGTCGCCTTCTACGGCTTCTACGTCATCGCGGTGGTCTGCGAGTTCTACTTCCTCCCCACCGTGGAGATCATCTGCGAGGGTAAGGCGACGCGGTGCCCCCAGCCGCCACTCGTCCAGGGTGTAGGGGTGGTTTGACTTGACCGGCTGCCACCCTTCCAGAGCTGGGGCTGACTCCGGACGTGGCCGCCGCCACCTTCATGTCGCTGGCGTCCTCGTCCCCGGAGCTGTTCGTCAACGTGGTCACCACCTTCGTGACCCGCAGCACCATGGGCGTCGGCACCACCGTGGGTAGCGCCACCTTCAACGTGCTGGGGCTGGCTTCCTTCATCGGGCTGGCCGCCAGAGGGGTGAGTACCTTCGTGCGCCGTGTGCTCCACTGGTAGACCACCGGCCGCTGTGCCCCGCGCGCGTCGCGTGACGCCAGATGCCGCGCCGTGCAGGTAGGCAGCCCAACTGACTCCCTGCTGGCCCTGCTCTCTGCCCGCAGCCCATCGTCATCAGCGCGGTGCCGGTGGTGCGCGACTCCCTGCTGTACATGGCGGCCATCGCGGTCACGACGGCCGTGGTGTGGGACGGCAGCGTGCAGTGGTACGAGGCCCTGATGATGGTGCTGCTGTCGCTGGCCTACCTGGCCTTCATGTTCTCGCAGCACCGCCTGGCGCACTGGGCGCGCTCGCTGCTGGCGCGCTCCAACTCCACCGTCGTGCTGACCAACGCGTCGCGCCCCGACGAGATCTCCTCCGTCAGCTCCGAGGTCGCCGCCAAGGAGGTGGTGGACGCGGCGCCGCTGCCGCAGCCCCAGCCCGACCCGGAGGTGGCGGTGGCGGTGGCCAACCAGATCAGCTTCACGGCGGGGAACCAAGGTACGGCTGTCTCTCTCGCATAGTGTGTTGACGGTCATCTCCTTCTGTTCCGCGAGGAGCGCACCGCCTTCCACACTCCCGAACCGCGTCCCAACCGCCAGCCACCTCTCGATCCGGAGTAGCCTTTTCACTTTCTGCGGTTCGGCCGGGCCGCGTGGATTCCGCAGTGGCTCTGTCTCTGTCGCACTCATGGGGTGGCCCGTGCGGGTGCGAGGGAGACAGGGCCCCCGGGTGGCGGGGCGGTGCGGGGCGATGCGCCCTGCCGCGAGTCGTCTGCTTTACGGCCTTAAAGGCAGCGACGCGGCGACGCAGCGACGCGGCCTGCTCGTCTTTTTTGCCGGAACGCCGACCTACCGCAACCGCCGAGGAAACAGGCTGCTTGTCTCTGATTGGTCGGCCAGCGCTAACGGCGGCGTCTGCCTCTCCTTTCCCACAGGGGGCTGCAGCTGGCGGAGGGCGGCGTGGTGCGCCTTCAACGCAGCCACGTGGCCCGTGAGGACGGCCATCTCCCTCACCATCATGGACACCAAGAAGCCCCACCTGCGCCGCTTCTACCTCCTCAACTTCGTCCTGTGCGTCGTGTGGATCGCCCTGGCCGCCTACGTCGTGTCCTGGATGCTGGCCGTCATCGGTGAGTCGGAGTTCGGGTCCGCACCGGCTGCGGCCCTGCGAGGCGGGCACACTGCAACGGCGGCGCTCTGTTCCCCGTCTAACCGCCGTCTTGTCGCAGGAAACACGCTGGAGATCTCGGACGCCGTCATGGGGATCACGCTGCTGGCCGCGGGAGGCAGCACGCCCGAGGCCGTCAGCGCCATCATCATGTCCAGGAAAGGTACGGTACACTGTCGGACGACCCGAAGGCCCGGTCCTTTGCCCTGGCTGTGTGACTGCGTGACTGTGTGGCTGACGCGTGACTTGCACTTGCAGGCGTGGGCTCGGTGGGCATCGCCAACGGGCTGGGCGCCAACACGCTCAACATGCTGATGAACCTGGGCATGCCCTGGCTGGTGCGCTCGCTGGTGTTCCCGGGGCTGCCGTGGACCGTGCTGTCCGAGGGGCTGCCCTACGACCTGGTGACCCTCGTCAGCGCCGTCGTCGTCCTCAACCTCGTGCTGCTCGCGTCGCGCTACCGCCTCTGCCGCATGCAGGGCGTCGCCACCTTCATCGTCTACTTCCTGTTCATCGTGGTGCTGGTCCTCATCGAGCTCAACGTGTTCGGGCTGTACCACAAGTCCGAGTGCACCACCGAGTGACCTGACCGCGTGGCGGTCGCGCCCCGGCCTGCCTTCCAGGCTTCCACTTCGCGGAGGGCACAGCAAACTGGAGTCCAACTCGAAGCCCGAAGCTCGAGGCGCCCTGCGAGTGTGGCGCCGAATACTAAACTGGGAGTGCACCGCGCGACGCGGGGCGCGACAGGCCTGTGCGTGCACCGAACGTGCGTGCGACGCGGACGTACCTGTTGGGAACCTGTGATGTAAAGTGTCGAACGACTACAAAAAAACATTTATAAAAGAAATAGTTTGTCGACGCTGGAAGTATTTATTATTAACGTAACTATGTACTTGAGTGATTATGGAAACCTTCCTGCATTGTGTTATTTTTTTTGGCCTGCGGAGCAAAGGAGCGGCACAGAAAGACATCTTTGTGCGTGTTTAGATGACGTAAGCAAATTATTCCATGGCCCTTTATAGATAGTGAAAGGAAATCCCGTAAATATCGGCGATAAACCAATGATGTTGTATTTCCATTATTTGATTCTGAAGCGTTACTGGCTGTGCTCATAGTGTCTGTCTTGTTTTTTTTTGTGTTTGTATGCATGTGTGTATGTAAGTCTATTTTTATGCGTAAATGCGTTGTACTTATTTATCACTCTCTTGCAAGATATGAATTGTGTCTAGTCTAATGAAATACATCTTGTCTATACTGTACTTAATTATCTGGTTCATTCTTATCCCCCCCCCCTCCCCCGAAAGTCTTATCCCAAATGAGAACCCGGAGTTCATGGGACACTCACCTGCGAGCACACCACATTTTCGGCGCAACAATTTTTTGCCGGTCACAGCAATACGAAGGAGGAACAAGCAAGCGTAAAAATGACACAGAGACAAAGGGAACATTGAAATAGCGCCGCGCTGGGTGGCGGCGTCGCGCGGCGTCGTCTGCCTCGCTCGACCGGACTGGTCGCTCGTCTCGGTAATCCTTGTCAACGGGACGGAGGGACGGAGCCTCTCCCTCTCTTTCTCGGGCCGTGTCATCTCATCCTTATTGCCGCAGCATGCATCCCTGCTGGGTCGCTGCGCGCTGCGCGCTGTGCCGCCCCGACGGCCGGGATCGGTCTCGAGGCCACAGAGGCAACCGGGGCCACGGTGGATTAGATAATTGGGGTTACGGAAATCGATCACTTGGCGTGAGGGAATCGAAAGCTACAGCAAGGCCTGGCTGGAGAGTGCACTGTCAGCAAACGAGTGGCTGTCGGTGAAACGCTGCCAACAGGAAAACCGAAACTTAGGGATTGTTTATCCCAAAGATAGCCCAACTACTCTCCATCGTTTCTCACAGCAGTCCCGAAACCAACCCTTCGGGCCGAACGAGCCGCCGCAGCACTCTCTAACTTCATCTTTTTAACGAGCGCAGTCGACGAGGAATTTGCGGCGCTGTTTGTTTCCGGTGCGGCCCGTTGCTTGTCCGCTGTCCGCACGCTCCGCACCCACACCGGCACGTCTTCGGAACACCAACAAGACTTCCGCGACCCCGGGGCGTGGCAGCGCGGCGTGGCAGCGCGGCGTGGCAGCGCGGCGTGGCAGCGCGGCGTGGCAGCGCGGCGTGGCAGCGCGGCGTGGCAGCGCGGCGTGGCAGCGCGGCGTGGCAGCGCGGCGTGGCAGCGCGGCGTGGCAGCGCGGCGTGGCAGCGCGGCGTGGCAGCGCGGCGTGGCAGCGCGGCGTGGCAGCGCGGCGTGGCAGCGCGGCGTGGCAGCGCGGCGTGGCAGCGCGGCGTGGCAGCGCGGCGTGGCAGCGCGGCGTGGCAGCGCGGCGTGGCAGCGCGGCGTGGCAGCGCGGCGTGGCAGCGCGGCGTGGCAGCGCGGCGTGGCAGCGCGGCGTGGCAGCGCGGCGTGGCAGCGCGGCGTGGCAGCGCGGCGTGGCAGCGCAGTGCTGCGTGCCGCCCGTGTGTTGGCCGCACTGCTGCACTGCCACGCGGCGCGCCTCGCGGCCACTGCACTGTACGCGCGCCGAACAGTGCTTTCGTCGCTCTGTCTCTCTCGCACTCACGGGGCCGACCGTGCGGGTGCGAGAGAGACCGAAGCACTGTTCGGAAGCACGCTGGAGACCGACAGGCCGTCCCTCGAATACGATATGACGCTCTGGCCAACGCACTACGCTGGGGTCGCTGGGCCAGAAGACATGTTTGGACGGACGGCGCATTTCGGACTTCAATCCTCACTCGAAGGGCTGGCATCAAACTCGCGAGGGTCTTGCTGGATGGCCCTTCGCGCGAGGAGTCCGCTGAGCGCCGTGCGAGTAGGCAGGCCCGCGCAGCACGGCGTTGTGGCGGCTCGGCCTACCTGCCAGGCGCTTTGCCCGAGGCTGTGCCCGGCTGTGCCGCTCTCGTCGGAACGAACCAGTCCGCCATGCAAACGTAAACAGACAGATATTTGTCTAAAAATGCCACCAGTTTAAAGAGTTTCTTGAATACGAATCACGCTGAAAAGACGAATCACCTCACAATCGCTCCCGACAGTCGCGGTCGGCGTTGCGCCGCGGACAGCGTGGAGGCCGGCGACGCCGCGGCGACGGGTAGCCCGCTCGGACAAGCACTCGAGCAGCGGCAGACACCAGACTCATTCCGAGACGGCTTTTCGTCTCTCTGTCTCTCTCGCACCTGCAGGGAGCGCCCCACGAGTGCGAAAGAGACGGAGAGACAAAAGTACTCTCCGGACTCGGCGTGCAGCGTGCACTTTTTACTTTTCTCCCCGAGTTCTGCATACCGGTCGGGCTCGCCGCTCGCCTCCCTGGCGCCTGGCCGCCGCGCCATGCCCCGCCATCGCCCCGCCATCGCCCCGCCATCGCCCCGCCATTACCGGGGCAGCCGAACCAAGCAAACAAGCCATCCGTTCGGAAAGAGTGAGAGGTGGCCGTCAAGAGCGACGCGGCCAGGTCGCCGTCCACGTCGACGTCGTCTAGGAACCTCGGCCTTCGGCCTGCTGGAGGTGCACGTCGGTCCTCTCGGTGCCCGGCCTCGGCGTCCTGGCCGTCCTCGTCCTCCCTCGGGTCGTCCGTCGCCGTCCCTCAGGGCGGAGGGCCCGGAGGGGTGACATAACGACAACGACCCGGAACTGCTCCGGAATTCGGCCGGCCGTTTCGTATGTCGATCGACCCTTGATCAAAAAGCCGTCCGCCAGCGAGGGGAAGGCCGTTGTGCAGTTTCACGTGCCCGCCGTGTCGCGTGGCGGGAACGCGCCGCGCGCCGCGCACCGCGCCCGCAAAACAGGGAACGAGTTTGGCGCGGCGGCGCCAGCAGAGCCAGCAAGAGCAGCGCCAGCATCAGCGCCAAGTCGCCCTCGTCGTGACCTACGCGACCGCGCCGGGAATGTCGCCCATTTCGCCTCTTCTTTCTTTCTTTCTTCAATTTTTAATTAAGAAAAATCTTTTTCAAATCCTCTCTCCTCCCGGGGACGTGTTGGCGGCGTCGCGTTGCGAAGCTAAGCGATCGTGTCACGGCGCCTCTCCTACACTGTGCCGCCCCCTCCCCTCCCCCTCGCTTCCGTTACGTTGCGGTTGTGTGCGTGGCGCTGACGCGGTTTTGCGGTGCCCCCCCTCCCCCCCCCGGCCCACGGGGACCTTACAGGCCGCTACCCTCGTCAACATTATGCGACCGAGTGGGCGTCGCTCTGCCAAGTGTCTCTGAGTCATTGTGCCCCCTTTCCACCCTCTCTCGCCCTCTCGCCGCCCGGGCCGGCAGACTGAGACGTTTGTGTGTTCTCCAGCCGTCCGGCCGTCCACGCTCCGCAGCGCCAAAAGTGTAGGAGTGGCCCGCGACCCCGAGCCCTCTTGCAAAATGACGGGCCGTCCGTAGTCCGCGTGCATCGGAGTGGGGTGGGGCCGTCGGACCGCCCGCCCCACCGGAAGCTGGGGCCGTGGCTCGCCCTGGCCAAGAAGGGCATTCGGCACTCGGTGGCGGTCGCACGGGGTTCTCTTATCCACCATCTTGCCAGTGGCGTTGACACAACGCCACGTTTCACTAATTCCGTCTCGGCGAAACGCTTGACGCCCGGCACTCGCCGAAACCGGGATGGGTTCGGAGTTTCGGGTTGGTTCATCAGGTGCTTTGTTTTGCTGTTTGGTATGGGCGCCTCCCTCCGGCCGATCGCAGGTGACTTGCGATTGAATCGACGCGGTGAGATTGAAAACGGCCACTTAACGGTTAAAGGCGGTGGTGGCTCGGGGAGGGGGCGAGGGGCGGGGCGGGGACGGGGGCGGGAGGAGGCACAGCCATGGTGGGGCTGCTCGCAGGGAGACCGGCAAGCGGCGCGGCTCCGCGGAGACGGGGAGGGGGTGGGGAGGGGGTGGGGTCGGGGGTCCCGAGGGAGCCGGAGGGAGACCGGTGACGTCACCGCAGTATAAAACGGCCACGCCGCGGCCCCCGCGTTTAGTCCACCGGCTGGCAGTCGGACCGCGTGTGTGTGCAGAGTGCGTCCGTGTGTTTGTGTGTGTGTGAGTGTGTACTCGTGTGTGCGTGTGTGTGTGTGTGCACCAACGGCAGCGACATGCGTCCGACCCTAGCGTGAGTATCAGCGAGTGTGTGGCACACTGTGTGCCGCGGAGACACGGAGACCTCGACGCGCGGCAGGACGAAAGTCTCGGTCCGAGGTACCCGAGATACCCGGAGGAACCCGAAGTACTCGAGGCCCGGCCGACGACGGCGACCGGGACCACATTATCACGAGGAGCAGCGGCTCGGGAGCGTCGTCAGCGTGCCTCCCCCGTCGCAGGCCCCGCCCCTTCCCCGCCCGCGTGACGCAACCAGCCACCGCGCCAGCCAGCGCTCCCGTTCAGGCCGTTCAGGCCGTTCAGGTGTCGAGAGAAGAGTGATATAAGGCGGACCGGCGGACCGACCCGAATGGCCGAATCGAACCGAACCGAACCGAACCACGCCGTCGATGCGAGTGGGGCAAGTGGAGCCGGCCGGGGTATTTTTAGCCCGGGTGCGTCGCGGCGTCGCGGCGGATCGCGGCGGCCAGGGCGGGCCTGAGGCCGGGGTGCCCTGCCCGGCACGAAGCGGGACCCGCGGTCCCGCACCGACGCACTGGCCGCAGCTCCGCAGCGCGCGGTCGAGTGGCGCTCGGCGTCTTGCGACTCTTCGTTTTCGGCGGCACCGCGACGTCGGCTCCTTCCCTTTGACCTGCCCGTTCTCTTTGACCCTTTCTTTCCCTCCCATCGCCCCGCTCCCTGTTCCTGGCTGTCCCGGCGGCGACATGCGCGACTAGGCACGCCCGGCGGCGGTCGGCGACAGCCAGCCGGCCGATTCCGAAGAGTCGTTTCGTCTCTCTGTCTCTCTCGCACCCCTACGGGCCGCCCTGCCAGTGCGACGGAGACGGAGCGACGGGACGACTCTTCGGAGCGAGCCTGCAGGCCGCGCGGTGCAACGGCGTGGCGCTAGGCGCCGTGGAGTTCACCGCGAGGCCGTCAGACACAAGAAGGTAAGCGCTGTCTCTGTCGCACCGCCTTTGGGCCCCACGGTGAGGCCCCACCACGCCACCGCAGCGGCACCGCCTGTTGCATAACGCCCCGACCCGGCTCGACCCGCTGCGACCCGAAGCGCGACCTGAGGCGACCCGAGCGGCAACCCGAAGCACACGCCGACCGAACTCTTCGATAACGTTCCGGGCGTAAAGGCTAACGCACCCCGGCGGCCTGGCGTCAGCGACGGGAGCGAGGGGCCACGGCCGGCGTGTTCCCGACACGAGTTGACCAGCCGCAGGAAGGGTTAGGCTTGGTGCACTTGGCGGAGGCGCAGCGAGGAAGTTGACCGGCCTGCGATGCCTGTAAGGTCACTGCGGGCAGGGCGGCCCGGCGGCCTGGGCCTGACAATGTGCAATGACGATGACGGGTGCAGTGCGGCAGTGCGGGCGGTGCGGGCCGAGGGGCCACGCCACCATGGCGATGGCGGAGGTTGCGGCGCCGCTTGCGCCACGGAGCAGCGAGCACCGCGGAGCAGCGCCAATGTAACGGAGTTACGTCTAAACCGCTGCCTACGCTGAGTCTCGCCATTTTACTTTCCATTTATCGTCTCCTCACTTCCAGCGCGCTTCCAGCCTTGCAGCCTGACGGTGTAAAGCCGTCAGCCGGCCGGCGAAAGTAGTGGCCGAACGCGCAGGCGGCGGCGGAGGCGGCGGAGATCCCCTATGCGGCCACCTCGGCCACGGCCAGCGTCGTCCTGGAGGCCGGCTACAGTCGCTTCCGGGCCATGCTGCATTTTCGGCGCTGTCTCTCTCGCACTGATGGGTGCGGGAGAGGCAGAGTGACGGGAGGGACTCTCGGAATCAGTCTGCTGGTCGATGCTTGAAGGGAGGCACCACCGCCAGGGCAGGGCGCCGCGCAGTGCCGCGTCGCGACACCTGTCTGTCTGCACGCCATGTGTCTGGACCCCTGCCAGCCCCGCGGGCCGCGGGCCGCCGCAACTGTAGCGCTGGCTGACTGGGCTGGCCGGCCGGCCGGCATGCCGGCCCGCAATCACGTTGACGACCGACGGCTTCCGCGGCGCGACCCTGGCCGGCCGGGCTCGCGCCTCCGCCTGCCAAACGCGCTGCACCGCGCCGAGCATTCTGACACGAGGACGCAGAGCGAGGCAGAGCAACGCCGAGCGGACGCCCAAAGGCTCGCCGAAAGCCGCTCGGCGCGGCACGCCGGCCTCAGGACTCTCTCTCGCACGCGTGGGGCGTTCCGCAGGCGGGAGAGAGACAGAGCGACGAGGACACTGTTCGGAATGGCTCTGCCGGCGGCACCGCGGCGCACCGCGCGCACGATCACGATCACGTCATGGACCGGCCGGCCGGCTAAGTCTGGGCCGCGCCCGCGCCGCCCTCATTTCCCCAAGGAGACCCACTCCGGCGCGTTCCCTAGGAGTGGAGCGCGGAGCAGCCGGGGGCAGCCGAACCCCTCGTCGCCCTCCCCGTCAACGTCATCGTCGCCGCCGCCAGGTCCGCGACGGTCATCCCACCGGCTTTCGAACAAACGCGGCGAGCACTTATTGCGACATGAACTTTGGGGCGGGGCGGGGCAGCCTGCCACCAGGGTGTTTGTTCTTTGTCCCCGCCTTCGTCATCCACACAATACACGTGTGACAACGTCGGGCCCCGCCGCACCCCGCCCCGCCCCGCCGCGCCCGAAGCTGCCCGTCCCGTCCATCCAGTTGAACTGGGTTAGGCAGGGGGCTGCCCTTGGCGAGCCTCACACACACACACATGCTCACACACACGTACGCACACGCACACACACACACACACACACACACACACACACACGGGATACCGGGAGCCTCCTCTGACGAGGGCCCTCCCGACAACCCCCGCACGCCGACGATTATCTCGTCACATTGATCGTTTGCGCACCCACGGACCCACGGACCCACGGACATGAGACATGCCACCGTCAAGGAGGAGAGGGGGAGGGAAATTCCCCGCGCGGCGTGAAGCGGCAAGCGGCGCGGTGGCGGCGACCCCGATACACAAATGTCACTGGATGCCCCCGGGAGTCCCGAAACGCGGCGAATCGCGGCGAAACGCGGAGGCTGGGCGGCGTGTGGCGCGATGCTGCGCGATGCTGCGCGATGGGGACGTCGCGGTGCTGCACCGAGTCTCCGAGTCTGTGACCTTTGCACGGCCCGCGCCCCGCGCCACGCCACCCGGCACCGGCGTGTCGCAAGGCTTCGAGCACGGCGTCGTGGCGCGGCGCCACATCGGGTCATGTCGTGACTTTGTCGTTATTCGTTACAGTCTACTCGTCCTCCTGGGACTGGCCGCCGCGGCGCACAGCGCGGCTGTCGCCGAAGTCAGCGAGGAGTACGCCGAGTACGAGGAGGACCAGGACGCGGCCGCCCCTGGTGCCAAGCCCGCCTCCCCCGCTCGCCACGCCGCACTGCCCGCCGCCGCCAGGGGCAGGGCGCCGTCGCCGCTAGCACCGCGACCACTGCCCGCCACCAAGGCAGCAGTGGCCGCCAAGCCCGCGGCCGCCGCTCCGGTGAGTGGACAGCCCACCCCCAGCAGAATGCCTCTCGGCGGTGACCTTGGCCTACATTCGTTGCTCTTGTCCTTGCAGGCCGCGCAGCCGGCCCAGCCCCAGCAGGAGGAGGGCGCGGAGGGCGACTACCCCGAGGAGGAGGCCGCTGAGGGCGCCGAGGGCGCCGACGGCCCGTCGTCCACCACCACCGAGGCCTCCAAGGGCAAGCGCGTCGGCAACGGCGTGCTGCGGCCCTTCCGCTCCAACCAGGACCTGATCGCGGCCCTCAAGAGGAGGCGGCAGCAGGCTGCGGCCGGCGGCCCCGTCATCGCCCTGCACACCACGTCCACCACCACGCCCAGGGCCGAGCCCGCCAACAGTGAGTAGCGTGTGCTCAAGCATTACCCATCACAACAAACCTGCTCACGCGTTCCCTGTCGTTTTGCCCAGACGCCAAGAAGCCCACCAACAACGTGCGCGCCGCGTCCAACTCCAACCCCTACTCGGTGAGCAACAACAACAGCAAGCGGAAGTTCAGCGAGTCCGGCGCTGCCAGCACGCCGAACACCACGCCGCGCCCGCCCACGCCCTCGGCGCGCAAGTTCAACGGCTCGCCGTCGTCGCCCGTCCTCAGGCCCTTCAAGGCCGGCGCCGCGGCCGCCGCGCCCGCCGCCGCCACCCCCGCCACCCCCAGCGAGCCAGCCGACGGCGCCGCGGCCAGCGACAGGTCGAGGGCGGCGTTCGGGCGGAGTCGGCGGCTGTGAGCGCCGGCCGGCCAGCGAGAGTGCCTGTGACTCTGTGAATGTGTGAGTGAGTGAGTGTGCGAGTGCGAAAAAGCGAGAGTGTGCGTGAGTGAGAGTGAATCTGTGACCAGTGCGCGATGTCAGTGCGCGTCTCCGAGGACGCCACGAACTGCATGAGAGGATGAAGGAGAAGCGACTCTGTCAGACACCCCATGCTCCCCTTTCTGTCGCTCCTTTGCACCAATGTCGCGGAAAGAAGAGTCAAACTACGCCGGTCAAGCAGCGGACTGCCAGCACACTGCCAGCAGTGCCGCGAGGGCGCGAGGCGGGCCGCGGAATGCGGCATGGGCGACATGGGCCCCACGAGGTGGTCCAACCTCACCTTCAGCTCGGGGCTCTGTCCAGTGGCCCGTCCGGGCCGTCCGGGCCGGGCGGCCTTCTCCTCCGTCCCCCTCCCCCTCCCCATCTCCCCTTCGACTCGTTTCTGCGACATCCACATTTTGACTTGTCAACTTCTTGACATGGTGCCCGCCCATACTGAAAACTGGATATTTTCCGCGTTGTTTTTGTTGTATTTTTCTTGTTATAATCTTTTTGAAAAAAAAAAAACGTCACCGTTTCCAACGTGAAAGGGCAGGAGCGCTTCGAAGGCAACCGTCGACATTTTTGCGTCAGTGACGGGGTGTGGTGTGGTGTGTGCAAATCGGATAGTGAGTCCGAGTGAGTCTGTCACAAACCGGGAGCCATGAACACATAGCGAAAAGATTGTTCATCCTGTTTTGTTTTTGTTGTTTTTATTTTTTAGACACTTCATTTTTTTATCATGTGCCTGAGTGTGAGTGTATGTGAGAAATGTTGTAAGATTTTTTTTTAATTCTGAGAACTGTTATAGCATTAAGACAAAAAAAGCCGTTCAAAATTCGTTTACTCGATTGTATGATGTTCTCTATGAGGGCCTACATGTAGAGCTGGAGGTAAAACATCTCCTGCAATGCGATCGTTCTTCTGGTTGATTCGTATGCTGGCCTATACATTTGTAAATAATAAGACCCAAACGGCGGTGTACGAGGAGCTGAAAGAAAGAAACTCATCCAGAAGAGCAGCTGCTATTAACGTGTCAACTAGTCCCCGCAGCCAGACTAGGCCCCGTCCAAAACTAATTCACTTGAGTGTTCTCAACTGTGATAAACCTGAAAATCGTGAAAACTGTCTTTTATTCGATCCCATCCCCCGCGCACGACTGCAGGGCAATGAGAAGCAAAGAAGCGCAACAAAAACGTAATCAAACAACACTTAACACGAGAAGCAATGGTGTGCCATGTTCATGAAGACGGAAAGAGTTCGCTGGCACATTTCGCCATTGCCAAAGGTAAGCCTGCAGCGAGCGGCAATCGCGTGGTATGGGGTGATTAGCACGCCCCGCCCTGCCCCGCCCCGCCCCGCCCCGCCACGCCCCGCCCCGCCCCGCCCCGGCCACGCCGCACCGCCCCGTTAGTCTAGCAGTGACCGTCCGTACGACACATTTCTTTTTACGATGTTAATTTCTCTCCACCAGATTCATTGCACAATCTATACAGCGGTATGTTATTCTACGCGGCTCGAAGCTTCCTCTCAGACGCCACGAAGACGGTCGAACGCGAGGAGAAACTAAAGAAACAAAGGAAAACAACAACATGATGCTAATTGATTCGGCAGTTGGATGTGCCGCGTTTAGTGGACCAAGGACGCGGCAAGGCCTTCTATGCCTGATTCGCGCATCGGCGTCTTTCGCGCGGCGGTGCAGAGAATCTTGGAAAGCGGTGGAAAAAAAAAGTTAGAAAAAAAAGCAAAGGAGTGGCTGGCTGCTCTTCATTAGCCACGGGTCAGACCGGCGCGTCGAGGCAAGGAGTGAGCCAGAGATGGGGTACAAAACAACAACTAAACAAAACAATGACAAAAACATTCCGTACAGGAGGATGACACCGGCCATCCCGTAACGCTGAAATCCAACGCAACGCTTTCCCTCCCCTCTCACGACCAGTACTTACGACCACCCCCGGGGGCCAATGAGATCACACTTTTGCGTGACTGCCTCGTGTGTGTGTGTGTGTGTGTGTGTGTGCGTGTGTGTGCACGCGCGCGTGTGTGTGTGTGTGCGTGCGTGCGTGTGTGTGTGTGTGTGTGTGTGTGTGTGTGTGCGTGTGCGTGATGCGTGCCGTGCGTGTCGCGTGTTGCGCACTGCCCTTGTGGAGTTTCCCTTGGCGACTCGTCATGTCGTTGACTCGGATCTCGAATCCGCGAAGACCATTGCCAAACGGAAGCGCTCGGTGGGCTGAGGCGTGGCGCCGCGGCGCGTCAAAGAGCAACAGGACAGGGGAGAGGCGCGGTTACTCGATCTAAGCCGATGGAGAGACAGACACTGTGAAACTGACCCGACAGTCACCCCCTGTGGAACTGAAATGGATTTGGACTCTTCTTGGGAGAAATCATGCGTCAGATCAACGTCGCGAGTTTCAGGGGAATTGGCTCCGTCAGCTGGTGAGTCGTTGGTTCGTCAGACAGGTTAGCCAGGTGCTTCGTCGCCAGGCCCTGCATCCGCCTGGCTGGGCCCGCGAGGGCTCGCCCGCACCGCGTGGGTGCCCGTTGGGTTGCCTACCCTGCGGGCGCTGGGCTGGGCTCGGCTGCGCTCGGACCAGGACGCCGCCAGGAAGGGACTCGACGCGCGAATCTCTCACTAGCATCTCGTTGGGATTCCCGTGAACGTTTCTCACAGTGCATCAATCGCATCAATGGCTTCGCACACTCGACACCAAAATTGAAGTAAACGAGCCTCCGATACTCCGTGGCCAGTGCCTTGCGGAGGGATGCTTGCTGAGCGGCCTGACGCGCGGGGTATCGCTGCGTGCGCGACTGACAGACAGAGACACAGCGACGTGGCCCTTGTCTCACGTGTCATCACATCACCGCGCGCTGCCCTGCAGGCTTCTGAACGGTGCTTCGCCGCGCTGTCTCTCTCTTTCTCTCGCAACCCCCAGGGGGGCGCTCCGTGAGTGCGAGAGAGACAGCGCGACGAAAGGGCTCGTTCGGAGTGTGCTGGACTGGGACCGCCCTTTCACCCGTGGCCCGTCGCGGCCCGTCTCATGCGCGACGACTTTCTTCGCATCATCGTCCTTGACATGTCCTGCCAGAGTGTCAGAGCTCCCCGCAGTGGCGGCGCATCCACCCTGCCGCACTAACAAATAAAGTTTCAAAAGAGATGTTGCTTTGGTTGGGGCGGGCTCTGTGGTATATACCAGCGGTTCCCAACCTTTGGGGTCGCGAAAAATTTCGAGGGGTCGCGGCGAGGTGGTTGGGGTCACCTGGGATCGCGGCTGTTTCCCGGCTGGCAGAATTGTTCAAAACGTTCGAAAATGCCTTTGAAAACTCGTGTTTTAGGCCGACTTTAAGCAGCAACTGCGTCTGATCCGAGGCGGTATTTCGTCCTCCCTCAGCGGGCATTTGGTCTTTGGACCTTCCCTTACCATGCCTTTGTTACGGAGTGCGATTATCGGCCTTAGTTTGGGAGCAGTATTGTCTCAAAGTGGATCAAAATGGCATTCAAAGGCATTTTTTACTGTTTTCATGAACTTTGAGACAATGCTGCTCCCAAACTAAGGCCGATAATCGCACTCCGTAACAAAGGCATGTTAAAGAAAGGTCCAAAGACCAAATGCCCGTTGAGGGAGGACGAAATACCGCCTCGAATCAGACGCAAAGGCTGCTTAAAGTCGGCCCAAAACACGATTTTTCAAAGACATTTGTGGCCGTTTTGATCAACTTTGCGGCAATGCTGCTCCCAAACTAAGGTGGATTATCGCACTTTGTATCAAAGGCATGCTAAAGGAGGGGTCGCGTGGGGTCGCGAAATTTTTCCTGGGGGTCGCGGAAATTTTTTGTTACAAATTTGGGGTCGCGAACCGAAAAAGGTTGGGAACCGCAGGTATATACGTTTGGTTCGCGTTGAATCCGTGCGGCCCGAGGAGGGCGGGTCAGGGGTCAAGGCCGGGGCTGGGGCGGCAGCATGGCGGCAGCGCGTGGCGTGGGAGGGGATTTCCCCGCATTCTGGAGCAAAGGCTGACTGAGCCTGATCGCTGCAATCCCCAGCCGTGCCGTGCCCGCCGCCACGCCGCGCACCCGCAGCAGCCCGCTGTGCCAAGGGGTCAACCGACCTCCACCGCCGCGCCGCTGGCCCGCCCCCGCCCCAGCAGCCTCGCCTGCCAAACCCTGCCAAGCAAGGCTACTTAACTCAGGATGCTGTCGCGCCCGCCGAAGGCGCCCAAGTCACGCCAATCTTGTACTACAATGAGAGCTAAACCGATGAAGAAACGTCTGGGCGCCCCCAGTTACAGCCTCGGACGGAAAATGCATCCCCTTGGTTGAGAGGGGCGTTGCCTTTTGTCGTGCTATCCACTGTTTACGCAAGGCCGATGGCCTCGCTCAAATTTCACACGTTTCATTTGGGCGTTCGTCAGTGTGCCTGCTTGCTTGGCGCGGCTCGGCGCGGGTGGCAGCTGCGCTGCGTCGGCGCCACTCGGCTTAACAACCCGTTGTCCGGGCGGCCGCACTGCCGGGGTGCGAAAAGCCAGCGGCAATCACCAGGACCAAGACTGGCTGATTCCGAGCGGTGCTCTGTCTCTCTCGCACCCCGACGGGACGGCCTATGAGTGCGAGAGAGACAGAGCTACACTGTCCGGCGGTATTTACGCGCTGCAGCGAGCCGAGTGGTCCTGCTGGCCCTTGTGCGACCGTGCCGCGGAGAGAGAAAGAGAGAGAGAAATTTAGGGGAATTACGCGCTGGCCAGCTCAGCGCAGGCCACGGCAGGCCAGCTCGCGGGGCTGCGGTCCATTTCGTGGGAAAGCAGTGCTTTGCCGATTAATCGCTCTGGGCATCGTGGTCCACCGAAAGGCCGAAGGCCCAAACGCCCTGGCCCAGCCGCCCGAAAGAGAGTGAGTGAGAGAGAGAGGGAGAGAGAGAGAGAGAGAGAGAGAGAGAGAGAGAGAGTGTGTGTGAGATCACTGGAGCAGGCCGCCGCGCGGGGCGAGGTCACATCCCGGCGGCTGTAACTCGCTGCGCTGCGCCGCCCTGACTGCAGTCTGGTTCCGAGCGGTGCTGCTTTCGTCGCTCTGTCTCTCTCGCACTCATGGGGCGCCCTGGAACGCGAGGGAGACAGCGACGAAAGCACTGGTCGGAATCATCAGACTGCTGTGGAGCAAGGCCGGACCTTTGCGAGGGGTGGGCAATCAACAGAGACAGATAGAGAGAGGAGAGAGGTAAGGTGCAGTCAGGCTGGCGTCGCTAGGGAGAAGAAACAAATTCGAAGTTGCCGCGCACACATTGGTTCGAATTCAAACACTTCATCTCCCTGCGCACACATTCCAATAACCAAAAAAAAAAAAAATCTCATTCAACGAACGTTAATGAAAGCAGATGATCCATCGCGTTTCACAACTGCTGTGATAGCCGAGAGGTTAGAGACGTGGGATCGAGTTACCGCAGGCGGGCGTTCGAATACCAGCGTCACATACGTTTTTTCGACTTACTTAGGGTGGTGGTTCGAGGCCATCCGAGCGGAGCCGTGTGCAACAGGCCCACATGCCGGAGGTTCGACTCCTAACAAATATTTCCATTTGATTTTACTGCCTCACCCAGTGCGGTTCAAACCCGTAAACGTGAGCCCACTCCGAGCATGGGACGTGGTGGTCCAGGGAGTAGAGGCGTCGGTTCCAAGTGCTAGGGTCGGCGGTTCGACTCCCCCAACTTCTTGCGATATTTTGACCGGGTCGGTCGAGTCCTGTTGCGTCAAGAACCCACCTC